AGTTTTGTGCCTAAAGTGCTCTTGAAATGTGAAGAAGAATCACAGAGCACATTGCATGATGCGTGATTGAACGAGTCCCTGTCAATGCAGGCACCCTATAGAAGTGAGACATCGTAGTATACACCTTTCCCCTGGAACTGGAGCTCTAAGAAGGAAAAGAACCAGGCAGGGTTCTATATGGAGCCTAAGATACCATAGGCTTTCTCAGACAGCGTGAAGTCCTGTGACAGGGCCAGAAAGGTCAGTAAACTCAGAGGTGGCCTCACAAAGCAGAGCTTCTGACCTTGCAAAGTGGAGAAACAAGAGCAGGCCTCCTAGCACGTCAATGAAGTATCAGGAGGAATGCATGGAGAAGGAGGATGTAAGGGGAGGTATGAGGATTAAAGCTGCAAAAACATTCCTCTAATGGATTTCTCAAAAGCACTAGCTAACAGGCAAGGACAGGTGTCCTGTCAAACCATTTCCTGTGAAACCTGACCCACACCTTCTGTAGCACAGGCCTGCTAACTCCATTTGTAACTGAAGGACCTGCCCCTTATTTCCAGTGAGGCATGGCTGAGCAGCTCCTGGATTCTGCCAGGAAACCCACTTTGGAGAACTGGGGCATAGGAACAGGTTGCTCTCCTTTACCTCAGCCAACTGGTTCTCCTCCCTGCATCTGCCCGTCGGATGGCTGATTAGATTGTTAGTGATCATGAAATCTCCACCCCTCTCTGGCCTCCTTCCTGTCCAGACTCACTGGGAAAGGGAGCTCTCTGATTTTTAGATCATTCATCACTTCATTACTCTCCCTTTGATCCCAGGCAACCAGGGAGGCAGCAACTAAGGCTTAAGAGACACAGGGAGGGTCAGGGCCAAGGACCAAATGGTTGCTTACTGGTTTTGAAACTAGGAAGGCTCGCCTGCCAGTCGGCCCTTGTGGGGAGCTGGACACCAAGCTGGGCAGTCCTGGGTCCTCCCTGCATGAGCTGTTGTGCACATGTTGGCATTGGAACAGAGGAACCCTTGGGTTGCATGGCTGATTGGTGCCCTGCTTTTCTTCTCTCCCATAGCGCTCAGCCTTCTGTCTCCACCCCAGCAGTTGGCACCGGGAGCAGCAGGAGCCAAGAGGGGCTTAACAAGCCACGGTGCTGTCTAGCATTGGGTGGGTGAGATGGGTGCCTTGTAGTATACATGGACTATGCTAAGATAGGCCCTCCATTACTGGGAGCAGAAGCAAGGGGCCTTTGAGATGGAGATTGGCCTGCTGTTGCCAGTTTTTCGGGCTCACATCTTTCTTGCAAAGTGATTGGCTAAGGTTTCAGTCTGTTCTTGCTTGAGGCAAATTTCCTTGGAATGAAGTAAAGAAAAAGAGTGGGTTAAAAAAAAAAAGTCTTGGTGGAGTCACTTTGGGTCTATTAGACCGTGGAATTGTGCTTCTCAGTGCCTGAGGAAGTTTCCAGGTGTCTCTCAGTGCACAGTTGCTCACAGCTCACTTTGTTGGGGGAGCTTCCTGACTTGGCAGACAGAGGATTCAGCCTTTTTCATTCTTTTTAAAGTGAATAGCTTTAAAATAAAAAGTTACCCACATTTAGTCAGAACACACTGAGCTAAGGCAGTTCCTTTACAAATCTTCCTTCTCACTGAGGAAAAACAAAGCTCTTTAATTATCTTGGCTAGGCTAAGAAGCTCAGCTAGGACTGGGCTACATAATCAGCAGGCCTAGTGGAAAGTGAAAATGTAGAATCCTTGGTTCAAATGCTCTTAAAGAAGTTTGAGATGGTTCCTATGGCTCACACCGGCAATCCTAGCTACTAGGAAGCAAAGATCTGAGGACTGAGGTTCAAAGCCAGCCAGGACAGGAAAGTCTGTAACTCTTAGGTCCACTTAACCACCAAAAAGCCAGAAGTAGAGCTGTGGCTCCAGTGGTAGAGCACTAGTCTTGAGCAGAACAGCTCAGGGAGTGTCCAAGCCCTGAGCTCAAGCTCGGATAATGGTGCACATGCACACAAACAGAATTTTTTAAGTGAAAATATTTGCATTTATTGTTATAAAAATATTACTCACATCTCTACATATGAGAATTAACTTTAAGTGGTAAATAGCATTTCTATGCCAAAAGATAATTTAAAACTAGCTCTATTGTTTCCAGACTAGTTTTTTCTTAATGATCTTACATGACAACATAGAGTAGCAATAGCAGCTACAGAATTTTAAGATGATGACAAAAGAGGTTTAAACCAAGCCTCTGGGTTGTCCATGAAGTTGGCCTTGCACGCGGCCTTGCACCACTATTCATTCTGGTAAGATTGGAGAGTATGTGTTATATTCAGAAAACTGTGTCGGGGCTTAGGGTTGATGTGTAGAGTACAAACTTAATAGGCTTCTCACAAGGAATCTATAGTCAGATGTCTCATGAGAAAACTTAAATAATGGTGAAATACGTGTTTCATAGTCCAAGAGTCCACTCAAAAGAAAGGACTTCCTGAGAATTCTCTCTCCCTGACACTCAGGCTCCTTCAAGCCTGGAATGTAAAATGGGGTGATAGAAGTAAATTGGCCAATCTGTTCTTGTTTTTTGTTACATGTCTTTCTTGCTACACAACCTCTATACCTACTTCCTCTCTTTTCTGTAGCCCTCCATGTTCAAAATAACTTTACTTGAAAAAAGTGTTCACACAACATTTATCAAGCTAGGCTCTTGTCCTGGAGATAATGTGAAACAAACTCAACCAGTGACTACCTAAATGAGCATCTCTTACCTGACTTGCGGGGCTCAGCTTTTAGGGTATCTGTCCACTCTATATTTAAAGTTGACATGGACCAGGACTGAGTTAGGTTCAAAGGAGTCACATGAGAACAAAGCTTGGTCTCTGGCCCTAAGCTGTTCATGTCTCACACACTGTAGTCAGAGGGACTGTTTTCATGAAAACAGTAGGGTCATCCTCCCTGGCTTGGCCTGACTGTGTGCTTCTGGAAAATTCTATCAAGCAGGAAACCTGATATGGCTTAGTACCTTGATTAGTTCTATGGTAACAATAAGTGGTTTGGTTTTTGTTTTGTTTTGTTGTTGGTCATAGGGCTTGAGCCCAGGGTCTGGGCTCTGTCCCTGAGCTCTTTTTGCTCAAGGCTGGTACTCTACCATTGAGCCACAGCACTACTTCCAGTTTCCTGGTGGTTAATTGGAAATAAGAGTTCTTTCTTGCCCAAGTAGGCTTTGAACCACAATCCTCAGATCTCAGCCTCTTGAGTAGCTAGAATTACAGGTGTGAGCCACCAGCAACTGTCTAGTTTGTTTTGTGTTTGACAATTACTTCTAGTCTTTGTGGGAAAAAAAAGCCTGCCTGCTCTTGTTGCCTTATGAGTCTCTTAGCACAGGCACACATGCAGGAGGAGGCTTGTGACAGTGTTAGAAGCCTGATACTCAGTCCTGGGAGCTGAGCAGAATTTGGAGTGGTCAGCATACTGAGAAGATACCTTTCTAAAGCACTGTGATGAAGAAAGCATCTGGATAAAATATTTTAGCCCTCTTACTTTACATTCCATTAGTTTGATTTCCTCTCTTAAGATAAATGCAGCCACAAGCCTGAAAAGCAAGTTTCCAATTTGGAATGTGGTTTGGTTGTACAAATGGCTATGCTTTTCAGCAACATCAGTGACTTGGCTCACACAAAGAGATTTGTTTTTGTGGACTCTTGGATTGTTTGGGAAATATCCTGCTCTGATTCCAGATGGATCTCCATCCTCTCTTAGTTTAGATCTCAGTCTTCTCCATAAGGCCGCCAGGGACCGCAGCCTGTGGCAGAGCTCCCCACATTTCTCTGCCTTTGACACCCTGCTTCCCAGTGCCCCAGGGGATCCTGGGACCTTCTAGGGTCAGAAGGTATCTCTATTTTAATCCCCAGTGTCATAAAGAAGAAAAAGGCAGGGCTGGGCAGGTGGCTCAGTGGTAGAGTGCTTGCCTTGCATGCATGAAGCCCTAGGTTCGATTCCTCAGCACCACATAAGCAGGAAAAAAAGCCGGAAGTGGCGCTGTGGCTCAAGTGGTAGATTGCTAGCCTTGAGCTGAAGAGCTGAGGGACAGTGCCCAGGCCCAGAGTTCAGGCCCGACAACTGGGACCCCCCCCCCCAAAAAAAAAAAAGAAAAAGAAAAAGGCGATTGGGGCTAGGCATGGTAGTACATGCTTATAATCCTAGCTATTCAAAAGGCAGAGGCAGAAAAATTGTGAGTTTAATGACAGCCTGGGAAAAGTAAATGAGACATTATCTCAAAAAATAAAAAGGAAGTTAGGTGCTGGTGGTTCATGTTTATAATTTTAGCTGCTCAGGAGGTTGAGCTCTGGAGGACCTCAGTTTAAGGTCAGCCCAGGCAGAAAAGTTCACTAGACTCTATCTCCAATGCAATGAGCAAAAAGCAGAGCTGAAGGCATGGTTCAAATGGTAGAGCACCAGCCTAGGAAGCACAAGGCCCTGAGTACAAACCCCAGAATCGGAGGGGTGGGAGGAGAAAGCAAAAAGTCTAGGCTTGATGAAATACATACGTAATCCCAGCTACTTGAGAGGGAGAAGTAGGAGGATCACAGTCTATAGCTGCATAGGCAAAAGCATAAACCCAAACTAAAAAAATAAAACGATCTGGAGGCGTGGCTCAAGGCATAGAGCACTGGCCTAGTACGTGTGAGGCTCTGGAATTAATCCCCATTACTGCAAAAAGAAAGGAATGGAGGAAATAAAGGAAGGAAGGCAAAACGCAGACTATATGTGTTAGCACTACCTATCTCCTGCCAGAATTCCCTACACTTTTCCCAGCTTATATTGGACTATATGTGCATCTTATGTTGAGTCCCTAGATTTCCTATCCTTATAACTCCTACAGACAGCAAGACACCAAGGAAGGATTGAGCACCTTCTACTGACTCCCAGAGTGATTTCTGAAGCTGTTAACTGTAACTTACCCCATCGGCCCATCCTGAGATGCCCCACTGTGGAAGCCCAAAGAGCATATTCCTTTCTCTCCACAGATCTCCAGGACTTCAAGTTAGATGTGCAGCATGTCATTGAAGTGGACGAAGGAAATACAGCTGTCATTGCTTGCCACCTGCCTGAGAGCCACCCAAAAGCCCAGGTCCGATACAGCGTCAAACAAGAGTGGCTGGAAGCCTCCAGAGGTGAGCAAGTGGGCAGAAGCCCAGAGAATAAGCCAGTAAACAGCTGGCTTCCTTGTCTACTGTCAAACTGTGTCAGTATCTACTGCTTCCACCTCCCCTGGACCACACTGACAGTCCTGTTCTCAAGCTAGCCAGCTGTCTGCTATCTTCCTACTTAGCCTTGTAGGATGCTAAGGCAAGATTGGCATCCCTTACAGAGGGCCTCTGTCCTGTCATGGAAAATATCTTCATCCTTTGAGGCACTGGGAGATGTTTGGGATCAGCTGTCGTCTGATGAAGCTCTCAACCTGTGGTTACAGATGCTCCTGTGTGACCCCCTGATGCCAGACACACCCAGCACAACCCGAGAACCCCCAGAGCTTTGGGGTTTCTTGGTAGGAAGCGAGCTCTTCCCCATCCAGCACAGCAGTCTTCTTGGTGACACTGTATTGGGGTGCTGTCCTTTTTTTCCTGGTACCCTGATTATCTCAGTCCTCACAGCTTTTTGCTCATGCCACAGTAGGTGTGACAACTTCACCAGGGGAGCCACACTGTGCCATTGAGAAGGGGGTGTCCTTCAAGACAAAGTCACCCTTTTCCCACAAAGGACACAACTTGTCCTAACTTGACAACTCAAAATGTATACTGTGAAAGTACTCCATAGCTCTTCTCTTTATGAAAGGAAAACTCCAATCCTAACACTCAGAAGTAACTGAGAGGAGACAGCACGAATCCCCATGTCTCAGTGGAGGCTTGGCAGCGGCCCTCAAGGAAGCTCATCCATCTGGCACTTGTCTAAGCAACTCACACCTGCTGCCCAGCAGCAGGCAGGCACCAGGCTTGGTGACAACACCACTCCCAGGAGGGGCCACCCAGACAAAGCTCAGAGCTGACTGCCAGTGCTTTTCCTGCCAGGAAGCCGGCCACCCTAGTTGCTGGTCTGTGTAGAGCTGTGACTCCACCTCCAGTCTGGAGAACCTGAACCTTTGCCCAACCTCCTCATGCTCCCCCCCTTCCCCCAGCCCTACCCTGCTTCAGGGCCAAGAACAGACAAACCTTGGTAAGTCAGAGATGTGCAGAACAGACTTCTGGCGGCCATCATGCTGAGTGCAGGAGCTAGGGGTCAGAATATTTCTCACCGGCAGCAGACAGTCAATAATGAGGGGACACCAAGCTGTGACCATGACAGGGACTGTGACAGAAAAGGCCACCTCTCTCCCACGTGTGAAGCCCAGGCCCTTCTGCCCTTACAGAGGCTCCGAAGCAGCACACCTTAGACCTTTGTTAGAAGATGAGATCTGAGAGGTTAATTCACTTGCCTCAGATCATACAGTTCGTATCTAGCAGATCCAGAACTCAAGGCCAGGTCTGGCTGATCCCAAACCCTGAATTCTTGCTAGCCTCCCTAGCAACCTAAAAAGACAAACTGCATACAAAAGCATGAACTGGGAAGCAGCTGATCAGCCATGCCATGAGACAGTAGATTATTTCCTCACCATGGCCGTTCTACCCCATTCAGCATAAGGCTTGATGGGGAACATTTTAAGCTTGGACTGGTTCCCCTATAACCCTGGCTCTGTGGAAGCTGTGGGCCCAAACGCATCCTATTTTCCTCTTTCCTTACCCTCTCCACAGACAACTACCTGATCATGCCATCAGGGAACCTCCAGATTGTCAACGCCAGCCAGGAGGACGAAGGCATGTACAAGTGTGCGGCCTACAACCCAGTGACCCAGGAAGTGAAGACCTCTGGTTCTAGTGACAGACTGCGTGTGCGCCGTAAGGGCCAGATTCAGACGCCGGGGTGGCCTATTGCAGAGGGAGGGTTGGCAGAGCTGGGAAAGGTGGAGCAACATGGGCAATGTCTTCTTCCCCTTGCTTGGTGACTGGCTTCCTTCCTCTTGGGCTCTGTGTCTGCAGCCAGCTGACACGCAATGTGCTCATAAGCGCCCACATGCTCCCACATTGAGGTGAAAACCTTAATGGTTAAAATGCTCTTCTGAGCACTTTTTGAGGGACCCCAAATACCCAATGGAGTAGACATCGTAGGCAGAGCTAGCTGAGGACACCAGAGATGGATTTTCCCTAAAACAAATGAAGCTAGACCCCTCTCCAACTTAACATTTTATCTGGAATTTCAGATTCTCCCCTCCCACCTCCCCAAGAGGCTCTCCAAAATGTATAAATGAGCTTCAGGGTTTATCAGACCCCTGTCTGCCCCTGGCTGGAGCACATGGCAAAAGCAGAGATTTTTGTGCTCTTTGAAGGTCCCCGGAGAAGGCAGCATGCAGGAGAGTGATCTATATGGTTTCTCCTCCAGCAATGAGAAGGATCACTGCCCCCTGCACTGAGCCCCTGATAAAGTCACTGAATAGTGTTTGGGGGACCTTGCAATAGAAGAAATACATATCCCTAAAGAGCTCAACAGCATGCTCAGCTGTGGAGGGACACTGGGACTGGGCCCCATGATCTGGAGTTGGACACAAGCAGATCCTCGTCTCCCCTCTTTTCCTTGGCCTCGGGGTTTGCTGACTGAGGTCAAGCAGGAAAAATCACCCCCTCCATTTAGACTTTCTTCATGCTCTCATCTCCCTGCCAACACCTAGAGCTAAAAGTGCCTAAGTTCTGCTCATTGCCCTTGTTTCTAATAAGAAATTAAATAATTACCCTGCTTTATGTAGGTTGTAAGCCTCTGAAAGGCTGTTTGATCCCAAGCCCATATGTCTGGGACCCTCCTGGGGCCAAGTCACTCCACCCAGGAGGGGTGGCAGGGGGTGTCTATAGGAAGTAAAGGTCTCACACACTGTGTTCCCTCCCTCCCCCTCCTCCCCTATCTAGGCTCCACTGCAGAGGCTGCCCGCATCATTTACCCTCTGGAGGCCCAGACTGTTATTGTCACCAAAGGCCAGAGTCTCATCCTGGAGTGTGTGGCCAGTGGGATCCCACCCCCTCGAGTCACCTGGGCCAAGGACGGGTCCAACATTGCTGGCTACAACAAGACTCGCTTCCTGTTGAGCAACCTGCTCATCGACCCCACCAGTGAGGAAGACTCCGGCACCTACCGCTGCATGGCCAACAATGGGGTTGGGGAGCCCGGCGCGGCCGTCATCCTCTACAATGTCCAGGTGTTCGGTGAGTGTCTCCTCTGACCTTCCACTGCGCAGGGATGGAGGCCACTTGACAGGCAGGGATTCTTGGATTACTAGATTCAGGTCACTGGGTCAGAGCCCAAAGGTTGGTCTCATCAGAAATAAACATGGAAGAGACTTAAACAGAGCTGAGTGTGCAAAAGCAGCTTGGCAAGGTGGGCAGGCTCAAGAGGGTCCCAAGACCTCAAGCTTTTATGGGCTGTGTGGACATGACAGTAGTCATTCCTGGAAAACTGGGTGTTGTGTCCTTAACTCCTGCAGAATGCGTTATGTGTCATCAACTGCTGCCTTATGTTAGGTGAAGGGGTCCTTGGACTTTGGAGAGTCAGAAAGGGCTTTTCATTTTCTAAGGGCTATGAATATTTCAGGTTAGTGAAATACTGCTGTAGTCTGTTTATATCAGAGTGCCAGAATGTGATCGACATCTTTTCCTTCCTTTCCTTTTTTTTCTTTTTTTAATGTTAGTTCTGGGACTTGAACTCTGTACCTCATGCTCTTACACCAGCACCCAGCCTGTCTTTTCTTCCCCCCGCCCCCTCCTCCCCCAGTGGTGATACTAATAGCACTTCAGGCCTTGTGCTTTTTAGGCAGATGCTCTATCCCTTGAATCACACATCCCAGCCCTTTTTTTTTTCTTTAGTTATTTTTTTTTAGAGTCTCACATTTTTGTCTGGACTTCAGTCTTCCTATTTATGCTTCTTTTGTACTTGGAATAACATATATGTGCCATTGCATCTAAAGATTGATTGTGATGGAGTCTCATTAACTTTGATCCTCTGGCTCTCCATCTCCTGAGTAGCTGAGATTACAAGCATAAGCCTCCATGCCTAACTCAGGAGATGATCTTTGATCAACATCCAACCATCGGGTTTCCTAACTCCCCGCCTAACTCCCATATCCAAAGGTGAGGACCCACGGTTTCAATGTGTTCTGTTACCCTTTTCCTGTGGTGACTGCCCATAGGGAAAGCCAATGCTCAGGGGAGGCAAGAACCCCACTCCCAGCTCTGTCCCCTCCCAACCTGTATGGGTCGGGGTGGCTACTTACCTCCATTCTGCTTTACTGCAGAACCTCCAGAAGTCACTGTGGAGCTGTCGCAGCTGGTTATCCCGTGGGGGCAGAGTGCCAAGCTCACCTGTGAGGTGCGTGGGAACCCCCCTCCGTCCGTGCTGTGGCTGAGGAATGCTGTGCCACTCATGGCCAGCCAGCGCCTCCAGCTGTCCCGCAGAGCCCTGCGCGTGGTGAGCGTGGGGCCCGAGGATGAAGGCGTCTACCAGTGCATGGCTGAGAACGAAGTCGGGAGTGCGCATGCCGTGGTCCAGCTGAGGACCGCCCGGCCAGGTGGGTGCAGCCCAGGGGTCTGAGAGATTCCAGTTGAACAGATCCACAGCCTTTTTCTCAAAAGAAAATCAACTCAATGACTTTCAGACCTAAGTTCAACATTACATGAACTTATTCATTAAGGTGTGCAAGCAACACTAATGGAAGTTTCACCTCCGTATCTTTTTCATTTAATTTTTATTGGATGTTCCATATGTTAAAAAAGTCAAGATTCTTTCATCATCTCCACTAGACCATGCAAAGCAATTCAGTGTGTACAGAAATAATTTTTCCCTTATATATATTTTTTTTAATTTTAGTTTGCAGAATCTGTGGGGTTTTAGGGCTCTAGGGAACCAAGTTTGGCAATCAGTTCTCTAGAATAAAGAAAGGCAAGACTCTTTTTCTTTGCTTGAATTATTCCCATTGACAGCTAAACAGACACTCAGAACAGCATGATGAAGTCCCTACCTTCAGAAACCTTTGTATAAAGGAGGTAAAACTTCCTAAGGGATCAATTTGAGAAAAAGCAGCAATGAACAATGTAGTGCTGTGCCAGTATCATTTGGCATCCCTGTGCTGGGCTGAGGAGGGGCAGGAGCTGGTAGACTATGGACGCTTCCTGGAGGAGTTGCATCCTAACCTCTCTGGCCTCCAGATTCTCAAGGCAGCTCCAAATGGCTTCCTATGCCAGGCCACCTCAGTGTTGAAGGAAAATGCTCACACTATGCTCTGCTGTTGAGATCCCATAGTAAAGCCACTTGCCTCATCCCCAGTCCAGACAGGTGAAGGAAAGTGCAAATTGAGATCACTCACTATGGTAGTTTTCTTTGTCACTGTAACAACTTTAAGGGAGGAGAGATTATTTGGGCTCATAGTTTTAGAAGTTCCAGTCTGTAAAAGCCTGGGAACATGGTAGAGTGAACAACTCACCTCATAGCAGTTGAGAAGCAGAGAGAATGCCTGTCCCTACTCTAGATGATTTTTCTTCTTTCCCAATTTTATTCCACTTGGGCTCCCAGCCTAAGCAATGGTGTAGTCCATATTCAGAGTGAGTTTTTCTCACATAATCTGCTCATAGACACACCCAGATATGTGCTTTACTTATTTGGGAGGCATTTCTCAATCCAATCAAGTTGACAGGGTTAACAATCAAGTTCACCCCCTTGTTGAATTGATGCCCTCTAATCATAGCATTCTGCTCCTGGCCCTCGAAGGTGTATGGTCATCTTATAATGTGAATGTATTCTCCAAAACTCCTTCTCCCAAAGTCCCCACAGTCTTCCAACATTGTTCAAAAACCCAAGTTCAGTGTCTCCTCTGAGACTCAAGGAAACATGGTAGCGGTGAGTCCCCATTAAAATAAAAAGCAATTTATGTAGTTCCAATATCTAATGACACAGAGTAACCATTCCCATTTCAAAGGAAAGGAATGACATAAAGGAAGGATAGAATCAAAACAAGACTAAACCAGTAGGGCAAACATTAAATCCTGTGTGTCTCTCACATCTGAGCACATGGTGGTAAGATGTGGATCCCAGAAACCTTGAGCGCCTTATAGTAGGGGCTGCTATTAGCAGCCCACATGAGCTCTCTCCTCACTGGCTCATCTCATTGCCTGTCATTTTTTCTTGACAGATTTTTCACCTTGCAGGCATCTCTGACTTCCTGGAAACTCTGTTGCATCTTCTTCACCCGATAGCTTTACCATGGTGTCCTTAAGGGCTCCTCTGACTCTGCTTCACACTGCTTGACTTCCTAGTCTATCCTTGGAAATCTAGGAGAAAGCTTTCATGATCCTAGATATCTTTTACTCTGCTCCTTCCTGTACAACTATTCCTAGACACTAATGGGTACATCAAGATACGCTGCCAGCTAAATAGGTCTCTGATTGTCTACGTGGCTGAATGAGGGGAAACACTTCCCTAGGCAGCTACCCCTGAATGAATGAAAACTTCCATACCTTCAGCCTGCAGTGGGTGGGGTCTAGCCAATTCCCAAGACGCTCTTGGTGAATCTTCCCTATTGTCTTAGTGCACAGTGTACAGCTACTTGTTAGTATATCTAATCTTAGTAATCATGCCCTCTTTGTCCCAAACTACATAAAAAATTTCCTCTGCCAGATTAACTAGTCTGTTCCTTTTAAACTTAATGTCCCACAAAGTCCCAACACACATGACTTCTGTACCCAATTCCAAACAGAGTTTTCCTCCTCCTCTGCAACCCCATGAGCACAGCCTAAAGGCTGCATCCTATCAGCATTTCCCACAGAATCACCCACTAAACCCTACTGACAGCATTCTAAGACTTCACAAGCCCACGTCTCCAAACTTGCCCAAATTCCTCCCACAAACCAGTGCCAAAGGCTTAAGAACCACATGGCAGATTTAGTCACAACAACAACCCCATTCTCTGGTACCAATTTTCCTACATTAGTCACATTTTCCATCACTGAGAAAACAGAAGAAGAGAAATTATTTATTTTGACTCACAGCTTCAGAAATTTTCATCTATATTCCTTGGCTCCATTGACTTGGGGCTTGTGAAGATACAGAGCATCATGGCAGCAGGAGTGTGTGGCAGAGGTAGGAAACAGAAGACAGGAAGGGACCAGGGTCAGTTGTACCCTTCAAAAGCATTCTCTCAATGACTTCCTCCAGCTAAGTCCTACCTCCTAAACTTCCACCACCTCCCCAAAATGGCGCCACCATCTGGGAAACAAGCAATCAGCACATGAGCCTATGGGAAACAATTCATAGTCAAACCATGGCATCACTCAAGATGTACCTGCTCAGGACTTAGGAGGTCTGCAGGTTGCTAATGTGCTTGTCTGCCATCTCTGAGCTGTAGCAAGTGGCCCAGGCCAGGTCTCTAAGCGACCTTTCCCTCTGGCAGGGCAGAGGCACCATCCCTCTCTTCCTGAGCCTAGCTGTATGTCACAGGGCAGTCAATGGTGGTCTCCAGTCTTCTGTGACCTTATTATCAGTTTACTCCCTGGCAGATGACCAAAGTGGTACTCACTCCCTCCCTTCCCCTTCTTTTTCCTGCTGGATCCCTAGGCACGACACTGAGACCCTGGAGGGATGCTAAGCTAGCCACTTCCACACCTCCTGCACCACCGTCCAGATCCGGCGGCCCTGACCAGACGCTGAGGGAGCGCCCAGGGCTCACCAGGCCACTGACCTCGGTGCAGCCTGCTTCTCTGCAGTGTCCGGGCGAGAAGGGGCACGTGACCCCAGCTGAGGCTCCCATCATCCTCAGCTCTCCTCGGACCTCTAAGACCGACTCCTATGAGCTGGTGTGGCGGCCCCGGCATGAGGGTGGCAGCCGGGCACCCATTCTCTACTACGTGGTGAAACACCGCAAGGTATGGCCCTGGTATTGTCCTGCCACTTCCTGCTGGGTCCCTCTGTTTCCTAACCTAATGTTTTCCAAGGAGCTGGGCTGTAGGACGGGCAGTAGAACCCAGAGAAGCCGGAAAAGAGATGGAGTGAGTGGGGCATGGACCCTCAGGTCTGAGCCTTGTATACCTGTTCCCAGAAGCTAATGCCAGCTACTCGTCCAGAGACAATTAGCCAGCTCTTTTATATCACCACTCTCGCCTTCTTCATCTGTCATTTGGCCATGTTGTTTGGGCTTTGTAACCAAAAGTAAACTCTGCTGGGTACATACCTGCAGCAGCTCTGGCATGACAAGCTAGCTCAACAGCCAGCAAAACAAATATTTGTGAACAAGTGTTTTCCCTATGGGCTACAAAATGCCCCTCAGTTCTCAGAATTCACCATGACTACACTCTGACAAGCAGGCATTTGAGCTCCCCGCGGCTGACCATGTTGTTGAGACCTTCACAGAGGGGAGACTGTCCGGGAGGATGTTTTGGGAGCTGTTGGGGAGGGAATCCCGGCTGTGACAGGATGCAGGAACCGCACTGAGCCAGCCCCCGTGTCCCTGGACACTGTGTCCCAGGTAGAGGGACAGGGCCTCCACCACGGACGTGCTACTTTCTCTTTAAGGACAGTCAGTAGTAGAAAATTATTATTCTTAAAATGCATTCATTTGAAAAACAATGGATTGGTATTAGCAAATCGTAAATACTGAGTTTTCTAATGCATACACATTATTTTTGCTCCGAAAAGTGCCAGGTATACTAAGTAGAAGATATGGAGAAAAGAGAATCTATGAATGTAGAACAGGAAATATTCCCTTCTTTTCCATCTCAAAAAATGAATAAGAAATAAAAAATAACTCTGATCCTATAAAAGGCATTGGCTGCGCAGAAGCCAGAACCCAACTGATTACTCACATTCTGACTTTTTCGTTTTATATTCTTCTAGAAGACCTGGGGGCAAGATAACTCCCAGTGCCCCCTTGCAGCCAGGGGTGGTCAGCGTAGCCCCAGGCGGCCTCCTAGTAGGAGGCCAGCCCTCAGCCCAGAGCCTGCTCACCTCCTCCCAGGCAGCCAACAAAGGGGGAATGAGCTTGAAACAAGAAACAGCCTTGTTCAGCAATGGTCCAGGGCAGGGCTGCCCCCTACATTCTTATGTAACTGGACACCTCCACCAGGGTTGTAGACAAAGATCAGGAAAGGCCAAACATGCATGGTCCCCAAGAGACAAAACCCAATGCATGAGCAAGAATAATATTTTTCAGGCCAATAGGTGGCCAAGAAATTGCCCCATACAAGAGACAGGCTGGCAAAAACTGCTGTGGCGATCCGGAAATGCCAGGCTGAGGCCACATTCAACCTTCTCAGTGTGTGTGTGTGACAGTGACTAATTACCCTTGTGGTTCTTATTTTCATTTCTGGGCCCATTGGAAGTGGGAGGCCAGTGAGGGACAGGCAGAGGGAGAAGGGAGGGTACAGGGAACTGAGAGTCGGAACAGGAATCCTTTCTGGGTCTGGCTTCTGTTAGGCTCCAGCCAGGGCCCGGGAAGGGAAGGGGACGCTCAGAGGTGTTGGATGGATGTTGCAAAGGCAGAAGGAATCTTTAAAGGCAATCCTGCTTGTGGAACTCACGTGTCTTAAAGATCGTCACCCAAACAAGAGAATTCTTTAAAAAAAAATCAAAAGCATTTGTGTTCCATTTGTTTTTTCTTCTTCTGCCATGGGGGACTGGGTTTTTCAGTTGATATGCACTTTGTTCACGTGCACAAACACTCTCAGTTGCTGGTGCACTGCAGACCTTGGACTACTGTGTTTGGGTTTCCAGCACCACTGGGGAAATCTCAGTTTGTAAAAACCTCTCTCCTTGGAACAAATCCTGGAAGTCTGACATTAATGAGCCCAGTTCATTCCTGTCCCTTTGAATGGTAGGTTTTGTTCTGCTTTGGAATATTCTACTTGGGGATAAGAGCTTTCCCTACCAGCTGCTCTCTTTCTTCATCAAACCCTACTTCCAGTTCCAGTACACTCTTGGAGACTCACAGAGCTGACTGTTCAGAGCTTGTCCTAAGGGATGGCTGAGATGCAAGAATCTCCTTCCATCACCTGTTGGGGGCTGGGGACCCTGTATTTTTCTTCCGATTTAGAGAGCCCCACCATTAAAAAATTATTTGTAATATTACAAGTCATTCCTAATTGCTGTTATTCTTCTCCTTCTTCCGTTATTTCTTCCTTCTTTGTTCTCTTCTCTCCTTCCTCTTCCCTCCTCCTCTTCCTTCTTCTTCCTCTTCTCCACCTCTCTCTTCCTGTTCCTCCTCTCCCCTCTTCCCTCTTCCTATTTCTCCTCTCCTCTCCTCTCCTCCTCTCTTCTCTTGTCTTCTCCTCTCTTCTCTTGTCTTGTCTTCTCTTCTCTTCTCTTCCCTTCCCTTCCCTTCTCTACTCTGCTCTTTCTCCTCTTCTCTCTCCCTCCTCCTCTTCCTCCTTTCCCCTTCTTCTCCTCCACCTCCTCCTCTTCTTCCTCCTCCTCCTTCTTTTTGTCTAGTACTAGGATTTGAACTCAGAGCCTCCAGTTCTTTCTCATGCTTTTCACTCATGATTATCACTCTATCTCCAGATCTCACTTTTTGCTGCTTAATTGGAGATGAGAGTCTTTTGGATTTGTCTGTCCAAACTGTCTTTAGTTTGAGATTCTCTGATCTCAGCCTTCTGAGTAGGTAGGATTATAGGTTTGAGAGACAAGCTCCCAGCTCCAGTTTTTTAAATTCTAAGCAAGGACAGGGCGAAAGAGCAAGCAAAGAAAAGAGGATTCAATTGACAGAAACCTCATCAGTAAAGGATGCATGGGGAGAGAACCAGGGCAAAGGCCTGGAATTTGTTGGAAACCTCTCAATGCTAACAGCTTTATGTAAGTCACCTAATTTAACTTCAGAATAACCAAGGAATTTTATTTGCCTCATTTTAGAAATGTCAGCTTAGGACTCATAGAGTGAGGGAATTTGTTCACAGTTGTACAAGCAGGACTTGAACTCAGGACTTTCTGCCTTCATCCCCGGTCCTCTGGCTAGGACAGGTTACATTCGGAGTATGCTCTTTGGAGTGGTGACAGAGTGTCTGTGCTCACTGGTGCTGCAGCCTTGAACAGATAGATTATCTTTCTAAGCTTTGTCACCTCAGATGGGAATACTGTGACACTCTTGGGCTCCTGTGAGGACAAGTGGCGTTGTGTGCACAGGACAGTTCTGTGCCTTGCCCACCGTAGCAGCCATGGCCACCCTGGGAACTCAGGAAGTGTTGCCATCGCTGCTTATTGTGCTGCTTTTTTCCACCTCATTACTGCCTCTCACTAAACTAGAGACTGAGGAGCCCCGTGTGAGTGCTTCAGCACACAAGGAGGCCGAAAGTTGGCTGTGGAAGTCTGGGGAAGTACTGAGGCTGGGGGACCCCGTTAGACAGGCTCTCAACAATACCAACCAGGCCTTCTGATCTTCAGGGGTCAGTTGATGAGGAACCAGGAAGCCTGGCTTGACTGCTCCGCTGAGACCACTGGGAGGATCAGCCTGAGTTCAGCAGTGCCACCTGGCCCTAACTCATCCCATTGCCCACTTGGTTTCCATCCTTTTGCCTTCTTGGGCTCAGTTCTGCTCTGCTTGCAAACCACAGCACCCCCATCACCCAAGGGGAAGAAGCACTCCTTATACCAGCCACTTTCTCCAGCAGGTCACAAACGCTTCTGATGATTGGACCATTTCTGGCATTCCAGCCAATCAGCATCGCCTGACCCTCACCAGGCTTGACCCTGGTAGCTTATATGAAGTGGAGATGGCAGCTTACAATTGTGCCGGCGAGGGTCAGACCGCCATGGTCACCTTCCGTACTGGTAAGGTCAAACGCTGCGCCTAGCTTACAGTTTCCATGGGCTTAAGGGAGTTAAACCAGGTCCATGTGTAAAACTCTGCTCACCTTGTCTAGCTCTTCATATTCTGTCCTTCCTCCAGCCGCTGCCTCCTGGGGCTTGTGTGCCAGGCTGAAGTGTCATCATTTGGTGGTGGTGGTGGTGGTGGTGGTGGTGGTGGTCATGGGGCTTGAACTCAGAGCCTGGCACTATCCCTAAGCTGTTTCACTCAAAGCTAAGGCTCTACCACTTTGAGCAACAGCTCCACTTCCTGTTTTCTGTTGGCTAGTTGGTGATAAGAGTCTCTTGGACTTTTCCTGCCAGGCTGGCTTTGAACTGCCACCCTCAGATCTCAGCCTCCTGAGTGGCTAGAATGATAGGTGTGAGTCACCAACGCCTACCTGTAGTGTCACTTTCTACCAGGAGCAGCCCTCTCTGTCATCATTTTGTCCATCTTTCACACAAGGAGCAGCAGCAAAACGACTCAGAGCCAAGCAGGGCTGGGAATCAGATCCCACTTCAGTGTCCTGTGTTTCTTGTTTGTGTCACTTGGTCATAGCCCTTGGCAGATTCTCAGGCAAAAAGGACTCTGTAGGAAGGGAATCTAGTGCCTCTCTGACTGATCCCAACCCATTTCTACCCAGGACGGCGACCCAAGCCCGAGATCATAGCCAGCAAGGAGCAGCAAGTCCAGAGAGATGACCCTGGAGCTGGTCCCCAGAGCAGCAGCCAGCCGGATCATGGCCGCCTCTCCCGTAAGCCCAGCAGCAGTTAGGGGAGGTGGTGGAGAGCGGAAGCACAATCAGAATGAACTACATCAGAGCTCAGACAGCCCCTTGCTGCAGTGGGGTTTGGGTTCTATAAGTCCAGGAGTTCTGGTGATATTCTCTTGACATTACTCCAGTTTCACCACAATGAGAAAAGGAAAACTGGAGCTTTTCAAATAAAAGATGAGCCAGCCAAACCCGGGAATCACTGACTCCCTGGATCTAGAAAGCCCTGGCTGTGCATGCTGGCTCTGCAGAACTAGGGGCCAGGGATTTGCTAATTCCAGGGTAGAAGACTATAGGAAGGAGAAAGCCCTTTCAAGCCAGGTCTGGTCAGACTATATAGCATCACCTGATGGTGTCCCTGACTCCTGACTCTTCCTCACTCTGCATGGTCCTCCAGCCCCAGAAGCTCCCGACAGGCCTACCATCTCCATGGCCTCAGAGACCTCGGTGTATGTTACCTGGATCCCCCGTGGGAACGGTGGCTTCCCAATCCAGTCCTTCCGGGTGGAGTACAAGAAGCTGAAGAAAGTAGGCGACTGGATTCTGGCCACCAGTGCCATTCCTCCCTCGCGGCTCTCTGTGGAGATCGCTGGTCTCGAGAAAGGTAAGGGTCTGGCGCTCTTCTCCTACCCGGTCCCCCGCTGCCCTGCCCATGGATAGGCTGGGAGAGGAGGAGCCACCATGCCGGGCCTTCTCTATACTCCAGACAAGTCCTCCACCCCTCAACGTGCTTGTGGATGCAATCCGTGGCCCTCAGTGCCACAAATCCTCCCTTCCCCCTCTCTTTGTCAGAGACGTTTCCCCAGGCAGCTCTTCTTTCACAGGACAGGCTGTCTGGAAGGATGCTGAGCTTTGATGGGCTGTAGGGGATACAGTGTGTTTCCTGTGTTCAGTGAGGGTCTCCTTTGTCAGGCACCTCTTACAAATTCCGAGTGCGAGCTCTGAATATGCTGGGGGAGAGCGAACCCAGCGCCCCGTCGAGGCCCTACGTGGTGTCTGGCTACAGCGGCCGAGTGTACGAGAGACCTGTGGCGGGCCCTTACATCACCTTCACCGACGCGGTCAACGAGACCACCATCATGCTCAAGTGGATGGTAAGGTGCCGTGGGAAGACGGGACTTAGGCTCAGCCCTTCTCCTAAGATGCCCCCTCTGAGTTGTTCCTCCTCTGCCCCACCCCCCACCCCTGTCCCCAGTGTTCCCCTGGTTGAAACGCCCCACTTTGGTGGATTTGGGAGGCTCCTCGTAGGGAGTCGAACTGTTGTTAGCAATCTCCTGTTCGTTTTGGTGCCCCAACTGCTCCTATTTTCAGACTGGGCCATCCTCCTTCCTGCCTGTCCCCCCGACATCAATTGTTCAGAGCCCCTCACCGTCAGCTGCCCCCCCAGGGAAGAATCAGAAGGGACTGATGATATCTTGGAAGAAAATGCAGTTTGTTTGTTTGTTTCTCTCTGAAAATGTGTGGACTTCTGGGCAAAATAAAATAATATGCCATCTCCACAGCCTCCTTTACAGAACTGCAGGGACATCATCGAGAATGTTTGCCAGGGACCCCCAATGCCATGCATACTCTGGACTGGGGAGAAACCTCCACACCCCAGCGGTTTTGCTTTGCCGATGATTTCTGTACTCCACTGTCAACCTGTCTCTTCTCCATTCCCTATAGTACATCCCAGCAAGTAACAACAACACCCCAATCCACGGCTTTTACATCTACTACCGCCCCACAGACAGCGACAATGACAGTGACTACAAGAAGGACATGGTGGAAGGTGAGAAGCACTGTGCGGGACATAGTTTCTCCTGTGGTTGGTTAAAGCCAAAAAGCTGCGTCTAGTCACCAGACAACCTGGGCACTATGTCATTCCATGATCAACTTGGGACCCCTTCATTTAAAAAGCAAAACAAAACATGTTGCCTGGTTCTGATGGCTCACGCCTATAATCCTAGCTACTCAAGAGGCTGAGATCTGAGGATCGCGATTCAAACCTAGCTTGCGCAGAACAGTCAGTGAGACTCTTACTTCCAGGGAACTAACCAAAAGTGAGAAGTGGAGGTGTGGCTCAACAGGTAGAGTACCAGCCTTCAGCAAAAACGCTAAAGGAGAGTACCAGGCCCTGGTACAAGCTCTAGTACCAGCACAAAAACAAACAAAAAGCTTTATTTCCATGATGACATGGTGAAGGAATGGAGGTGAACACCAGAACACTTCCTCCAGAGTGTTCCCACCACCTCAGCCCCTGTGCCAGCCAGTGGCAGCAGCACAGACACATAGCCCTGTCGGATTCTTACTGTGAGGTCAGAGCCAAGCAAACACCCAATGCATCACCATGCATCCTTCTCCCTCTTTCCCAGGGGACAGGTACTGGCACTCCATCTGCCACCTGCAGCCAGAGACCTCCTATGATATCAAGATGCAGTGTTTCAATGAAGGAGGGGAGAGCGAGTTCAGCAATGTGATGATCTGCGAGACCAAAGGTGATCCTTTGTAGCTTCTCCTCTCCCTTTCTTGTAACAAAGTAGGACAAAGTCACTATTCTGTGCCAAGCGATCTCTTTGTCAAGTATCCCCAGACCTCATCAGCTGTTACTTTTCTGCTGTCCTAAAACATATGCACATAACTTGTTACTGTTTGTGCACTGCTCACGTGGATAGATATTCAATCCATTTTTAAAAAATACTGAATGTGAGGGAGTGGCTCACACCACTGGTAGCTCATGCCTGTGACTTATCTCCAGTTAACCAGCAAAAAGCCAGAAATGGAGCTATGGCTCAAGTGGTAGAGCACCAACCTGGAGCAGAAAATCCTAGTGAGAGCACAAGGCCCTGAGTTCAAACCTTAGTACTGGCACAAAAACAAAATAATTTAAATGTAATAAAATAAATACAAGAGTGAGGTGGAGTGTATTGCAGAGAGCAGTCTGGAGAGGATCACAAAGGAGAGAAAACACCACATTCCTGTTATCGAGACAATAACTTTCTCTCTACCCACGTGGCATTGCTTTACAATCTCTTGTTCACAACACTCGCCAAGCGACTCCTTGTGTATACTTCCTGCCCTCGTTGCCCATGCACCGGGAAGGGAGGACGCAGGTACCTGCGTCAAGTAGAATACTGAGTGTCCACGGGAAAGAACTTTACACAGCTTTTATGACTCTTCTGGAAGGACTGAGGCTTCAGGCTGGCATGGGGAGGTTGTTGCCTGGGAGACAGGTCCAGACTAGAAGTTGCTTTAGCTTGCTGGAGTGTCCAGTGCCTGGGAAGAAGATGAGAGCGGTCGGCTGAGGGAAAAGGCCAGGGTCACTGAGGCCTGCAGTGGGCAGTCGGAACCACTCAAGGCTCTGAAATGAGAAGGGTTGTAGTTGGATTTATTTGCTAAGAATTGTCACCTGTGATCATGCATGGACCAGGCAAAAGAAAGCGAACTGGGCCCCTAAAGTAAAAAGGAAAGGGATGTGTATGAATCATCTTTTTTGAGAAAGCTTGGACAGATCAGGACTAACTGACTGAACGCTGGGATTAGGACAATATGAAAGGAGTTAGAAGCAAGCTCGGCGGTTTAGCTCAGAAATCCTACCTAGCTGTGGCTCCCATTTACTGAAATAGAAATGACGAGAAATCAGAGTTAGAGGCATGGTGCAATTGGTAGAGTGCTAACCAATGAGCAAAAATGGATGCAGGTACCAAGTTTGAGTCTTGGCCTCGGACCAAGAAAACGAAATGCATTTTTATGAGAAAGGAACAAGATAAAACCAATTGGAAGGTTTACTGAGTATCTGATTCTCTGGAAACATTGAAATGAAGGTGGGTGATTAATGAAGCAAGTATTCTCCATGGGTCCCAGTAGGATTTTGATGTGTCTTTAGAATACAGGTGGAAATCGAAGAATGGGTGAGATTGCACAGAGAGCATATGTGACCCAGTTCATCTCTCAGCGTCTGAGGAGGCAGAAGGAAAGGGTCGGGAAAACTGGTAGTGAGAGTGGTAGGTAGGAGGACCAGGAGGCTGTGCATCTGAGAGCTGAGTGAGGAGACGGCTGGGAAAAGTTAACAATGCCAGGCGCACCTGGAATGGCAAACCCCAGAGAGACGGGGCATGATAGAACTTCCTACAAAGTCCCAAAACATCTGTGGCCCCTGCAGCCCAAGATTTCACCACCCCTCTTCCCCCCAGGATCTGTCAGTACATTCTGCCATTCCCAGGCCCTTTGCTGGTTCCATGCATTTTAAATATTTTCATCTCGACATCTTGAAATGTAAGGCTCAGGTCTCCTCAACAATACCAAATTTCACGTAAGAGTTCCTGCTGAGTGTTGATTCTGGTTCAGGATCAAGCCTATGTCTTGTTTCACTCATGGGATTGGGGCAGTGGTTTTTGGTTTTTTTTTTCTACATGTTATGAAGGAAATGTCCAAGAAAATACATGATCGAGTGGGTTTTATCCACAATTGCAGCTCGCAAGTCTTCTGGTCAGCCTGGCCGACTCCCACCGCCCACTCTGGCCCCACCACAACCTCCACCCCCAGAAACCATAGAGCGGCCAATGGGCACAGGGGCCATGGTAGCACGGGCCAGCGACTTGCCCTATCTGATTGTTGGAGTCGTCCTGGGCTCAATCGTCCTCATCATCGTCACCTTCATCCCTTTCTGCCTGTGGAGAGCATGGGCTAAGCAAAGTGAGTACTCCTCCTTGGTGTGGAGGGAGGGTGCGGGGAGGGAGGAGGCTGGGGAGGGAGGATGGGCCCTCGCCTACCAAGGAGCCTCTGCCAGGGCAGGGCCAGAGGGGCTGTTTCACAGCTACCAGCAGCTCTAGCTCCTAGAAGTCCCTCAGTCAGAGAACACCTTGGTTAACAGCAGTATGGAGAGGAAGACATTACTCAGTCTCTAAAGCTGGGTGCTTTTATGGCTCCATCTTCTTCGGAGGCCTGTAGCTGTGCCTCCAGCCTCATGTTGCTCCGCTCTTTTTGTTCACTCGTTTCTTCTTCCTTTGGCAGCACTTAAAGCCAACTTCCCCTCACCACCTCTTTCCACCAAGCCTTTGCCTTGTTGTCTCCCCTACGCTTCTTAAGGAAGAAATGGATGACTGGAGCCAGGTGATGGTGGCTCATGCCTAGAAGGCTAGCTACTCAGGAGGCTGAGATCTGAGGATCACAGTTCAACCCCAGCCCGGACAGGACAGTCTATGAGACTCTTATCTCCACTAAACTACCAAAAAGCCAGAAGCTGTGGCTCAAGTGGTAGAACACTAGCCTTGAGCAAAAAAAAAAAAAAAAAAAAAAAAGGCTCAGGGACAGTGCCTAGGCCCTGAGTTCAAGCCCCAGGACCAGTACCAAAGAAAAAGGAAACGGGCAATAACGATTCTGAGAGAAAATGCTTCCATCCGTGGACAGTCCATCTCCCTGTCTGCATCTCCATGTGGTCAGGAGTGTGGGGATTTTTTTTTCCCCAGTTGCTTGAGGTTTCCTGAGCTCCACACAGGTCTTTTTCTTCTAGAACATACAACCGATCTGGGTTTTCCTCGAAGTGCCCTTCTGTCCTCTTCCTGCCAGTACACAATGGTGCCATTGGGAGGACTTCCGGGCCACCGAGCCAACGGACAGTCTTACTTCAGTGGCATCAACGGACGGGCCTGTGCCGACGGGATGCATGTGAGCAGGGGCTGCCCGGTGGCTGCGGTTGGCTGCCCAGGCGTGAAACCTCAACAGCACTGCCCAGGGGAGCTGCCGCAGGTAATGTGCTCCTGGGGGTGGCCCCCACATGGGACAGGAGGAGAGACAGTGGGCTGCCTCAGGCCTGAGCACCGAGCCCTGGGACATCTAACCCTTGACCTGACCTTTCCTTCCTCTTCCCTTCCAGCAGCAGGACGACGCTGGCTTGCTGAGGCAGACCATCCTTGGCAACGGGTATGAATCCCAGAGCCACCGGGTTACCAGGTGACCAGCTCCCTCCCTATCTTCCTTTCACATCCCCCCCCCAAGCCCCAGAGCCTCACTTTCTCTATAGCTCCTCAAGTGTAGGTCTGTCACCCAGCCAAGCACAGTGCTTTGCTCGGGAGTTCTCAAATCTGCCAACACTGGCAGCCCCAGTTCCTGGGGGCTCATTGTACTGGGAATTATGAGGCCCCTTCTGGGGGTGGGGGCGGGGGGCCTGAGTCCTTCCCACATGGAAGGGAGAACTGAATTTGCTCACAGCCCACTGGACCCCAGAGAAGGGAGGAGAACGCTGTGCTTATTTTTCACACTCAGTCCTTGACCAAGGAAGCTGCTAAGGACTGGGGGCTGGTCGATCCATTCTTCCCCCTCCTCACCCTCCCACTCTGGTCTTGTGCCATACAGGGGTCCGAGTTCTAGCCCAGATGAGGGGTCTTTCTTGTATACACTGCCTGATGACTCCACACACCAGCTGCTCCAATCCCAAGACTGCTGCCACCTCCTGGAGCCATCTACCACCGTTCACCAGGCAGGAGTGAGGAAGGGGCCAGAGAGCCCTGGGCTGGAAGCTGCGTGGGACCCGCCATTTCACTCAGGTCAGCTAGGAACAGAGCGGAGCAATGGCACAGGCCGGGGATGGCCAGAGGGTGGTACTCTCAACTTGGAGTCTGGGGAGATAGCAGTAGGCAAGGTGGTACCCATTCTCCTCTATTGCTGAAGCCAAAGAGATCTATGGCAGCGTCCCAGGCCCACACTTCAACCCAAGGTCTGCGAAAGATGAGAAAAAGGATATTCTTATTTCAGAGAGAAAGCCCATTCTGTCTCTGCATCTCAAGGTCATTCACAAATGCTTTTCCCCTCTCATCACGCTAAGACATTTCTAATCCCTTGCCTTGTTGGGTCTTGTCTCTTAATTAAGGAATAAGTTGCATCAGTCATTGGGAGCCAAGTATTTAAAAACATCCTAACTCTGTGCTTCCACAGAACTTTTCCTGTCGGGGGCTCAGGGCCATTCACTCTGGCCCATCCCACATGTCCCTCTGCACCAGCTTCCTGGAAATCTGAGGGTGCCCAGGCTGCTTCACAGGACTGGCCAGGGTCTCGGCCTCTGTGGTGTGCTGGTCCTTCCTTTCACAGAACCCTGTCTCCAGGTTATTCAATTCTAAAAGTCACCTCCTCTCATCAGACGCAGCATCTTGCAAGCTGGATTAGGTTGCCTGGGGGAGAGGACTATGAGGCAGACTACATAGCCTGAATCTTCAGAGAGCTACAATATTCTATGAGCTCCTATATTCTATGAGCTGCTCTACTGCCATCTTCCCCAGAGCACAAACTAAGTGCTTGGAAGTCCTGAAGCCCCAAACCCCAGCATAGGTGGGACTTGAATCCAAATGAGCCTTAATTGTCTTGCTGAGAGTCCTTAGAGAGAACATAAATGCCTTGTCTTGGTTGTAGGTTTCTGTCTGCTTCCTCGGGGCCAGTGATTAGTTCCCAAGAGGAATTGGCCCAGGACCTCTTGGTCAGTCTGGATTTTAATGTCTCTTATTTTTCTCTCTCTGCTAGGGCCTCCATGCTGCCTGGGCCTTGTACCAGTTGAAGAGGTGGACATTCCTGACTCCTGCCAAGTGGGTGGAGGAGACTGGCGGCCCTCGGGGCCTACATAAAGAGGAAGCTGGGATACATCTCCTCTGTCCCCAGATCACCGGTGCACGTGGCTTTTGAACCACCTCCTCCCACAATTAGGCAGAAGCCAATATCCCAGAAAGACTATATATTGTTCATTTGTTTTTTAAGAGACAGAGAAAAAAATGGTATTTATTTTTCTATTATAGCCATATTTATATATTTATGCACTTGTAAATAAATGTATATGTGTTTTTATAATTCTGGAGGAATCCTCCCTTTTGAGGTACAAGAGGGAAAGAGACAAGTCCCCCCCCCCCAACGATTTCAGGAATCATACCCAGAATGAGTATCACAGAACCTGTAGCCGCTGAGGGCTCAGGATGCCCCCCGGACTGCTGATGGAAGGAAGGACCTTGGGGTCACAGACTGGAGCCACCCTTGAAGATGTCTAGATCTGATGGCACAGGACACCGTTCCTAAGATGCCATGAGAACAGACCAGCGTGTGTACAGCAATAGAAGCATTAACAAACCTTCCAGAATCAATAATCTCTGGCAACATAGCCCTGTAAAAACAAACACTGTAACTTCTAAATAAATGTTTAGTCTTCCCTTTAACCTTCAACTTAGTCATGTATGAGTCAGCAGTTTCTTTACAAGTCAGAAACCAGTCTCACGGTCATTGGAGAAAAGATCCACTTGTGACATTTTCAGATCCATCAGAGGAAAAAGTCTACACACTCTAGCAGATGTTTTCTTTCGTGTTTTTTTTTTTTTTTAAAGCATTGAGCATCAGTTGTGTTTGGATTAATGTAGAATGTGTTGATAACTGTTTACTCCACAAGGGAAATATTGTATAATAGGCAACAGTTCTGGTTCTCTTGCCGACTGGTCTTAGGCGAAGCAGAAGGAAGCCAGTTCTCAGATAGGTCTGTGACCACCAGACATGTCACTCATAATACCATTAGGTGAATGCTATGCTATGTGTGAACATAGGTTCCTGGTAAGTCCATTTCCCTTCTTTCTAAAGATACATCAGCATTGCTGGAGTACTTCACTCAACATTTACTCATGCTTGTCCCACCAAAGAATCAGCCAGAGATTTTTTTTTTTTTTAACTGAAGAAACTTAAATCTTTAAATGTAGAACGGGGCCTAGATTTGAAAATCCTCACACTTTAAAGTTTCACTGGGTCTGGGGTAGGAGAGTGGGGAGAGGGAGGACAGGTATTTTCTATATTTCAGTCAAATTTAGAGCCAGAATGCCAGTTGACAAAATCACATTAAGAGCTGAGGCAGTACCTACTGTGGAGATACAAATCAGGAAGATTGACAGCCATAGTTAAGAGGTCAGCCTAGGCAACAGGTTCATAAGGCTCTATTTCAATGAACAAGATGCACGTGTTAGTGTCCATCTGTCATTGCAGAAGTATTAGGATGACCATCCAAGGCCAGCCCACGCCCAAAGTACAAGACACTATCTGAAAAATAACTAAAGCCAAAAAAGGAGTGAGGGTATATAGCTCAACTGGTAGGATGCTTGTCTACTGAAGGCAAGGACCTCAGCTTCGATCTTACAAAAAAGAAAGGAAAGTTTTATAAGAGAAAAGAAAAGGAAAAAAAGTTGAACTGGACCTTTAGCTTCAAGTCACAAAAAATTACTAAGCATAATCAGGTGCAGCTGCTGAGTCTTCAAACTCTGAATGGGGCAATTGCACCCTCTGCTGTTCAGAATAAGTAGTACACATGTTCCTCAGGCACGTATCTTTTTTCTGTTGCTCAACTAATCTTTAGGAAAGCAGTATTTAAAAAATATTTGTCAAAATGACTAGGGTACATAGAAATCTCAGGAAAATAGCAGGTCTGGGGAAGAAGTAAAAGGTGAGAGCCTAGAGGTCATTTCCAGAAATGGGCAGGTCTAATATCCTCAAGTCTTCACTTTGCTCATCAACACCAAGAAAATATGCTCACGTAGTCAGTCATACCAGTGAAAACCTTAAAAATAACAACATCAACAACAAACTTTCCTCTGTCTTTTCTCCTTGTTGATCTAAGATTATTGCCAAAGTAGTTCATTGTAAATGTCATTGAAGGGATAAAATCCCTGCTTTTTGCAAGTCTGGAATCCTGACACTGAATAATTTTATCACTGTTTTGTTGTTTGTTCTTGTTGTTGTTTAAAAAGGCTTGGATCAAAACCCATGTGCAGTGAGATAAATGTGTACATCTACCTTATCCAATTGCATGACACATGAAAGGTTGGGACACCAGGGCACCAGTGTCAGCTTAGAAAATGACAGCCACTGGACCCCGGTGGCTCATGCCTGCCATCCTAGTTACTCAGGAGGCTGAGATCTGAGGATCACGGTTCAAAGCCAGCCTGGACAGGAAAGTCCCTGAGACTCTTATCTCCAATAAAACCACTAGAAAATCGGAAGTGGTGCTGTGGCTCAAGCAGAAGAGCACTTGCCTTGAGCTGAAAAGCACAGAGACAGCGCCCAAGCCCAGAGTTCAAGCCCCATGACCATCAAAAAAAACAAAAACAAAAAGAAAATGAAAGAGCCCAGATAATCAATTCTATTTGCATTTTGTACTTCTTGATTACTGTGATTATAAACCTATTTAAAGTTCTGAGTCATTGTGCCACCGCTACATAAATTGCCGGAAGAGAAGAATAAGGTCTGAGGGGTGGGTGGATGGGAACTGGTAGGAGGTACCGGGGTCAGCTGGTAGCTCGTGGACTTGTAAAAGTGGAAGTTTTCTCTGATAGAATTTTACTAAACATAAATAGTGACAGGCCTGGAGTCTGAGGTATCCTTTGTTTCTAGTGCTGAGATTCCGTGATATCACAGACAAAAGTTCAAAGTGACCAGGTCATATTAATGACTGATCCACAAGTAACTCAGTGCATGCTGAGGTTTATGGTGAGGCTGCTCGCTTGAGCACAATGCAGGAGGCAGAGAGTAGTGAGATCAGGACAGCAGGACAGCTTTCCAGCCTTCCCCGTCCAAGTCTCTCTGCTGCTCTCTCTTGGTTGAAGCTTGAATTCTTGGAAATTCAGAGCTCAAACTTAACTACAGACTTAAATGTTGAGTTAAACAGAAATACAACCACATCTGTTGATACAACTTGTTCAATTCAACATAAAATAATGGAGTGTTATCTTGTCAAATCCAAAACATGCTGAACAGTACAGATTTAACTTCTGCTTCTGTCTAGTTCAAGTTGCTTTTGAGCTAAACAAATGCATTGAATCTATGACTAGCAGGTCCATAGACTGTTAATTCGGTCACGCTACAATTCCAATACAGAATTTTAGAATGGGAAGATGATATAACTTCTAGCTCATGCAACTTACAAGGGGACAGCATATCAAGATACCACTTATTCAGATAGTGGCTTCACAATGGCTCCCAGTGGTTTCCACCTGGTATTCAGTCTGTTTAGTCCCTCCCACATCACAAACCCAGCAGGGTTGGCCCGTGTGACTCATGCTGTAACGGTGGTATATCTCTGCTGAGATTAGATCATCTTTTCTTATTCTCTCTCCCTCACTCTTGTATGGTTGGCTCTGGAGAAATCTTGGTGAGCAGCCCTGTGGAAAGACCTATGTGCTGAGGAACAGAAGCTGGGTCCTGCTGACAGCCAACTGAACTCAGAAGTAGTTCCTCCAGCTCCAGCCAAGTTTAAAATGACAGTCTCAAGTCACAGTGTGATTACAAATCTGACATAGGCTGAGCCAAAGACACTCAGCCTAGCTGCTCCTAGATTCCTGCCCTTCGCAAACCTTCTCACTCTGACGAGATAATAATTTTGTTGTTTTAAGGTAAGTACGGGGTGGGGGTGGGGGTAAATTTTTTTTTACATAGCAAGAAACATTTATGACTAGCACATTTTTTTAAATGCCTGAATTTAGAGCATGCATACATGCAGGAATGAAAGTGGCAAATCCAATCCATTCTGCTTGAGGTCATCAGCTACAGGTTACGAGCCCTTGGCACTGCTGGGTCACCTTCTCCACCTAGGCAATACAGGTATTATACTCTTCCCTGCCTTAGCGACCAGCTACCATGTTGAGATAGACCAGACAGCGAGTAGCTCATTGAGCGAACTACATGATTACCAGCAGGAAGCCAAGTATCGTGAGATCTTTCTTTATTGGATGCAGCCATGAATTTCAATGAACACTTGGCTGAAACCAAAAGGATGCTCTTAATTAGTTTAAAATATCCCACCTAATTAGAAGAGATAGAGATGATCTTTCCAAGAGATACAACTCTATTCCATTTCTTTCTGAGATGTATCAAAACCAGAAAATGATTGAAGTCAAATCTGAAAGAAGATGGCATAGGGCATGAAAAACTATGAGAAATACTTAGAATACTGATGGTGTTGCACAAATCTTCAAAGACACGCTTCCTTACTGATTGTTTTTGCAAAGCACATCCCTCTGCTCCGCTCAGAACTGAGGAGTCTGCAAAAAGCAGGTGATTCAGGAAGCTGGTTATTCTGTTTTCTGCCCACCCAAAGCAAACTAAAGCAAGCTGCTTTGCTATGTTCTGTCTGCATTTCCTGAACTGTGAGCCCTCAAATAAGCTTTCTGAAATCAAGAATGCCACTTCTAATCTGTATTCCTTTTTCTGAGATAGCAAATAGTTTGTCTTTTTTCTCTATGCCCTCCCAGAGAATATTCAATACAAATAAGCTTCATTTTTCTAACACTGGAAGGATAGAGAATGGAAGTTTTCTTATGGGTTACTGACTGGTCATTTTTCTTTCTAATGGCTAAACATTCAGAATACTAGAGAAAGAAATTTTCCTAAAACAAAGTATTTTACAGATGCTTCTCACAGTGCTGAGAGAGAGAGCCCTTTGAGAATTTACATTCTGACAAGCACGGTCTAAACAACTAAAATGGTTCCGTTCAGCAATAACTAGATGTCAGGTACTACAGCCACTTGGAAGACAATCAATTTAGAGAAAAAAATATTAAATCACATGACAGAATCTGATTTAAAATTTTCAGTAATGAGAAGAGAGTAAACTTAAAGGTCCATGGGCTTCATTCCATCTTCTGTCCTGGATGGAATGGGGGGGAGGATAAGGCCTCCTTTTTTACGCAGGAGAGTGATTTCTTCCTTTAAGGCTGTAATCTTCTCTGCCTGGGTGTGAATCAGTTCAGTGATCTTCTCTTTTGCCAGGATGTCTGCTTGCTGAAGGTTCTGGAAAGCATTGCCCTGTTGGAAGAAAACATCTCTGCTTTAAGCATCATTTGGAATGTGAAAAATCTGTGGGAAAAACTCCTGTCTGTTAGGAGTGCAGATCTCACAGCTGTTTTAAACAACCACTGCTCCTTAATTTAAGGGGCCTTCCACTCCTGGGCTAAAATCCCTCCTGTAGAAATGTGTGCCTTCAAACCAACTTTTAAAATGCAAATCCCCTTGGGGAGAGCAACATTTTAAGCTACCAGGCATTCATTACCTGAAACCACATCACAGAGACCACAAAAGATAAGTATGGGTGTCTTATGCAACTCACACTTCAGTTCCCCAAAAGAAACCTCAATTTCCTCATGTGATTTCTCTCCCAGAGAGAAATCTGACTCTGGCTCAGGCCACAGACCTCACATTCAGGGAGGCCTTTGTCTCGTGGACTAGGTTAGGATTTCCTGCTCTCCCCCACCAAAACATATATAAATATATCTTTATCTATCCAAGATATCCAATTATATGCATAATTATAATTATCAGCCTGAATCACATGAAACTTAGTATATCTGATTTTTTAAAAAATCTAAGATAAGGTAATTTCATATAGTTTGGCCTCATTGCTGACTTGATACCACTTTCTAAGAGGCTAGATCCACTGCCATGCAACAGCATCCCCCACTCTACCCAGTGCCAGTTCTAGTGCTCCTTACAATAGTGGATGGTCAGTATACTTTGAACAAACACATTTGTTAAGGAAGGACATGACTCAGCACCCAGAGCAAGGTGCTGTCCATGTGCCTCCTCAATAATCCTTCACAACACCTACAAATGTGCTATTACTCTACAGAACAGAGGCTCAAGAAACTCATTACCTTGCTCATGTAACTGTAACCCCTCTGTACAGCATTTTTACAATAAAAAAAAAGTACCAAGAAAAAGAGGATGGCAAGCTGCCTAAGCTATTACAATTTCAAGGATTAGAAGCAAGGTTAAAAATATTTTGCCTGAAACCCAGAGTCCATGAATTTTAATTTCCCATATTTGCTTGGCAGACCTTTGGAGTTAGTAGCATCTTTCTGCCTCTTCTCCCTTACACGCCCTTATCTTAGAGGCTGTCAGTGCTAAACACTAGCCTTACCAGTTTCTCTTCCAGCTAGGGTTGGGGAAGAGGATGTCAGCAGAGCACTTTTACCTTCTCATGTGTGGATGTGAGAGTCTAGCATGTGGATGTGAGACAGAGCTGAAGCAGCTCCTTCTGACCAAAGGAAGCATTGAGATTCCAGCCCTGATGTAATGGACCCACACTCTAAGTCAAAATGGGTGGTCACAAGTTTCAACAGCTAGTGGCTCAAGTGGTAGAGCACTAGCCTTGAGCTGAAGAGCTGAGGGACAGCGCCCAGGCCCAGAGTTCAGGCCCCCCCCCCCCCCCCGCAAAAAAAGTGCTCAGGTTTCTCTGCTGTGAGTCTGTGTTCCAGCCTCAGTGTCAATTTGTTTTCTTTCTTAATGCTCATCATTGATTCTTGGTTGTTGTTTGGTTTGGTTTGGTTTGGTCACTTGTGGGGCTTGAACTCTGGGCCAGGGAGCTATCCCTGACCTCTTCCACTCAAGGCAAACACTCTACCACTTGAGCTACAGCACCACTTTCAGTTTTCTGTGGTTTACTGAAGAGTCTCACGGCCTTTCCCGCCCAGGCTGGCTTTGAACCATGATCCTCAGATCTCAGCCTTCTGAGTAGTTAGGATTACAGCCACTGGCACCCTGCTGATTCTTGGTTGTTAAGCCCTGTTGATGGCAAGGATTCCTGAGACTCAAGTGTTGAGGTTTGCAAAGTCTTGATAAGGGCGTCAGTCAATGAGAGCTCCACCTACAGCCCCTAGATTATCTTCTACCCGAAGTATCCCAAGACCCAAAGTGAGCACATCACACTTGGTGTGAAGAGGACAGTTGGCCATCAGTGGCATCCATTCCAGCATTTTTGGGTAAGACATGATAAAATAGGCAAAAGCAAACCAAATAACATTGCCTCATGGCCCTGTACACTGATCTAATTACATTTGCCCCCATCTAACAGTGCCCACCTCTAATGGGTGGACCTCAGCTCCAGTGCCATCTAAGCACTTGATAAACATGTGTCAAGCCCAAATTAAAGTGAAAAATACTTAACCACTATTTTCCTGGATCCTTTTAGATCCACTTTGCTGAAATTTTGGTTCATGGTATCCTCAAAAACATGGATGTGAAACTGGGTTAGAGGTATAACAGTGCCTTTAAAATGTTCCAGTCATGAGGTAATTCGTTAGGCTGCTTTGATTTGAACTCGTGTTATTGATATTGTGCAGCATTGGGTACTCAGATTACTTAGCAATGATGTGTTGGAAAATCATAAGTGTATGGAAGGCCTGGGGTTTATATCAGATCAGTCTTAGGAGCTAGGGTTGGGGCTGTGCTTAGTGCTAGAGGGCTTATCTAATATGTGAAGCCCTGGATTCAAGTCCCAGGACCCCCACTTTCCATTCTTGGTCTGTAAAATGGAACTGATTTTTTAGCCTGCTTTACATAGTGTTTAAAACAAAATGTTTTAAATATAAATATTTTATATATTGAAAAAAGTTTCAACAGCTAGTTGAAACACACACACACACACATACACACACACACACAACCCAAAACACAAAACCCCAACAAGCACTTTAACAAGTGAACATGTACAAAGATCCCACAATTCAACATACCCACTTTAGGTAAAAATAAATAAATAAACATACTAGAAACAGATGCATGACACTAAATTCAAGTATCTTAGTACCCTTACTGAGTCAGTGTCACCTGAGTGCCTGGAAATGGTCCAAAAGCAATTCTTTGGAATAGTGACTTCAGTTCTGAAAAGGATCTGAAGGGAAAGCGCCTACCTGCTGGTTCTGCAGTGAGTTCAGCCGAGAATCAAGTTTCCTCTTTTCAATACACAAGTCGTTCATCTGATGAAGCTTCTTCGTGTGTTCTTTTGTCTTCATCATCAGTTCCCATCTCATTTGAGCAATCTTTTCCTAGCCGGGACAGAGAGATGGGAACAGATTCAGTGAGTAACAGGCCCTTAGGCCTTTGAGTCCCACAGAATTTCTCACTTCCATCCAGGTTCAACCAAAACCAGCCACTGCCCCCTCCTCACCTCCCACATCTTCATTTCCTTTGCATTCAGCAGCTCCTTTCGAAGTTTTCGAATCTTCAGTTCTTCAAGAGTTGTATTCACTGAAAGCGTCTGCAGGGCCTCTAGATCTATCACCCGGCCAAACTTGCTGATCATTAGTTGACTGACTGTTTCTTCCATTTCTAAAAGAACATGGTCACTGTCTCATGAGGCTTGATGGCCCTTATGGTTGTTAAATGAGTACTACCACATTGTTTCTCGTGCACTCAGGTTATGTATATTGCATATATTAGTGAGAACATGTGGTATTTGACTTTGTGCACCTGACATTTTATTTACTGTAAAATTGGATCCAAGTGTCCAAATGACAGGATTAAAAAAACATTTTGATCATTTTAAAGGCTAAATAATACTCTGCTGGGTATATAAATGGTATTTGCTTTACTAATTAATTTCCTGATAGACTCTTGGATTTATTCCATATCTTGGCTATTGAGAATAATACTACAATAAACATGGTTGTGCAAATGTCTCTTTGACATACCAGTTTCATTTCATTTTGAGATATATCTAGTAGTCAGATCTTTTATGATCTCAAAATAGAAGAGGCTTTATTAAACAATAATCACATAATGCACAGATATAGATACATGATATTTACCATATCAAAAGCTAAAATGTCTTTTTGTGTTTTTTTTTCCAATCTTGGGACTTGAACTCAGGGCCTGGGCACCTTCCCTGAGCTTCTTTTGCTCAAGGCTGGTGCTCTACCACATGAGCCACAGTATCACTTCTGGCTTTTTACGTTTATTTGGTACTGAGAATTGAACTCAGGGTTTCACGCATGCTAGACAAGCACTCTACCTCTGAGCCTAAAATGTCTTTTACATAGAAGGTATGTCACAAACTAGAAAAGATCCAAAGTGCAGTTAATAGACAAAAAAATAAGAATTCCCTAACATCACTATGAAAAACATAAAGATAGAAATACAAAAGTGTGCAAAGAATATGACCAGCAATCACCACTTCCAGTTTTCTGGTGGTTAGTTGGAGATAAGAGTCTCACCGACTTACCTCCCTGTTTTAGCTTCAAACCACAATCCTCAGAGCTCAGCCTCTTGACTAACTAGGATTACAGGCATGAGCCACTAGTACCTGGCTCTGAGAGACTCTTATTTCCAATTAACCAGCAAAGAGCCAGAAGTGGAGGTACGGCTCAAGTGGTAGAGGTCAGACTTGAATGAAAAAGCTAAGGAAATGTGTGAGGCCCTGATTTCAAGCCCCAGTACATTCATACACAAAATAATCTAAAATAGTAAAATAAAATACAAAACAGGACAGTGGGCTGGGCACTGGTGGCTCATGCTTGTAATCCTAGCTACTCAGGAGACCGAGATCTGAGGATTGTGGTTCAAAGCCAGCCCAGGCAGAAAAGTTCGTGAGACTCTTTTTTTTTTGGGGGGGTGGGGGTGGTCCGGTCATGGGGCCTGAACTCTGGGCCTGGGCACTGTCCCTCAGCTCTTCAGCTCAAGGCTAGCGCTCTACCACTTGAGCCACAGCACCACTTCTGGCTTTTTTCTTTTTGCTTATGTGGTGCTGAGGAATCGAACCCAGGGCCTCAGGCATGCAAGGCAAGCGCTCTACCACTGAGCCACCTTCCCAGCCCCAGTTCGTGAGACTCTTATCTCCAATAAACACTCAGAAAAAGCTGGAAGTGGTGCTGTGGCTCAAATGGTAGAGCACTAGTCTTGAACACAGAGAGGGACAATACCCAGGCTTTAAGTTCAAGCCCCAAGACCAGCAAAAAACCGAAACCAAAACTGGACAGTGATCTTTTCATGGTAACTGGGGAGATGTGAGGGTGTTGTTTCTTCTCAGAATGTTCTGGTTCTGTGATTTCCAAGCTGGAGACAGATGCTTTCCAGTTGCCATATGGGCCCATAAGTACTATGAAGCAATCCATGCATGCACTTCGGTACTCACCCTGTATGGTTTTTGCCATCTCTCTCTTTTCTCGGATGAGCATTTTACGCCTCTCCCGGCATTCTTTGTTAAGTTTTTGCTGCTTGTTGTTTTCATCCTGGAGCTGTACGATTCGTTTTTGAAGCCTTTCTAAGGAATGGTTAGAGAAGACCAAAGTCCCAGAAAGATCATTTGGTATTTCCCCAAGTACCATATACTCGATCTGTAAAGACAACACATGACAACAATCAAACACAAGACAGGCAAAAATAGAAATTAAAAGGGTAAGGCAGAGGAATGCGCAGAGGGAACACTTCTTTCCCCATCCCTAGTCTACCTCCTGGCCTTCGGACTTCTCCCTCCTGAGGCAGTGATCAGGTGACTTTAGAGAGTAAGCCACATAAAGGCTTTTCGAGGAGAGCAAATATTCCCACATAAGTTGTGCCTAATATCTTGCCTAACAATGCAGCTGTTATTTTCAGTGGCATGTATTAAGGCTGTCAGAGTGTGGCTCAAATGGTAGCATGCCTGTCTAGCAAGTGTAAGGCCCTGACCTCAACCCCCAGGACTATAAAAACAAACAAAAAAACATTTTGCATATTAGGCAAACACTTCCACAGAGATTTTTCTATTTGGACCAATCTACACATCTTCCCTTCCTAAAACACCACTACTTCTTTTAACCTAAGAAAAGAGAATACAAATGAGTGTGCTACTTCTCATTGATAGACATTTCCATGATTTAATCTAAGTTGCAATTCAAGTAGATAGCGAATATGAACAAAATGAGGGGGAAACGAAAATATTTTTGCTGGATGCCAGTAGGGCTCACACCCATAATGCTAGGTTTCAGGAGGCTGAGATCTGAGGATTTGAGTTCAAAGCCATCTAGAACAAAAATGTCTGCAACACTCTGTCTCCAAATAACCAGCAAAATGAACTGGTGGCATGGATCAAATGGTTGAGTACCAGCCGTAAGCAAAAATAAAAATTAAAAAAAAAAATCCAAAGCTAATGCTTTGAGTTCAAGCTCAAGAAACAGCAAAAAAGAAAAAAAGAAAAAGAAAAAATATCTTCATTTTGTTGTCTTCTTCGTTATTGAAATTAACTGACAATAATTCTTCAGTTCATTAATTCAGACAACTTCATTCATTTCCTTAGACTTGACAAATTCATTCATTTCCTTAGACCTGAAAGGATCAAACTTGTAAAGTGATAATGAGCCAATGTTTTGGTGCTACTCTTTCGCAACAATCTGGATAACAGATAAAAAAAGCTGGAGAAGCCGCACCGGTGGCTCACGCCTGTAATCCTAGCTACTCAGGAGGCTGAGATCTGAGGATCACGGTTCAAAGCCAGCCCGGGCAGGAAAGACCGTGAGACTCCTATCTCCAATAAACCACCAGAAAACCGGAAGTGGCGCTGTACCTCAAGTGGTAGAGAGCTAGCATTGAGCTGAAGAGCTGAGGGACGGCGCCCAGGCCCAGAGTTCAAGCCCCACGACCGACCAAAAACAAAACAAAACAAAACAAAAAAACTGGAGAGTCCTTTGAACAGTCAGTATCCTCCACCAAGGGCTATAACCCTCCCTCCAGGTGACCTGCGAATCTGTGGGAATGTGTCTGCTCAGACGGTAGTCACTTCTCTGCCTCATCACCTGGTGGAGCTTGAGTGGAATTGCAACCAGCAGTTCATTCAGTCGCTGCTGCTTCTCCCTCTGATAAGCCTCTAGTGCCTCCTCCGCTGCATTCAGGTTCGCTGCCACAACTTTCACCTGTAGAAAGTCCCATTGAGAGCTGTTGGGAACACTACACGAACAAAAGCACACCGACAGTGGTAAATAACGGCCTCTTAGGAATAAGTACAAGGTGAGCAGGATTGTTGTGTTGGGCTGTGATTAAGGGCATGCCTTCAGGCTACAGCCCATGAATGTAAATTATTTTCTTCCTGCCCAGTTATGGTCCCACATCACCTTTTCAATCATCCCATGTCTAGAGTTGTAAAAGTTTTATGAGTAAAAGGTGAGAACACATGTCCTCACCTTCCATTTTCAGCCTGAAAAATGGCCCTGGGCATGAAAGCTGTTTGCCAAAATAGTGGGACTCTTGTTTGGTCATAGTGACCCCAAGAAATTAAAGAAGAAAGTGCTTTGAAGCAATGAAAACTATCAATAGTGTTTCTAAAGCATGTTCATTTCCTGAAAAACGTGAAACTTTTCCAGATCATTTCCTATTTACAGGAGGAGAAGAAAACTATTAAAAATATTTCTGAATATATTCAGAAGTTGAGTGATGCTGCTCTAGACAGAAAATGCTCATGGAGAAAGAAAATCAAACAGAAGTAATATACTGGTTGGTAAGCTTAATGATCTCCAACATGAAATGCATACACCCCAGGGGATCCACAAATCATCTGTTGACATGCAAAGAGAAAATAGCAGTTTCTATTTTTTTTTTTTGTCAGTTGTGGGGCTTGAACTCTGGGCCTGGGCGCTGTCCCTCAGCTCTTCAGCTCAAGGCTAGCGCTCTACCACTTGAGCTACAGCACCACTTCTGGCTTCTTCTGCTTATGTGGTGCTGAGGAATCGAACCCAGGGACTCATGCATGCAAGGCAAACACTTTACCAAGGAGCTACCTTCCCAGCCCCTTGTTTATTTATAATCTCATTCTTTTAAGCATTTCATGATCAACAAAATATACTAAAGCAATATGTCTTAAATATAATTCACAAACATGTATACGTTTATTGTGGGAGGCTATGTGTCATGAGTGTTTTCTTATAAAATTACATAACCCAAAATGTATACAATGATGGGTTCAAGTGGCCTGTAATCCTCCTAGCTAGCTAGTCAGAAGGTGGACATTAGAATAATTGTGGCATGAAGCCAGCAAAGAAAAAAGTTCGCAAGATTCCAATTCAAACAATCTAAAGCTTGGTTCAGTGGCTCTTCATCCTCAGTAGCAGTAAGCTTAAGTGGAGAGATCACAGTCCAAGCCAGCCTGAGCAAAGGGTATGACCTTATTCAAAAATAAAGAAAACAAAGTGCTGACAGCATTGTTCAAGTGATAGATTCTGCCTAGCATGAGGCCCTGATTTAAAACCCAGTACCATCAAAACAATTTGGAAACAAAGGCCAATCGTCAAAAGAGCAATGGAGAAAAATAAGGGAAGGAGTAACAAGTTTGACAAGAAATGTATTTTTTACCTTACTTATGTAATTAACCCCTCTGTACATCAGCAATGGTGCTGAGTACCAGTGGCTCATGCTTGTCATCCTAGCTACCCAGGAGGCTGAGATCTGAGGATGGCAGTTTGAAGCCACCCCAGGAAAGATAGCCCATGAGATTATTATCTCCAATTAACCACCAAAAAGCCAGAAGTGAACCTGTGGCTCAAGTAGTAGAGTACTTGCCTTGAGCACGAAAGCTCAGGAGTAATGCCCAGGCCTGAGTTCAAGCCTTAGGATCCACACCAAAGGGAGGAAGAAGAGGGTACATGGCATACTGAGAGAGGAAAAATAAGTAGGTAGACAGCCATACTTTTTTGGACAGTGTGTCATATTCTTTTTTGAGGTTATCAACAATTTTTTTTTCTTCTACTAAGGCCTCCTCGATGTCCAGCCTTTTCTCTCTTAGCTGAAGAGCCAGTTCAAAAAGATTTGGATTACAGTCTGGAAAGCGAGTTAAAAGAAATTGGTTGGAGAATGTAATAATATTAGAAGTGTGAACTTTGAAGTTTCAGAATCAATCATGTCTATCCATACTATCTACACTACCAAGCTTCCAATGTGCCTATGGCTCCTCTGATCCACTATACTAAAAGTGAAGGTCTACACATACCCAGAGCCAGTGAGAATAGTATAGACATTATCTCACTAAAGACTAGGCCCCACAAGGTAGAAATTATTGTCCTTTTTCTATAGGTGAAGACCCTAAGTCTGAGAGAAGTGGCATCCTTGGTTGGGACTTAAGTGTTCTCAAATGCATCATCTCTGTTCTTTGCTCTCTATTACACCAAAAACTACATTTACTCACCAAGAAATAGCTGAAAAATGAAAAGTAAAACACTAAAATTGAATCACTAAAATTGAAAGAGAGCAGGGAGGCTTGTGATTTCAAGGACAGCTTGAATACACAGTGAGAAGTTAGCCCAAAAGGCTAAGGGCTGGGGATGGGTTCAATGTCAATTCCTAGCCCTGTGAAAAAGAGCACTTGACATGAAATTTAGGAACCTCAATTCCTGTCTTAGTTCTCCCATTTCACTGGTGGTATGATGTTGTCCAAGCCCTTTAATCCTGCTGGAATAAATCCGGTTGAAATTTTCATCTAAATTTAAAAGTTTAATTTCAAACTTCGTTTGAAATTAAACTTTTAAATTTAGATGAAAACTTTAAACATTGAGAAAATAGAATTACAAGCCAACAAAAATTGGCCTTATCTATTGAACTATTCACTTGTTGAGAGTGTACATATGTTAGTGTAGTTGCTCCAGACTAGCTTCCACCAGTGAAAACAGATGATAGATAGATAGATAGATAGAGAGAGAGAGAGAGAGAGAGAGAGAGAGAGAGAGAGAGATGATAGTAGATAGATTTCCAAGAAGTTGGATCAACTTGCCCTTCACAGATTTGAAATACAACAAATTTGAGTGAGTTCTTTGAAAGTACTGCAAAATAAATATCTACATGCTTTAACTTAGTGTTTCTCTGTAAAATGAAATTTTCTACCTAATCTATTAACTCTGACTTTTCTGTAAATTGTTATTCATAAAAGATTGCCTAGAAGCATAGATAGTAAATAATCTAGAGAACTCCCCCAAAAAGCATTAGACTCAACTTCATACTGTTTTAATTCACACTTTTTTAAACTTTATTACCCGAGAATTGAGAAATAAACAAAGGACATCCTCAGTATTGTGTATCTGCTTCGCAGAGAACAACTTACTTGAAGGACAAATGGAATCATCGAAAACCTCGTCTTCAGACCCAGATTCATCCTCATCGCTCTCTAAGCTGGATTCATCCTCACTTGATGATTCACTTTCCTCATCTTCATCTAAGGAGAGAGGAGGACTTGGTTAACAGGAAGTTGCTACGTCTTAAACTAAATACTAAGTCTTCAACGTGTTTCTTAATGAGTCACTCACTAGGAAAGTAACAAAGACATCAAATAAGAAATTACTGATATTTCAAAAGAGTTCAAAATATATAAGGATAGAAACCACACCTGTTTTCACCCATTCAGTCCAGCTGTAGCAAGAATTCTGAAGTTGAATGAAAATCCCACTCTTGATAACTAATCAAAGCCCTCCCATTCACACTGCCTATGTCTTATCACTTTGACCACTCTCAGCAAAAATTCTTTTAGAGATTTAGGAAAGAGTTATCTTACTTGTCAGTAGTTTTCTGTTCACTGACTGCCACCCTATTCCTCTGGGGGAAAATTTCCTTGATGTATTCTGAGCTGAGCTCTGTCTCTGTCTCTGTCTCTCTGTCTCTATCTGTCTGTCTGTCTGTCTGTCTGTCTCTCTCTCTCTCTCTCTCTCTCCTCTGACTACATAGCCCTTTCAAAGTAAGTTTCTTGAATATAATCTATCCTGTTCATCTTTAATGAATGACAAGAAATGTTTTAATTACAAATTCATAGGCAATATTTAAAAAAAAAATTTAAATATGAAAATATATCTGGTTCCCAAGGGTCTTAGGTATGGAGTTGTAGGCCTCTCCAGTGCATCCTAACGCATTTTCTTTCAAACACCTTGGGGGCATCTATGAACCACATGTCACAAATTTACAATTCCTATTTCATTTCATTTTTCTAACTTTCTTTTTTGTCTGGTGCTAAAAATCAAGTCTCGGGCCTCCAGAATGTTAGCCAGGTACTTTGCCTATGAGGTACTTCCAGCCTAGCTGAGAGGAATTGCACCCAGCTTTAGTCACAACCCTGTATTGCACAAACCCTGGCAAACATTTCTACTTTAAAATAGAGGAGCTATAAGCTACCTCAGCTCAGCCCATCCCCAGACAGGCAAAGCTATAGGATTTCCAACGTTTCATTCCTGGTCAGACATTCTCATAGTAACAGTAAAGAGGAAAAACAGAACAGTTGCTGACACTTCATCTGTGCAGAACCTCTACATCAATTGCAGATACACTTTGTCAGATTGCAGAGGGCTGCCAAAATGTTGTGAGATTCACTGAGGGGAAATTCTGATTACAGCCCCTACCTTTTCCCTATTAAGTACCTAGACCTGTATCAGTGTCCAATCAGAGGACAAGAGCCTCAGAATAGCTTCCACTATCACAGCCAATGTCAAAAGTGCCTGTTGGAACCTCCATCACCTGATCAAAGCTACCACTCTCTTATAGGAGTAATTAGAGACAGCATCTCATTTACTCTGCTGTCTAAACCACATTTTCCTGAAGTACTAGAGTGACGCCATTCTTCCAAGACCTATAGACATGTTGGGTCTCTTTGTCTCTGATATAGTATGCTCTGAACCAATAAATCATAAACAAAGGAGCTACAGAGAGAGTACACTATTGTGTCCAGTTGGAAGTAAAATCAATATTATACAACCCACTGATAGTCTGTCATCAAAAGAAAACTGCAGACAAATATTACCACATAAAAGTAGAAGGGATATTCAAAGGGATGTTCAAATCTCAACATAAGAACAAGAACTATCCGGCCTGGGCTGTCTTTGAACCATGATCCTCAGATTTCAGCCTCCAGAGTAGCTAGGGTTATAGGCATGAGCCACTGGTGCCTGGCATAATTCAGAAATTTTAAAACTCAACCGAAAGACTCAACAGACTAGATAAAAAAAAGAGTTAGAAATGTCAGAGCTTTGTGACAAATCTTTCAAACTATTACATTCTGGCAGGAATAAGAATTATAAAAACAAGAAATAAGAATTACAAAAAAATAAGAATTATAAAAACACACAAAATCTCGGGTCACCATTAAATATCTAGCTCATTGGCATATCCATAACAGAAGAGCAACAGGTGAAGGCACACAAAATACATTCAGTGGACATAAAAACAGAAATTCTCCAAATCTCCAAGTCCGGGAAACATTTAGAACCACAAATGGACATGATCAGAAAAAGAACTTTTCGATGAGATAAATTAAGTTGCTAAAAATACAAAACAAAGAAAATATAGTAAAATATGCAAGAAAGCACTATGTCATATTTAAAGACAAATCTATTACATTAACAGCAGACTGATTTTTCAGTAAAAAATCTAAAAGGCCAGGAGGGTATAAAATAATGTTCAAGTCTTCAAAGAAAATAACTGCCACTCAAGTTTACCATTCCCACCAAGTCTAGCCTTTAGAATCAAAAGAGAAATAAAGACCATCCAAGACACAGATATTCACATGCATGTGCACACACACGCTTATGCACGTGCGCGCGCGCGCACACACACACACACACACACACCCCAGATGTTTAGACAACCACCCAGGTTTATCTGCTCTCCTATCCATCCTCTCCTTGTTAATCCCTACATTATTTCTACATTGTTGTGGTTTTAAAAAAGCAGAATCTAAGAGGATCCTTTTTTTGGGGGGGTCCAGTCGTGGGTCCTGTACTCTGGGCCTGGACGCTGTCCCTCAGCTCTTCAGCTCAAGGCTAGCGCTCTACCACTTGAGCCACAGTGCCACTTTCAGCTTTTTTCTTTTTGCTTATGTGGTGCTGAGGAATCGAACCCAGGGCCTCAAGCATGCAAGGCAAGCACTCTACCACTGAGCCACCTTCCCAGTCCTAAGAGGATCCTTAGTAACTACTCTATTTCATGTCAGAGAGAAAATGGAATGATATGTAGAGAAGACTACAAACCGGCATCTCCTTCAGCCTCCTTTTTCTTTACTCGCTTAATCTTCTTCTTTAGGACCTTCATAAGGAAGTTTGCAAATTTGTTGTTTTCTCCAAGAGCCGTTTGAAAACTAGCATAGAGTGCCTTTTCTTGCTCCAGGAGTATATTGATTTCAGTCTTTTTCTCATCCATCTCTTTAAGAGTTTCATTTATTTTCCACTAAAAGAACAAAAGAAAGAATAAATAAATGTTTCTAATGAATCAGTTTCAGAGAATGATGTGTTTTCTAATGCAAAGCTATAATCTACATTGTTTAAAGTTTCTTAATAAATATTCATGTCTAATGTGTACAAAGATTAAAATGGTTAAAAAGTACAGTTCTTTTGTAAAAGTCAGTTGAGTTCAGAATCAGAAAGGCCAGATTTCTAATGCTTATTTTTTCAAAAAATTTAAATTCAATAAGTTAGATGCATTATATTCATATATTGACATATCAAATTGAAATCCCTTTGTGCAACCACTAAATTCCAAAAATTAGAATTTTTATTGTTATCTGGATGCTAGTCAATATCTTGTCAGGTCTCGAAAACAAAGATTTCTCTGTATTAATATAGGATTACAACAAAGACATTATCTCTAATGAAGCTGATGTACCTAAATTGATCTTACTCAGTAATTAAAATATCTACTTAGTAGAATCCTTTCTCTTTAACAAAATGGCATTACTTTAAATTCAACATATAGAAAAGTGTTCCCGGTGATATTCTAGTATAGAATACACTGAAATAGTTCATCACAGTTAAGAAAGTCAATGCTCATGGTAGTTTATAACAAAATACAGATTTGTATAATCCATGGATAAAATGGATATAAAGCTCACTTTTTAAAATCTCCTTCTCCTGCTGTACAAAATACTGGATCAAATTCACTAAAATATTTGTGCCATTTCTTTCTGACCAAGGCTAATGAAGATGAATAATAAGCACATATATCACAGGGGAAAAAGAGAAGACAAGAGAGAAGTGAGAGTTAGGACAAGTGTGAAAATCAAGGCAAGGAGAGAAAAGAAAAAGGAATCAATTCTCCATAATTAAGAAAGCACAAGTCGTTTAAGGATACAGGTGGACCCGTTGCAACTATGAGAAGTACAAGTTGTCATGTCCAAAACGAACTTTACAACTTTTGTGCGTGGGGGGAGGGGGGAGATTGGCGGGCAGGAGGCAGGGAAGGGATGTGAAGGATAAACAAAGGAGGAGGCTGCAATGCTTGATAAGAAATGTACTCATTATCTTGCCCATGTAATTGTAACCCCTCTGTACTGTATGTTCACAAAAAAATAAAAATTAAAATTAAATTAAAAAAAAAAGAAAGCAGAAGCTAGGGGTGTGCCTGTTCTTACTTGCATATCCTGCTCCTCTTTGTCTAAAGAATTAACACGCTCTTGAAGTATGTTTTCCTGTTTTTCAAAGTTCTTGAGAAGAAGCATTTCTTGAAATAATGTGACATGGTGTAGATCAGATAATTTCATCTGAGTGTCTAGTTTCAGTTTCTGGTGTCTCAAGAGATGGAGTTCTGCATCAAAAGTAACAATCAGTTCTTGGATCTGAGGTAGAAAAAACAGATTTGAGGATATGTAACTTAACAGGAGAAGTCAAATGTATTTTATTTAACTATTGAAGAATTTAGACTAACTTATCTAAAAGTATTCTTCATTATGCTCTTGCAATAAATGGAGGATTATCTATAAAGGTCACATAAACTATGTGTATTCATGAAATCAAATTTTCATAAATTATTAACTAGTAGAGATTCTGTAAGTATAGTTCTGTTTATTTTTTCCATGTTTTATTAGTATATATTAATTGTACAAAGGGGTCTCATTGTGCTATTTCTTTTTTATTGTAAAATAGTGTACAGAGGGGTTACAGTTACATGAGTAAGGTAATGAGTCTATTTCCTGTCAAGTACTGTTACTTACTCCTTTGTTTTTCCCCTACTATCCACTCCCTCCCCACCTCCCCAACTCCTCCCTTCCCCCAAGTTGTAAAGTTCGTTTTCAATATAGTGTCTTGTACATCTCATTGTTACAGTAAATCAATGAGCCAGCCTGTATCCTTGTTTCAGCATTTTGTTATTACCCTTCCCCTCCCCAAATTATAAAAATGTATATACAAGATGCAGGGCACCAACATCATTGTGCTATTTCTATACATGTATACAGTGTACCCCAATCAAACCCACCCTTCTATTACTCCCTTTCATTCCCCTCTCCATTCTCAAAACAATTTCAGTAAGTTTTCTTACATTTGTATAGAATACTTTAACCATACTCACCCTTCACCTCATACTTCAAGAAGAGTTGGTAAAGCTATGTCTTCACCATTGATTGAAGCATTAATAACAATGTTCTTCTCACTGCAGTGTATGGAGTGCAAGTTCTCTGTACATGGTGTTTATATCTGTCTGCTCTTTACTGCCCTTCCCTACAGCATCTTTCTCAGAGTACCATAAGTAAATATACTCCCTTAACTTATTTTGGAAATCTTTCATAGTTGAAGAATGGTCAATATTTTTAAATAACCACAGTCTTTGAGTTACAAAGAACTGTTCCATTTTCTTACTTTACAAATGAAGAAACAAGTTCGTTTTCCCGAGATGAAGCCTACATTATTATAATGGTGGGATAGGAGCCTAAGAATGACAATTCCTGTCCCAGACATTTCTCTACTGTTGTGTAGTCTTCAGTTTTGTCCTGATTTTTTTTTTTTTTTTGCACAGCTCTGGTCACTTCATCCCAAAGCATAGAGATCAAGAGAACCTCAAGGCTGACTTTCCTGAGGAAACTAGTATAATAGTATGAGGCAAACCAGTCTATGTTTTGTATTAGTTTAGACATTATACATTACACATTGGATGAAGTCTCAACTGCCTCTTGTGCTGTGGGGGAGGCCCACATGAGGAGCTATAGAAAAGCAAGATTTGTGGGGTTTGGGCAGTGAAGTCACTAGGCAAGTTTAGAAAGTGAAATCCAGAAAAGAAAAAAAGAAACTTTTAAATAAGTGTGGTTATAGACTACATTTTTGGGTTCCCCTTTCATGCTTGTTCAGTAAAAAAAAAAATATTCCTAAGTTTCTTGATAAACAGGACTATATTTTCTTTATCACAACACCATTCTGGAAGTGACCCATATAGATCTCCAATATGTATAAGAGTTGTTTTATTCTTTTATTATTTGAGATAGAATGCATTTTTCTTGAGTTACTTTCTATCTCTGCTACCTAGATAGCACTGTATCTATGTATTGAATGTCCAATAAATAGTTGTTACATTAATAAAACAAATGTAAGACGTGCTGACAACGGATGCAATGGAGTTCAGAAGCAAGGAGAGTCTGTAATGAGGGCAGAAGTTACTGCAGAGGGTACGGAACCCGGCTATCTTGGTGTGATGGCTCAGCTCTGGAAAGAAGTTGCTACAAGAAAGCCAGTGGAAGGAGCAAAGGAAAAAGCACAGCTATAAAAGGGAGCAGTGAGAAAATGGGGTTAAGCCAAGTAAAGACAATAGATTGAAGAACAGGTTGGGAAGTTATGGGGGGTGGGGTCACTCTCACAGGGTAGAACTGAAAAGACACTGAAGGGTGGGCGGACTCTACACGGCTGGTTGCAATCAGTTCCCAACATTTTCTTTTGCTCTCATATTCAAAGCCTAGCCTGCAAATCTGACCCCAGTTTGGTCCTGATTTTCCTAGAAATCACAGCACTTGCCACTCAAGCTCCCAAACCATTTCAAACCCAGTCAGTACCTTAGGTAACCCCTCCCCAACTATGGAGGGAGGGGGGAGGGCAAATCACACATTAGAGAAAGAACAGTGTGAAAAGCAGAGGAGTTGCTCATGTTTCAGGAAGGTTTTCAATTATGCTCCATCTATCCTCCAAAAGTTGCTCTTTTACTTCCTTTCACCAGGACCTCAAGTAGAGGCTAATTTACTGACACATGGGGTTGCCTATCATTCTTAGCTTAAAAAAAAAAAAAAAGGAAAATGCCAAAACTCTCAGCAGAGTACAAAGATTTCCAGAAGGCCAAGAGTGGGAAGCAAACCAAAGCCATTAGTGAGTGGTCAGCTGGTCAAGGCTTAGGAAAGGGTTACTGCAGAGGAATTTAAAACCATCCAACCAACCACAAACTAGATCGAACTCTTCCTTTCTGTCAGCTTTTAACACAAGGGCAGCTTTAGCTCTTACCCTGTTGTTCAAGTACTGTTGCATGTACAACTGTTTAACCTCATCCCTCTTCATGATCTCCATCTCCACCTCCGTTGGCTCGGCCTTTTCGAATTCCATGGGCTTTTGCACTTCCAGGCCTAGGCCATAGGCAGATGCCTTGGATGACCGCGATAAGGAATCCCTTGTTGTTGCATATCCTCCATCCTTCCCAGAAGACAGCCTGAGGAAGCCGCCACCTGTGCCCACCGACACACTCTGTCGCCCCTGCTCCAACCTTTCCCCGTCAGTTTTCATCTGCTTTTGCTTAAACTTCACGAGAGTTTCCTCGTCGTACTGAAATCTCTTTTCTGGGACTTCATCTGGGTATATCTGAGGGGGCTGAGGGATGGGCATGTGCTTAGAGATGTGAAGGATAGAGTGAATGTTCCTCAGTTCCTGTACCAAGCATTGTATTTCCTCAACAACAGCTACTTTAAGATCTCGGAGAGAGATGATGCATTTGTTCATGTTTCTTTTCTTTCTGTGGACCTGGAAAATAACAAACATTAAAAAAAAAAAATAAAGGAAGCAAAATGACCACCTTTTGGCAAAGGGAAACTTAAAATATCATCTGATTTCATCCCTTAATGGCTAGGCTTAGTAAAACTTTTTAAAATGTATCTGTCCCTTCTTTCAGCTCGAAATCACCCATTTCTTTAGCTTTTAGGGTTTTTTTTTCCCATTTACACTCCTATTCCCTTCCCCTCCTCTCCCTCCCCCCATCCTCCTTACCCTTCCCCTCCTCTCCCCTCCTCTTTCTTCCCTTCCTCTCCCCTTGTTTTCTCTCCTCTCTCACATCCTCCCCTCCTCCCTTCCTATCCCCTCTGTCCTTTCCTTCTCTTCCTTCTTCCTTCCACTCTTCTCTCCTCTCTTCTCTTCTCTACTTTCCTATACTGGCTAAAAGGTTGTTCCTTTGACCTTCTCCAGTCCTCCTGGAAGTCCTTCCTGAATACTCTCCAAGGAAGGGAACCTTTGATCGCTTTAGCTCAGACAAAAAATTCCCAGGTTGCTTATTCCAGCCAAACTATAAGCGTTCCTCCTCCCCCCACCTCTTCCCTGCATTCTCCCCAGAAACCTCCTCTCCATACTAGGGCTTGAACTCAAAGCCTCAAACTTTTCTTCCCCCAATTCTTGCTCACAATTAGCATTCTGTCACTTTGAGGCATAACTCTATCCTGGTATTTTTGCTGGTTAATTAAAGATGGAGTTTTTATAGACTGCTACCCAGCCTGGCTTCAAACCTTGATCCTCAGAGGTCTAGCCTTCTGAATAGTTAGTATTAGAGGTATGAGCCACTGATGTCCAGTTAAATGATAGTTCTAATAGTGCACAAGGAATTAGCATGTCATGAAGAAGAAACTTCAATAAGAAACACGAAGATTAGGATCATTAGATCCAGTTTAGAAAAATGTTGAGAAAGTCAGAAAGAGACATGTTAATAGGTTCAGTTGCTCCTTAAAAGCTAGACAAGTTGTAAAGACAATGTTAGTAATACATTTTCCCCTAAGTCCCTGGTGGTCCATGACTACCTGGTGGTCCAACAGGGGATAGTTTGAATTTCAGAAATACAAAGTGCAGAGACAGTGAAAAGCTTTCAACCAAGAGACTGGTATTGAGCTGTAGAATTAAAAGGCTGGTTCTGCCATTTTTGTTGATAAAAATCATAGATAAATCTGCTGTTCTCTCTAGGCCTTCATTTCCTTACCTATAAAAAAAGCATTCTAGATATCCATAAAAATAACATCTACCTTAGATGAAACCCAATGCTATGACATAGAGGGGTAAGTACCAAAGAGTCCAGTTGTCCCAGTTCCTCTTCCTTCTTGGCGGCATTTATTCTCATGTGCTCAGGAATCTTGTAGTCTGGGGCTGTTTTCAGATTGAAATCTCCCATGCATGTTTGGGCTTCTTTGATGGCTTGAACATCTCTGGGATCTTCATAGTCATCATCAGGTTTACTCTTATATCTATCAGAAAAACAGACAACCAAGACACAAATATAGCAATAAACCCTAATGTATCTACTTTAATATAGCTACATTCTAGAATTCAATCAGGATGCACTTTCATTATGTCACTGTAGTCTGAAGGGCCAAACCAGTTTTTTTTAATTATTGAATATTTTAAAGCACATTAATGACTATGCCAGACCCAATAACGTGAGTATATTATTATACTCATATCACCAGATTGCTATAATTCAAAGTATCAAAGAATAAAAGAATCACCTCAGTGATTGATCCTTAGGGATCAATCATACTCAGGGGAAAAATAGGGAGAAATTGAGGGAGGGGGTGACACTGTTCAAAAAGAAACATACTCATTACCTGACTTACGTAACTGTAACCCCTCTCTACATCACCTTTACAATAATTTTTTAGAAAAAGAATCACCTCAGTATACTTCGTAAAGGCATTTCAATAAATATAAAGCCTTTTAATATACAATGTATATAGTTGAATATATAAAATACCTTTTCAATATATATAAAGTTTACAAAGATAAAATTTGGGGCTCACATATTAAAAGGATAAGGATTTAGGTTAAAAACCAAACTTACAGTTCTTCCCATTCTTTCTTTCTTTGGAGAATCTTTAGTTGGGCTCTTTCAGCTTTTTGTATAAGTTTCCTTGTTTTCTCAATTTGATTTTCTACCATAATCTCACTTAGAGTTCTAGGTCGAAATTTCTTCCCTTTGTCTGTAGTTGATTCTTCTTGTATGCTTCTACTTCCACCTGTACAAAGAATCAGTATTATTTCCAAGCTGGCCACCAGTGGTTCTCACCTATATCCTAGCTACTCAGGAGGCTGAGATATGAGGAAGGCAATCCAGCCAAGGCAGAAAAGTCTGTGAGACTCTTATCTCCAATAAACTACTCAGAAAAAGCCAGAAGTGGTGCTGTGGATCAAATGGTAAAGTACTAGCCTTGAGCACAGAAAGGCTCAGAGCTTAGGCCTTGAGGTCAAGCCCCAGGAGTGGGAAAAAAAGAAAAGAATATTTCCAGTTTTTTGAGACAGATAAAAATATTTCAACAATTATTTTAACTTGCTATATAAAAATGATCCAGAGAATATACTGAATTTTTATTGAAACAAGCATCATGAATTTAGTCTCTCAAACCCAGATGCTCCCTGACTTATGATGGGGTTATATTCTGAGAAACTTACTAGCTATGGAAAACTCCTAAGTCAAAAATACACTCAACACACTTAACCTACAGAGCATCATTACTTAGCTGATTCTGCTTTAAATATGCTCAGTATACTTACCATTAGCCCACAGTTGAACAAAGTCATTACAAAATATATTTCAAAATAAGGTTTTGAATGTCTCATGTAATATTAAAATTGGACTGACAGTGAAAAATAGAATTGTCATATAATTGTACTTTTGAATCATTGTAAAGCAAAAGCATTGCTAGTCAGACAAAATAAAAATATCAAAGTCGTAAGTACTTCTCTTAAGGATCTTATTTAAAAATCAGCAATGTAAAACAGATATGTAGGAATTAGAGATGAAAATTAATGATGATAGATGACTGACAGCTATCAGGAAGCTGAGAAAGAATGTTCGCAATACTAAGAGAAGGGAGGGAAAGCAAGGAATCCTATTTAACACCTATAACTAGAGGAGGCATATACCAACTTATGTGGTCTGTGGCTAATTAAAAAACAATTTGGGGGGCTGGGAAAGTGGCTTAGTGGTAGAGTGCTTGACTTGCATGCATGAGGCCCTGGGTTCAATTCCTCAGCACCACATAAGCAGAAAAAAATGCTGGAAGTGGCGCTGTGGCTCAAGTGGTAGAGCATTAGCCTTGAGCTGAAGAGATGAGGACAACGCCCAGGCCCAGAGTTCACACCCCACACCCAACCAAAAAAAAAAAAAAAAGGAAAAACTATTTGGGAGCATATAATAATCAAATCCATAACTTGTAAATTATTACTTGCCAGGTACTAGTTGCTAATGCCTGATATCCTAGCAACTCAGGAGGCTGAAATCTGAGAATCATGATAGGAAGCCACCCTAAGCAGGAAAGTCCCATGAGATTCTTATCTCCAATTAACTACCAAAAAGCCAGAAGTGGAGTTGTGACTCAAGTGGAACAGTGCTATCTTTGAGCACAAACTAGCTCAGGGACAGTACCCAGGCCTTGACTTCAAGCTCCAGGACCTGTATACACAAAAATATTGACTAAACTCACTAGTATCTCATGGGGAATTATTCTTCATGTTCAAGCAATATAAAGATATACTTTAGATATACATAGAATAAATAGTAATATGAGATAGTTACATGGTTTTTAAGTTGTTACATTATATTTCATATTTCAAATATACTGAAATATAGAAAAAAAAGTTTGTTAAGTCTTAGGTGGTCATGAGAAAGCTTCTTAACAAATGCTTATTCGATTTGGATCCTCAAGAACTAGTAGAATTAAAATAGGAGGCCAGGCATGCAGTAATTGATACACACCTATAATCCCAGCTACTCCAGAGGTAGAGATAGGAAGGCTCCTGGTTTGAGACAGTAAAAAGTTAGTGAGACCTCCCTCCCCTCCATATCAGCCAACAACCTGGCAGTGGGGTATGCACCTTTCATACCAGCTATACAGGAGGTGCAAACAGGAATATCACAGTCTAGGTTGGCTTGGCCTGGGCAAAAAAAAAAAAAAAAAACACCAAAAAACCTTTTCTACCTAAAAAGTAACTAAAGCAAAAAGGACTGACTGACAGAGTAGAATACCTGCAGAGTAAGCATGTAGTCCTGAATTTAAACCTTACTATCTCCAAAAGCCATACATAAGAGAGTAAGCTTCAGGGTGGAGAGGGGTCTAAAGAGGGGTCTTCAGAGCACCAGGCTGGTCATGGACAGCACCAAGATGGACCATGGTCTAGACAGGTAAGCTGAGCAGTATGTAAAACCACTATCAGAAACTGAGATTCTGAATAGACTGTAGAAGGATTGAAATAACCATGATAATGGTTTCAGGATTTATCCTAGATACAGAAAGGAGACATTAAAGATTTCACAATGGAGAAGAAGAAGAATTAAATGTTACTCATGTTAATGTATCATGGGCAGCAGTCTAGATTTGGCCAGGCTAGCGCACCCTTTATTCATTCTTCACTGAGCCCTTCAACAAACTCAGAATTCTTGAACTTCTATACAGTTATTTTGCAAACAGTTTCCTCTCCCACCCAAAAATACCCAACAGGTTGCTGGGATTGGAGATCACATTTTCACACATGTACTCTTAGCTCATAATTCTGCTCAAAATATATGTTCTTGAAAAATAGGCTGAGGTGCAATGTTTTAGCTTTACATTAGGTGTGAAAACTATGAATGGGAAGGATGCACTGTCTAAAAAGTAGCATTTGGGAAAATTCTAGACTTGAGAGTTTTGGAAGTAGAAGTTAAGAAAGTCACAGCATCTGCTATTCTCACCCTGTCAGCCATGTGACCAGGATGGACTTTTGTTAGCAACCTGCATCAAATAAGAAAGCAGGAATGAGTATTTATTGGAGAATTATAGTATCTCATTCTCAGCAGTGACCCATTGCCCTATTTCTCTCGATTATGTGTCCCCTTATTGGGATATTATGTAAAAAAGGGAACAATAAATTGATCTTTTGCCACTAATGTATGTTCAATGCTTGTTACACAAAAAGACAATTTGATTTTATTAGTTGAGTAAAGATTTCAATTCCTTTTGCAATTTAGGCTACCTGAATCTTTCTGACTATCCTTTTTCCCGGGTCCTTCCTTTTCAAACCTCTCAAATTTGCTTTGTCTTCTCTCTGCGAGACTTGATCGCTTTAATTTGAAATACTTAGAAGGCTTCACCAGCCTATAGGAAGTTATCTTGTGATCACTTTGTATGGCATGAACTACAATAGTGTCATTTTCCAGAGGATCACGGAATCTAAAAAACAATAAAGAAAATGTGCAATAGCCACGTTAAAATGCCATTGTGCCATGCTAGACTCCAATTTGGACCATGTACATACCATCAGGCTGTAATAGAAGTTGGATTACATTTGACTAAAAAGCAAATAGAAATTCTTTCTAATGCAAATACTAAATAGCTCACCGTTCGTCAATACAACACCGCTGTTTTGCTAACGCATGTAAAAAATGGAAACTTACAGGCAGGTTGATGTTTAACATAAATCGATCATATCAAAATTTGAAGAAATATGATTCTCCTCCCTATGTGTTATAAGTAGGGAAACAAGAGACGAAAAAGAGGGTTATGGGGAGTGATGAATATGTTCTTGCCTACACTTTTAATTTTAGAATTTAAATATGTGTGTATATATATATATATATACACACACACACACATACACACACACATAAACACGCATCATTATTCTTTGCTTGTTATCTTAAGATTTTTTTGACTCAGTCCTTTTAATTCTATTTCTTTTCCTAAAACCATTTTTTTCTTTTAATTTTCTTCATAGCATAATAGCATTCTCCTATCTCTAAGAATTATTCCCTTTGCCTTTTATCCATTGGAGTTTTACTCTTGAAATTTAGCTTGTCTGTGAGATATATTAAGGATATGGATTACATGAACTGGTAGTTTTAATCAGACTAAAATTAAAACCTTTCCGTAGTTAAAATATAAACAAAGTATAAGAAAAATGGCTGAATATGAGACAGAATTACAACATTGTCTTACTAAAAGACAATGCCTACAATAAAAACCTTGAACTAAAACTTAAATAAGGGGGGGGAATAAAACAGCAATCAAAGAAAATACGCATTCTACAAAGAACAGATATAAACGAATTATAAACATATAGAAATAAATAATAGCCTTACCAATAATAAAAGGGATGTAAGTCATTGAACCAGAAGTTATTGTGTTTGCCCTATTAGTTTGGTTGAAGTGAAAACACTGGTAATGACTGGAGTTATTTGGTGGCACAACTTTATCTCTTTCCCACATTGTAAGCAGATAGCTAGGTACTTACATTGTCTTCTATATGTCTAATGAAGCCATGTGCTAGGGATGGAGGTGTATGGACCAGAGAGGAGAAGCAGAGCTTAAAGGAAGAATATTTGAGACTGGTAGAAAGTAAGGAAGAGATTTTTCTTGGCTAGAAGGAAGATGGGCAAATTGATATAGAACTGAGAACATTTATCTTCTCCTTGATAGCATCTGGAGAGATGGAAAGACCTCAAAATGATCCGGTGCATGGGGGCTTCTAAGTTCACCAGTAATGCTTTAGGAGAGCCACAGAATCAAAGAAGAGAAAGAAGTAGAGGTAGATACAGTAAATCTTAATAGGAATGAGACTAACTTTCCTGTCTTCTTGGAAGAATAGAGACTCAAAGTCAAATTTAAGTCAACTTATAAAGAATAGTCCCATTACTTACAAAACTAAGATTGTACATTAAGATTCATACTTATGTACACACATACACCCCTATATATATATGCCTATAAACACATTATGACAATTAAGTCCAAACATTAGCTGCTATGTTGAAGATCCCTTCTGAGAGGAACTTCTTATGTACTCTCATCTCTTAGAAGGTAGCAATTTAGTTACAATGTAGGAATTCAAATAATAACCAGGATCAAATATTCTAGGGTTTAATATTAGGTAATTCACAGGGCAAAGTACCAGACAAATGATAGCTGCATACTGTGCAAGAACCCTGAAGATCTATGGCAAGCTCTCCTCAGTCTTTAGGTCGGTGATGATCAGCATCAGAGCATGAGAGTTCATCTAGCTGAAGCTGGGGGAAAGAACTACCATGGACCACACAGAATAATCCCAAACCCCACACAGGATAGAATAGTGTGCTTTCCCAGAAATCTTGTTCTTCATGGGACGGGATGAAATAAGCAAAAGACTACTAAGGGAAAAAAATTAGCCCTAGACCAAAGTTGTCCTGATCCTATCTAACAAAGGTTACAAGCAAACTTCAAAAAAAGTATTTCAAGGCAACTAAACTAATATTTAATATCTGTATCTGATAAATATTTAAAGTATGAAAAATATCCATCATCTACAATGTAAAATTCACAATGCCTGCCATCAACCAAACTTTGCCAGGCAAGCAATAAAGCAGAAGAAGCTGGTTCAACTGAATAGAGGAACTTCATTCACTAGAAAACAGACAGAAATGACACCAGTGATATAACTTAAAGTCTTAGCATAAATTTTGTAAAAATTGACAAGCTTTTCTTTTTCTTTTTTTGGGGGTGTGTGGCAGCTTTTCTTTTTTTAATATTAATAAGTTTTTTATTGTGAAAATACTGTACAGAGGGGTTACAATTACATGAGCAAGGTAATGAGTACATTTCTTATCAAGCATTGTTGCCTCCTCCTTTGTTTTTTCCCTTTACCATTCTTTCCCATCTCCCTGCCCCCCGCTTGCCAAAGTTGTAAAGTTCGTTTGTCAACATAATGTCTTGTTCATCTCATTGTTGCAATAGGTCCACCTGTATCCCTATTTAAACAATTTGTTTTTTCCCTTCTCCTCCCCAAATTATACCGACATCAAACACAGTGAAAACAGGGGTTATACCATGGGGGGAGGGACATACAAAGCAACAAAGAAATCATCTTATAAATATGTTAGAAACAATAGCAAGAAAGAAAAACCATTTGAGTTCTTATCTTGGGGTTCATTTAGCCTAATATCAATTTATCTGACCATTTCTGAAAAATTGACATGCTTTTCTAATGTAAAAAATATAACAATTAAGAAATATTGGAGATAAAGAACAGAATTGAAAGGCCTAAAATATTAGATGGTAATCTCTGTTATAATCAAGAGAAGATGAGATTGAAGGTAGAATTTTATGTCATATCAGGACTTACTCATGGGCTGGCAGTAGAGGCATGGAAGGAAGCCTGCTGGGAGAAATGTGGGCAGGTGTGCTCAGATTTACATTTTGATTAGAGCCCCTGATGTTATATGCTTCTGGTTATACCATAAGGATATGCAGATTCAATGGAAACATACCTTCTTCATAATATTTTAATAGGGTAGAACAGATAATGAGCTCTCAAAATTGCTTAGTGTACACTGTTGTTTTAGGCATGATTTAAAATTGAGCACTACAGAATGTAATATTTTAATGATAACTCTGCTAACACTTCTGTTTAGAGACCTGTTGCCATTTTTGTTTTTAGTAAAAGGAAGGCAAGGTTACAATTTCTTTTCTGGCAGATTGAATTGTTGGAGTTCTAGCAGATTGAATGTTTTTGGCTGCCAAAACATTCATGTCACTTTATGATTTTGAGTTGGTAAATATGCATAGTATTTGGAAAGGCATGACATACACCAGGTGATCTCAACTACCTAGCAAGGTTTGGTGTGCATACATGCAGGATCTAGACGATCCAATCTGCTTGTGGCCATAGGTGACTTTAGTCTTTGTTTCTTCTGTGTTTTTGTAATGCACCTAGTAACATGGGGAAAAGGGGTTTTTTGCTGGGCACCAGTGGCTCATGCCTGAATCCTAATAAACTACTTTATTTAGAACTGTATTTTCACACACCCTAACTTGCAGAACATGTTGATCTTACCTCCTTTGTAGCTTCTTTAGGCCAAGGTCATGTTTCTCTTTATCCCAAGCTAACTCCTTTTCCACTTGTTGGATTTTGTGAACTGTGCTTTTGTTAATGTCAGCGTGAATTTTGGAATCAATATCAAAATCCTACAGATAAACAGATGTATAAAATTGTTCTTTATATTGTATTATATTCAACCCTCTGCTCCAATGTGGTTACAGATTCCCAGTTTTGTCTTCTATTACATTCTGCATCATAACACTCTTCCAAAGATCATAAACTCTACCCTCCCAAAGAGATACAATAGCTGGGAGCCAGTGGCTCACACCTGTAACTACTTAAGAGGCTGAGATTTGAGAATCATAATTCAAAGACGGCCTGGCAGGAAAGTCCCTGACACTCTTATCTCCAATTAACCACAAAATAACTGGAAGTGGCACTGTGGCTCAAGTGGTAGAGTGCTAGCCTTGAGCTGAAGAGCTGAGAGACAGCACATAGGCTCAGAGTTTAAGACCCACAACCGACAGAGAGAGAGAGAGAGAGAGGAGACACAGAGAGAGAAATAGTATACTTTTGATCTTCTATAACACAAAGAAAAAAGTTTCATAACATATGGGGAAATGATAAACAATAATGCAAACAAAATTATACACTTAAGGTTACAATGCTTGATAAGAACTCATTATCTTGCCCATGTAATTGTAACCCCTCTGTACAGAATTTTCACAATAAAAAAAGATTTTCTTCCACAACAGCAGTAATAAAAGCTAACAATATTTAGATAGAATATAAAGTTTAAAAAGCACCAACCCAAAGAAACTACTATTGCAAAGCCAGCTGAGCAGAGTAGAATGCATAGCAGTTGGTCATTAGCACAACACCCCCTCCCACGTGACCTGACCACAGGGAAGAGGACAGTCTTTGAAGTCTTCTTGACATTACCAAATCTTTTTTGCATATCTTTTGGAGGGGATTCTTCTTTCTCCCAATGTTTCTTACCTTCATTTCTTAGAAAAATATTAAAGACTGAATTCATGCTAAACTCTATGTAGCCATTATTCTCAACAGAGGCGTTGGTGTTTTCCTTAAAGGTGTGAGCAAAGTGCATCATCATGGGACTTGTTTCAGTGGTTGTTTACCTTAAATTTTGTCATTAGTACTCTGGAAGTATCAGCCTTTTTCTCAGAATGGTAGTATAAAGTTTTTTGTCATTATAAATTAATTTTATAACCAACTTAGTAAGTTAACTATTGTGACTTCACAAACCATTTTTCATATAAAACTGAAAAAGTACTTCTAGAATTGCAAACTGAATAAACCCATAGGTATATTTAGGATGACAACCTCTGGCTTTTTATTTGATTAGACACATGATAAAAAAGTATTTCAGTTCCGAAAAAGTTCAAGACAATAAGAAAATGAACCAATCATTAGTAGATTTCTCTAGGATTTACACCAAGTCACAGAAGAAAAAAGTGAATCCCAAATTGGTTTAAACCATGTTGTGGTTGTCATCATAACTACTAAGCCATCTTTTAGAAAGTTCTTGGTTAACTAAGTTCTGCCTTCTCAACATATCTAGTGAACTAAGAAATAGAGTATCAAGTCATACATGTACCTACCCAACAGGCACTTTTTCTAGGTACAATAAGGATTTATAAACCTATTAAAATCTGTATTTATCTACCACAAATTAGTGATCCCATGCAACCTGTGTTTCTCTGGATCTGGCTTACTTCACCAAATATAATTTTTTCCAAGTCTTCCCATTTCCTTGTGAAAGGTACAATGTCCTTCTTTCTGATGGGTGAGTAGAATTCATTGTGTATATATGCCATGTTTTCTTGGCCATTTGTCCATTGGAAAGCATCTGAACAGATTTCATATCTTGGCTATGGTAAATAGTGTTGCAATGAACGTGGTGGTGCTAGTGGTTTTACTGTAGCTTTGTTTGCGTTCTATTGGGTAAAATGCCCAGGAGCGAAATTGCTGGGGCATAGGGAAGTTCTATGTTTAGTTTGTTGAGGAAACTCCATACTGCTTTCCAGAGTGGTTGAAAAAAAATTATATTCCTAACAACAGTGTAACAGAGTTCCCTCTTGGCTACATCCCCACTAGCATTTGTTACTGTTAATTTTCTTGATAATGGCCATTCTGACTGGGTGAGGTGGAATATCAGTTTCCCTCATTTGTGGTAGCTAAAAAATTAAACACACCGGTTAGTATACAATTAACTGAAGTATAGAGCTCAAATATTATAATTCTTTAGAAAGACTTAAGTCAAAGCCTAGTGAAATAAGTGCCAGGAAATATCTACCTGCAAGTGGAAGGGGGAAGGGGAGAAGGGTAGACAGTAATGGGGGAAGGAAGTAGAATGTAGGCAAGAGTGCATTGTATATATCACAGAACTGAGATGTGCTCACTTTGGCAGCCCATATATTAGATTAGCCCATATGTTAGATTAGCATGGCCTCTGCACAAGGATGACACCCAAATTCATGAAGCGTCCCATATTTTAAAAAAAATTGAGAAAAATAAGGGTTGGGTCACCCGGGAGTAAAAATATTGAAGGGGTGACTCAGATCAAGATGAATTATATCCATAAACTGCTTTGTTAAATGGAAATAAATTCAAGACATATCCTAAAAATCAACAAGAGTTATGGAAAGAGTGAATTGGGAGAGGTGAGTGAGAATATTGAAAGGGGTGACATTGACCAAGATGCACTATATTAATAAACTGCTCTGTTGAATGACAAACCCTTTGTACAACCAGTTAAAGCCATGTATTATCTTTAATAAATATTTAAAAATCTGTATTTATATTCTATTATTTTAAAACATGCAAAACCATTCATAATAACAACAACAAAATAAAATAAACCCACAGCATATTAAGTAGCTAAATCCAGTAGTCTCTTTTATGTCAGATAAAGTAGTCAAGAAGAAACAAGCCTCTTCCAAACCCAATTGTGTGTTAAGTTTTACAAATAATTGAGTTTTCCCAACCACACTGACTAGCCAGATAAAAGAAATCTTAAAGATGATCCCCAGTGTTCCTTTGTGTTGACCAAACGGTTATCTCAGAAATGGCATGCCAACAGTAAAATCAAATATATTTAGACTTACTGTCCGTTTAAACTGCATATGGATAGGCAATTCTTTATTCATTGTTAATAGTTTCAAAAAATTATTCCTCAAAACTTTGATATTTTCTCTCTTGATTGCTTTTATTTCTTCCACTTCCTTCATTAACTTGTCGTACTCTCGTTTCCTCCTGGCATTCTCAATGCTGAACACAGACATTTTAAGACATGTTAGCACAGGATACAGAAACAGCAAAAGGGAAAAATTAGCATTCATTTGGAATTTCATCTTGCTTAGTCAACTCGTACAACATGTTAGTTTGTTTGCAAAGCACAATCCTCAATAGTATTTATCAAAACTTCCCATACCTGTAGGCTTTGGGATCTTCAATATCTTCTGGAATTGACTCCATTTCTATTCCAAACTGTAGAAAGGGTAAAAAGTTAGCCCCTGGAAGTGGCACTATACCTCAAGTGGTAGAGCGCTTGCCTTGAGCTGAAGAGTGCAGGGAAAATGCCCAGGCCCAGAGTTCAAGCCCCACGACCGACCAAAAAAAAAAAAAAAAAAAAGTTAGCCCTTTAAAATTACATAGTATTACCCTTGAAATATCTAGGAAGAAGTAAATGGAAAGCCTTTTTACCATCTGCCAATTTCTTTTTTTTTAATTTAGAGATTTTTAAAATGACATTTTTATTCACATTGTTGTCCACTGTAACATTTGCATACATGCATACAAAAACTCACCCTCTCCATCTGTCTCATTCCTCTTCTCTCTTCTTGGAACAATTTCACAGGTGTCATTGTTCTCTTTTCATATATGCATATAGATGAGCTTCTTCTACCTGCTCTCCCCTGTTCCCCAACAGATCCTATTTTGCTTCCCTTCATTTCTTGGTATACACTAATAGCTCAAAGGCCTTTCACAATGGCATTTTACATGTTCTATCCTATATTTTAGAATGATTAACTTTCTAAATTGCTCTCTCTTTATTTCTCTCTACCCATCTTTGCCATTTTCTAACAGTTATAGGTCTTTTCTTTCTTTATTCCTTCCTTCCTTTCTTTCTTTTTCTTTTCTTTTCGTGTGTGTGTGTGTGTGTGTGTGTGTGTGTGTGTGTGTGTGTGTGTGTGTGTGTGTGTGCTGGTCCTGGGGCTTGAACTTAGGGCCTGGGTGCTATCTCCAAGCTTTTCTTTGCTCAAGGCTAGTGCTCTGCCACTTAAGCCACAGCTCTACTTCTGACATTTTGTTGAGTACTAAGGGATAAGAGTCTCATGGACTTTCCTGCCCAGGCTGGCTTTGAAACTTGATCATCAATTCTCAGCCTCCTGAGTAGCTAAGATTACAAGCATGAGCCACTGGTACCTGGCTTGTTAAAGGTCTTAAAACTAGTTTCTCACAAAACAAATTAGGTGAAAAATTATAGTTGAACAAATTTATTTCTGTTTTACTTAAAGGGGTAGGCAGAAAAACTATATCTCTATATTTGAATGTTAATATTACCATAATTCCATCCTCAAAATGTCAATTATTACATCATGTAAACTATGAACTCTTGTGCTATTAGCAGAGAATACACACACACACACACACACACACACACATACGCGCACGCATGCACGCGCGCGAATTTAGATTATTGATTTCAAAATGCCGTTTTTCAATAAGAAGGAAGAGATGGAAGGAGAGAGAGGAAGAAAGGAGGGAGAGAGAGATGGAGGGAGGGAGGAGGTGAAGTAAAAAGGGAGGGAGGGAGAAAAGAAATGATTGGGGCATGACTCAAGAGTACTTGCTTAGGGTTCAATTCTAGTACCTCAACAACAAAAATAATATAAGGAAAAACACTGATAATGGCCATAAATAAATGTATATTGTTGAAATTGTGGAGCACTTTTTTTATCTAATACATAAGTTTTATAGAGAGGGCTGGCACAAAGTAAAAAAATAAAGATTTTCTTCTTGCTTACATATATACTTTCTCTAATTCCTTATTTTCTGGGTTAGATTCTCATTGAATATTGGTCCATGATTCAAATTTTGCTATTAAAAAATGAAACTTTACCCATTCATATTTTCCCTATATTCTTTGTGTATTCATTGGAAGTAAGCTATTGGTTAAATGGGAAGTCAATGTGTTGTCCAGAATTTAAACTGTGGTATTTCTAATTTGACTTCTTAGCATTTAATAGTAATTCTAATTACTAATTGATTATTAAGTGACTTTATCCATAGGTACTACTTTGATAATACAGAATTCCAGTTCTGTGGCAAGATATAAAGTAAATTATTTGGGGATCTATACCCTCAATCTCTGTCACAAGGCCAGAAATCTATTAGTGAACTTTTGATCACAACTCACATCGTTGGATTTTAAGTGTTAAAGTGATTAATATTTTTGACCTCTCTCAAAGCCACATTTTGTGATGTATATACTATACATGACTCTACAATAGTAATATTGTTATATGTCTGAAAAATATTAGTTATTTTAAAAAAGTAAATTTTGCCTAAGAAAAGGATTAAGTTTATAGCACTTGCTTATCAAGCTCAAAGCCTTTAGTTCAAACACTGCTAATGACAAAAAAATAGAAGAGGATTGATACAAAAAAATGTGACACATTCTTTTTAAAATTTGGAAGAGACATGCCTTTGACAGAAGAATTAAATGCCATTCATAATTTATATAGAAGCAATAAAAAGTCAAAATTATAATACTGATAGGAAGATTGGATTATAAGGTTGTATTATAGAGCTATTATAGATTATATATTATTGTATAGATAAGATTCTACTATCATGTTTAAGTGTTTAAATATTTCTCAAAGTTCAAAGCAATTTTTACATCAGTACTTCAAAATAAAGTTTGCTTTTGCTATTGTTACTAAGTAATGGGCTTAATTGGTTACATACCCTGGGAGATGGCACTTTGGCTTTGAGAGTTGCCTCTAACTCCAATTCAGAAAAAATGTTGAAGACAAAGATGTTACTATCTGCCCCAACAGTCACCAGGAACCGGTCATCAAAGCTAGTGGATAGACCTTTCACACATCCGTAATTATTGTCATGCATACTGAAGTGCCAATAATTCTTCAAATTTTTCAGTGAAAAGTCTTTCTGCTCTTGAACATACACTCGAATTGCTCCATTTTTCATTCCACAAAACATCATACTCTGGCCAATGCTATGAGACAAAAATAGAATATATTATTCTTCCTATTAGTTTGAAAATGTTGGGGGTTTTTTGTTTTTGTTTTTTTGTTGGCTGTGGGAACTGAACTCTGGGCCTGGGCGCTGTGCCTCAGCTCTTCAGCTCAAGGCTAGCGCTCTACCACTTGAGCTACGGTGCCATGACCAGCTTTTTCTGCTTATGTGGTGCTGAGGAATCAAACTCAGAGCCTCATGTGAGCCAAGCACTCTACCACTGAGCCATCTTCCCTGCCCCTGAAAATAATGTTAATTTTAAGTGGACTAACAAATGATCACATTTTAAATAACAAAGGTGTGGTTCTGAATTGAATTATAAACTACCAAAATTTGCATGTTGAAGCACTAACCTCAGATACTTCATAATGCCACCATATTAAACGATAGCACTTTTCAAGAGGTAATGAAGATAAGGCTAAGAACATTAATGTAGATTGTAATCCAGTCTAACTGGTGTCCTTTAAACAGTTACAATTAGGACACGAAGAAAAATCCAAAGGATATATCATGCACACAGGAAGGATAAAAAGTAAAAACACCACAAGGTAAAGATGGAGGCTTCAAGAGAGAGCAAACCTATCAGCAACGTCACCTTGACTTTAAAACACGAGTCTTCACACCACGGGAAAGCAATAAATTTCTGTTGTTTAAGGCACCAAGTTTATGGTATTTTGTGGCTGCCCTAGTAAACCAACACACATACACACACACACACACACACACACACACACACACACACACACAAATAAATAAATAAATAAATAAAGGTTTAGAGGTGTTAATTAGCTACAAAGAGCTTGTCAGGTGTGTGTGTAAGGCCCTGGATTTGATCCCTAGAAATAAAAAAAGGAAGAAATTCAACTTAAAAGGTAGAATTGTTCTATTTGGTCTTTAGAAGAGTTATGGGCACATATACACAGTTCTCAAGTTTTAAAGAGCTAATGATTCAATTTGTATCTTCTCCAGAATCCTGACCCTTTGTTGTCTGATTATTCATTATAATCTTCCTAAGTAACAGAAAGTAAATTCACACAAAATTCTGTAATAAACAGAAATTTTGATAGAAGATTGGATGGGAAAATTTAACTGTAACTAGTTTTGATCATACTCATTCGATTTATTTAACCAAATATAATTTGTGTGAACCTTTATTTGAATAGATCTTTAAACATCCACAATCGCTGTGATACATAAAACATAAGATACAAATGAGACCTAATGTGTTTTTTAGAGTTTTTTGAAATTCTGTTCACCTGAAAGTGATAGTTTGGATGGGATTGTCTTCTGCATCATCCAGAATACAAAAATCAAAAGGTTCATCTTTCTGACTTTTGAAATCACTATTTTTGTCATATGGAGGAAATTCACAGTGATATAGAAAACCAGAATCATAGCCACCCTGGAAAAGATAAATAACATAAAATGCAGTTCTTGAACATAACACGAATGATTGCATGAGGATTTCTGTATTATTTGTAATTTGAAAACACAAACTACTTTGTTTTAAAACTTCTATCTGATAGCCATTATTATAAATTTTGTCATTACTGCAAAATATCTCCTTTGTCCATTTACATGTGACTATATAACAGTTACTTTATAATGATTCATTCCCACCTAGAAGTCAATATGAGGGATTTCACCTTTGACTACTTAATAAATTCCTTCTTATTTCTTCAAGCATTTTTTTCTAAATCTATGGTATTTAATAAAATTTTGCAGGTTATTGTTTTAGCAGCTAGTTTTCAGCCTAGAATAAGGTTAAAAACTATTGATTTCCAAACAGTGCTATTTAGAAAAAAATCTATCTGTATAGAGATCATTTGGAAGAGCTACATTGGTCCAACTTTAATTTGCTTGCTTTCTCTATATGACCACTCTTTTTTCTTTGGTGGGGCTTGAATTCAGGGAGCTGTCTTTGAGATCTCTTTGCTCAAAGCTAGCACTCTACCACTTTGAGCCAAAGCTCCACTTCAAGTTTTTCTGTGGTTAATTAGAGATAAGAGTCTTACAGGGACTTTTCTGTCCTGCATTTGGTGCTTGCTACTTTCTCCTCCAAAGCAACTGTCAATTAACCTGTCAGCCCACTGGCTAAGAGGCTCAGCAGAGTTACCTGGAGTCTCATGGGCTTATGATACCAGAAATCATTTTCAGGTCCTCCCAGGAGAAAGGACCATTGTAAATACACTTTCCACTAGATTTTGTATAGAAATCTTGGAGTGGTACATTCTATGTTATGAATAAAAGGGAAATATAATGGCTCTCACAGGAAGCTAAATCTAATCTCAAATTGTTTCTTTGCTATTGGAAGCTGCTTTCCAGAACCAAAAGTGAATCTCCATGAGAAAAAAGAACATACTGAGCATCAATTTAACTCTACAGTTTTTCACATACAAGGTCTAGTCATTAGTAAAAAAAAAAAAAAAAAAAAAAAAAGACATACTAGGAAAACCAAGACATGATTGAAAATTTTAAAGAAACAAGAAACAGAATTATAAAACATATCAATAGAAAAGTGCTCACAATATACTTCAAAATAACTATGATTTACATTTAAAAAACTTGAAGGCAATATAGAAAATTTCAGAGATTTGTTATAGTCTATAAAAGTAAATAGAAAAATGAAAATTTTATAACAAAATAAAACAATAGGAAGACGTTCACTAGATTGATTTAATAGCAACTATACACAACTAAGAGTTAGAAATCAACTACAAAACTTCAGATAGGGCTGGGAAGGTGGCTCAGTGGTAGAGCCCTTGCCTTGCATGCATGAGGCCCTGGGTTCAATTCCTCAGCACCACAAAAGAAAAAAGAAAAAAGCCAGAAGTGGCGCTGTGGCTCAAGTGGTAGAGCTAGAGCGCTAGCCCAGAGCTGAGGGACAGCACTCAGGCCCCACGATCGGACCAAAAAAAAAAAAAAAACAAAAAAACTTCAGATAATCAATTCAACCACAAGTAAAAAATGAGCAAAGAAAATATACAAGTGGCTAAAAAACATAACAATATACTCAGCAACACTTGTCATTGAGAAAGTACAGTTCAAAACCACATCCCTTGGGAAGGCCACAATCAGAAATAAAAGTGAAAAATAAGAAGTGCACATAGGATACGGAAAAATGGAAACTCTTGTTCATGATTGGTGGTAGTGTAGCTGCTATGGAGTACAATATTACAGTTGTTGAAAAGAAGCAAAATAGAATTATCTTTTGGTCTAGCAATTCATTTCTAGGTATATGTGAAAAGGAACTAAAAGCATTTGAATACCCATGTTCATGGCAGCATTATTCACAATAGCTACAAGGTAGAAGTGGTTTAAGTCCATAAATGACTGGATAGAGAAGCAAAATGCAGTTCAGCCTTGAAAATGAATGAAGCTTTGACATATACTAAAAGTTAGGCTTAGTAGACCACTTGTAGCATGTATGAGACCTTGGGTTCATTGCCCAAGACCATGAACAGAAAATAGAAGTTAGATTTTGGAGCTATATAGATATGACCAAATAAGATGATGTTAAGTGAAATGAATCCCAAGATAGGTACACAAGTGTTTTTGTTCTTTCTTGCTATTGTTTTTCATGTATTTATAATGTACTATGATTTTTTTGCTTCTTTTGTATGTTCTTCCCCCATGGTATAACCCCTGTTTTCACTGTATTTGATTCCGGTGTCCTGCATCTTGTGTATACATTTTTCTTATTTGCACTACAAAAAAAAAAAAAAAAAGAAAATGAAAGTAAGAAAAGTGAGGGAAGGGGGTGTCGGAGGGAAGAGTGAGAATGTTCAAAGAGGTGACATTAGCCAAGGCACATTGTATTCATGAACTGCTTTGTTGAATGGCAACTCCTTTGCATACTACTTAAAGATAATTTTGTAAAAGTATGCCCCATAATAACACTTCTTTTGTCACCTTATAAGTAAACACTAACTAGTCTTTTTAAACAAATTTTCCACCAGTGTTTTCAAGATGCTAGTCATGAAATTTTATTGAATTAAAGTAGTTGTGTCAGTGCCTCTTTACTTCAAATGAAGAAACTTCCTGAAAATGAGAACCATGTCTTAAGAATCTCTTTGTTCCTTGAACTCTACACAATGTTCACTGTTTCAAAAAAATAAAAACACAGAAGACAGACAGGTAATAAGGATGAATAAATGGGGTCTAACCCTACCTTCTATTCTTCTTGCTGCTTATATCTTTGAAGTTGCTACAAAAGATCTGTTTCTAGGAAACATGGTAGAGGGAAGAGTCACCCTTCCTCATTCCCTATAGCAATGAGCTTTGGCTTGTTTAATACCGATGGCTGCTCAAAACGGAGTCCAGTTAGGAATCAGTATGGTCATTCACATATAATTATGTGTCAGATTTTTAGATACACACATGTGTGTAAAGAATTGAAAATTATATTTTGATGCAAATCTTGCTTTGCAATAGAGTGAGAAAACATTTCGTGATAAGACTAGAAAATACAAATTGAAAATTTGTAGACTGCTACATTGTAGCAGTCTAATGTTTCTCTTCCTCTTCTTCCTTTTTTCCCCCTTCTTTCTCTAGCTCACCTTTCTTCCTTACTTTTTCCAAGTCCCAATTTGTTCACAGTGGCAAAGAGACCATTTGAACACATTTATAGTCTTAGATTTCTCTAAGCACATTCTAGTTGTAGATAAAGCAGAAGTCCCACAAAACCTTTTTTTTCTGAGCCTGGGCAATGTCCCTCAGCTCTTCAGCTCAAGGCAAGCACTCTACCACTTGAGCCACAGTGCCACTTCTGGTTTTCTTGTGTTTTATTGGAGATAAGAGTCTCCTGTACTTTCCTGCCCAGGCTAGCTTTGAACCCTGATCCTCAGATCTCAGCCTCCTGATTAGCTAGGATTACAGGCGTGAGCCACCGGCACCCGGCGCAATGAAGTCTTAACAGTATGAGAAGGAAGTAAGAATGGGGTGAAAAATAATAAAACTATAAACTAGATTAGAATATGATTGAGATAAAAATTATTGCACTATTGCTCACCAACGAAACCCAGAACTTCCCTGGCTCAGAGTAAAAGCCACAGAGAATGGGAGAGGGGTGTAGTGGAATAAAAATTGGAGGTAATGGCTCCTCTTCCTCTGCTTCTTCCTGCTCTTGTTCCTGGACTTCGTTTGCTCCATCTTCTCCCAACTCTTCTATTAACATCCTCATCCTTTCTTCCTTTTCCTTTTCCTTCTGCTCCTTTATTTTCTGTCTCTTTTCAATTTCCATTGACCTCTTTTTAAAAGAGACATTTTTAAAAAAAATTGTAACATTCATTTACACTGTTAGGTGTGACAAGGACAGAAAGAAGATGGGATTCAAAACCACTCATGGCTCTGATTTAACACATCATACCATTTACGAATAATTACCATTTGGGGGAATATATTTCATCAATAAAATTCAAATAACTGCAATTTCTGTTTTACCTTTATGGATATCAGTTTTGTAGAAATTATTTTGTCATTCTTCCCTTAAAAAAATGTTAAATAGTTTTCTCTCAGGGCCAATACAGCAGCTTAAGTGATTGCACAATCATGAGGAAAGTTGTCTCCACCTTCGTAAAACTGAGATTTACACCCTCAATTGTCTGTCTAACTGTCCATTATAAAAGTCCCCAACCCTGGTATCCCTCCTTCCCATCATTTTACCTTTTCCTCCTTTTACACTTTTAGAATTATCTCTCAGATTTATACATCATATTTGACCTCTACTGCCTCCTACTGAATTATAATTTCCTTCAGGTCAGGATCTGCTTTACTCTTCATTTTATATTCCCAGTTCTTTATGCAGGGTATCTTATGTTCTAGAAAAGGAAAATATCAGGAGATAATACTTCAAGAATGCTCCATACCAGAATCTGGGATTTGATGCTTGAAAAATGGAAACATTTTATGCCTAATCCATGGATTTCATAGGAGACAACATCACGATCAGGCTCTTCCTCAATATTTGGAAAAGGAGCTTCAAGGACATATCCATTCTCACAGAAAATCAGCAAAGTACTTTTGGGCTAAGAAAGAAATTAAAGAAAAGAAGAGAAGAGAAAAGAAGAGACAAAGACAAATATATCACTTACATCTAAGGAAGTTTTTACACAAGTTCAAAAAAAATTATAAGCCAGAAAAAAAAAGTACAGCTGACATGCACAGTCATTTTTATAAGCTGCTTAATTCCAACTGTAGTTATTGGCACTACGACTTGTTAATTATTACTATATCCTTAGTAATACTAATTACCAATTCTATAATGATTAAGTGAGATAACTATTAAACTTAGACTTGGATATGGTTTCTTTAGAGATGCCATAACACAAGTCTAGAGCCAAATACGTGGCTGTGGAATCTGATAGCCCTGAGGACTGAAGGTTATAATTAGAAATGCAGTGTGTAGACAACACATTAAGTCCTTGTCTCCTTTACCAGCTAAGCCTCTATCTGCCTAAGTTTATTTAAATATGGATGCTCCTAAGGTCTTTGTTCTCTTCCCTCTTGTCCCTGTTTTTCCTAAGTGTTCTTGGGGACATCTACAACCTTGATTACCTCTCACATATAACCTAGAAAATTTAGATTCTAAATTAAACTTCTGCAACTCAGTCCTGTCTCTTCCTCTAAAAATCCTGTATTTAATGATGCATGGGAAATCCCCCGGATATTTGATATTTCATTGACTCATAATTTGAAATGCTTATTCATTCTGTTATTTCACTGTGATTATTTGTTATGCACCTACTATATACTCAGGATTGTTTCACATGCTAAAGATAAAATTGTAATAAAAACAAAGCTAGACAAACAGACCATTATGAAACTTACCTGCAGATGGACATCCTATCACATAGCAATTTACATAGAATAGTGTAAATTACAATTGCAAAGGTACCACAGAACCAATACACTGCACAAAACTTCCTGGGAAGATAGAGCTGAGCTTGAGGGCGAAGGATGACTAAAATATTATCACATAATGGAACCAGGGAAAGGTTTTCAGAGTACGCTGCATAAAGAAAACACTGTGCAAGTATCCACTGGTACATTCAGGCTCATAAGAAAACTATAGACTTGGATCATATCCTCTGGGAGGGAAAACAGAAGAGAGAGATGAGAGATAGGTTCAGACCACTAAGGAAATAGCACACAATGACTAGGAGACGATGAGTGTGAAGGAGTTGATGAAAGTCAAGGGGAGAAGCTATTTCAAAGAGAAAGGTAAGGTCAACAGGGGTCAAATGATGCTAAGGTGTCAAGAAAGATACGAAGTAAATAACAATTGGGAATCTATGATGCCTTTACAAGAGCTGATGGGTGGAATGATGCAACTAGAAGGCTGAGAAGAACACACAAAGGAGAGAGGAATATATAAAGAAATGGAGTCTTTGAGAATAGTCAATCCTTTTGAGAAAGTTGGCTGAGAAGATAGGGCAGCAGCTGGAAAACATGTGTAAGTCAGAGAGGCGTGAACACACAAGTACTGATAGAAATTATCCAGTGAGTAGATGAGGTTAAAGTGAGATGGCAGGAAAGAGAGATAAGTAACATGAAATATTGAAAACAGCAAGAAGGAAGAGGATTCAGAGGCCTGGAATGAGAATTGCTGACAACGGGGAAGGGAAACAGCTCTTCAACTGAGAAATAAAGAGGAAGAAGAGGGAGTCAGGGAAATGGGATTTTCTGTTGGTGGTAGGGAGGCAAGGCAGTTCCTGCCTGAGAACTCCTGCTATTAATCTTCCTTGATACTGTTACAAATTAGTTGGGGACAGTCAGATAGGGATGAAAGATAGAAAAGGGGGATCAGAGCACTTGGAAAAAATGTCACTGATACTTATTTGTCTTAGTCACTTCAGCTGCCGGAACAGAAAACTATAAATATTCTGAGTGGCTTTAAAAAAAAAAAAAGAACAGATTTCTTCCTCATGGTTCTGAAGGCTGGAAGTTCAAGCGAAGGCTCTGGCATCTGTGACACACTTCTTGAAATTTTGCTCAAAGTACTCCCAGGAGGCACAGAAAGGAAGCTCTGCTCTCCTCATTCTCTTACAAGCACACGCGTGCCACTTCTGATGGCTTCATTGTCATGACCTCTCCACTTGCCAGAGGTCCCATCTACATTTGGGGATTTAAGCTTTAATATATTAATTTGAGAGAGATCTAACATTTAGTTCGCAGCATGTTGGAATGAATAATTATGAAACCTAAGGTGTCTATAAGAGGGAGTGAAGAAGAGTCAACCCACGGATTAAAGAAAGCAAATGGCACATGAAATACCAGTCTTTGTATCATTAGAGACCTACTGAAGTAGGTTGAAAGGCTGAGGTTAGAGAACGGGTTATAGTTCACCCTTGAGTTTTTATTTTTATTTTGTATCACTGGAAATTAAACTCAGGGTTTCATGCTACTAGTTGAGCCATGGCCCCGGTCCTTTCACATCAGATTTTTGTCTTGAGGTAGCCTTGGTCCACAATCTTCTTACGGCCACCTCCTGAGTAGTATATACCACTAACCTGACTTAAACAGTTGACAACTTGAATTCCTACAAATTGCTATGGACTGACTTGTGTCCCTCTCCCAAAAACAAGAGACAGAAGCTTAATGCTTTCAGGAAAAATATGAGGTCAGATGAGCTTGAAGATGAGCTTAGACTAGTTCACTTTGACATTAGTAATTCTCATATAATAATTCTAGAAATACAAGTGTTGACAGATGGCACCACTTAAAATAACTTTTGTTATTTAATCTTGAATTTCTGTTTCCAATTTTTTAAACTTTTTTAATTTTCAAATAATCCAAAGGAGGTCGAAAAGGGTATTATGTATTATGTGTCTTTCATCAAATTTGTATTATTAGTTATATCTTACACAACTTCTTTCCAATTGCTAGGAAAGAAGCAATGACAGATTAGCAAGAAAGCAAAGGTCGATTGAGAGGAGGGAAAAGTAAGGAAACAAATGCAAGGAACTATTCTCAGATCTTAGAGCTGGACATGTGATTCTTCTTTTTTCTTTGGGGGGGCGGGTCCGGTCGTGGGGCTTGAACTCTGGGCCTGAGCGCTGTCCCTCAGCTCTTCAGCTCAAGGCTAGCGCTCTACCACTTGAGCCACAGTGCCACTTCCGGCTTTTTTCTTTTTGCTTATGTGGTACATGCAAGGCAAGCACTCTACCACTGAGCCACCTTCCCAGCCCCTTCTTTTTCTTCTTAACTGTATTTTTTATCTTTTTTTTTTTTTCGGTACTGGAGATCGAATCCAGGATGTTGGACTTGCTAGGCAAGCACTTTGCCACTGAGCTTCACCCCAGCCCTGAGCGTGTGATTCTTAAGAGAGTGACTGGTCCAAATGAAATCATGGTGTATCTGACTAGACGTCACCATTCTTGAGGCAAGCCTGATACAGCTCTATGTGTGGAAGAGAATGGTGACCAACTAGTAAGTAAAGAGGTGGTGAGGACAATCAGAGCTCCTAAATAATGCTCAACAAATGGAGCCACCTGCACTTACCTTTATGACTCCTGGAGGACCAAATAACAGGGTTAATAATCCCAACTGTGGTTCTCTAGCTACCAGATACTTGTGATCTTGAGGACAAAGAAGAATGACTTACATGAAATATTGTGGACCACATTAACTGGCAAACAGGTCCAGGAGTATTAATATAACCAATTGGGTTATAGTCCTTTTCCACGTCAAAGAAAAAGACAGTCTGATCCTTACTCTAAGAAAAAAAGAGACACATTCATCCAGTATTTACTACTATGAAATCTAATCCATTGGGCATAAAAAAGGGTTTAATGACATATAGTGTATCTGCTTTATACATATACATACTAATAATATATACTTATTAATATGAGAGAATTCTTAGTTCAATTACTTGTTACATCTTACCCACCTGGGTTCCAATCTACCATTCTAAAAATGTGATAACTATGCATACACATAAAATTCATAAAAATTTCATAATACATACTCTCCTATCTTACTGCATGAATTTACAGTGATCTTATGCATTGATCACAGTTGTGTTTTGGTTGGTTCATTGCTTTCTTGTTTTGTTTTGTTTTATTGCAATGCTGGGGATCAAACTCAAGACCTCATGTGTGCTATCACTGAGCAGATTTTCTACAACTGAGCTATCCATGGGAGGGAGGGACTGGGAGAGAGAGAGGGAACAGAAGACTCTGTACAAAAGGAAATGTACTCATTGCCTGACTCATCATTGTAATCCCTCTGTACATCACCTCTCTATAACAATAAGCTACTTTTAAAAAGAATATATAAATGCTGTAAAATACTAACTATAAATAATATATCCAGCATGATTCCAATTTAAATTTTCTAATCTTTTAAAATAAACATTAGAATGTTCAAGAGTGTCTTTAAATGTTATACACAAGACTACCCTGAGTGAATATGAATACAGAGAAAATAAAGTATGAATATATCTGTAGGAAGCTTATTTCAGTAAAGAGACTCAATTAAGTAGGTAGATTTAAAAGGCAATTCCAGTTGGAAATGAGAAGGAGATCCTCAATTTCCTTACCCCTGTGGCTAGAATATCTCCATCACGGTCGTATGCTAAAGCAGTGACTTCAGCGGTGTGGGGTTTGAAAACATATCTCAAAGTCATCTCAGCATCCAAAATTTTCTTCCGTCCTGTAAAAACTGTGACCCCTTTTGGGTCATAAAGTTCAAGAATTCGAACAACTCCATCTTCGAATCCTACGCTAATTTGTGCTCCATTGTAGCTTACCTTGGGTAGAATAATTAAATACACAGGACCTGAAGTTAGTTGATGAATAAATTTGTATTACACAACAAATACTTCTATTTTTTAAAATCTAGACTTAGGTAATTTTATATTGGCTGACCTTTGCAACTCCCTGTACCACATTATGGAAATCTCCATTAATTTTAGGCCATTATGAATGGCCACAGAAGGGTTAACAGCAGCCGTTCAAACACTAGCACAGTGTCTGTTTACCACATGTTAGGCACCTATCACTAGCATAATAATATACATCATGAAGCCTGGAGTTCATGCCCCAGTACTGGCACATGCACCTGGGTACACACTCGGAGGGGGAGAAAGAGGAGGAGGAAGAATGGGAGACAGAGAGAAAGGGGAGGAGGAGGAATGGGAAGAAGATGAGGGGGGGGACAGGGAAATGGAGGGAGAGGGGAAAGGAAGGGAGAGGGAGAGGGGGAAAAAACAAACAAAAGAAAAATCATGGCTGTAAATTATTTGCCAAAAGAAAAGGTTTATAAAGTCCCTGCTTCAGAAATCTGGGTGTTGTTTGTGACTGTGCAGCTTCTCCCAGTCAAGTTTGGTAGATCTTGTATTTGGACATCTGAGGCCAGGTTATTAAAAAAGCCGCCACTTTGTGCCTTATCAGTTGGAACACTAGCTCCTGGATTTAAGAAGTGTGCAACAACTCTGAGGTCATTGTGCTTATGGTAATGTCCCAGTCACATGAACAGGTGAACGCTTCTGTGTGTCCCAACTCAAGTCTAGCCTTCAAGTTATCCAATCCAGGTGCCAGCTTTGTGATGAGAAATCTGTGGATTATTCCAGGCCCCACTCAAGATTTCCCAAGTAAGGAATCAAGCAAAGACAATTCAGTTCTGCTGTTGGTTCTTCTAATTCCCAATCCAAAGAATATGTAAGCAGAAATCAAATAACTTGTCTCTGTGCTACTACATGCTAGAATAGCTCATTACACAGCAGTGTATAACTGGGACTCCCTAGCCTTGCCTAATTTGTTCCAATAGCTGTTAATATCATCCAATATAACAGTTTAGTCATTTGTTTGGTTTATGATCAGTTTCTGTCTCCTTCCCACTAAAGTGTGTGAACCATGATGACAAGTACAAGTCTTTTTGTAAACTGCTATAATCCCACAAGTCAAAACAGAATCCTGAACATGGTAGTTTCTCTGAAAATGTTAGGATGATAAAATCAGAGACAGGTAGACAAAGGATGTACAGAGCTCTGGCAGATAATTACTTTGCAACATAGGACTATTACTAACTGGCATGTTGCCAAAAGGATGTTCATAAGAAAAAAGACAAAACCTATTACGAGATGAGGTCTTAATATGATTTCTATCACATTATGAATGAAATAAGCTAACTTAAATTCTGATTCACCTCTAAAATTCTAAGCCAGGAAAATGTATATTTCCATAAACTAGCACTGACAGCATATTAACAACAAATTCTTACACGTTTATTAAGACACCAAACTTACCATTCGAGGCACCCAAGTGAGGGTAGTACCTCCTTGTTTGAATTTCATCTGAGTCAAAAAATTTTTGCTAGAAAAGTCATAGATTCGAACAGTACCTATACAAAGATAGATTTAAAGAAATAAATGATAAACATAAGCTATCTTAAAGTAATGTTCGTTCATTTTCGATAAGTCAAGTATTATAACAAGATACTTCTTAAATACCTAATCAGTTGTAAAGCGAATGGCCTTTTTGGCCAAAAATATCCATGTATACTGACATTGACAGGAAATTTATAAACATAAATAATAAAGTAGATTACTGATGACTGGTTTCACCTTGCACAGATCACATTATAGATTTACCTTAAATCAAGAAGGAAGAAACATGATAGAGCTTGAAGGTAGATAATAATAAATAGCAAATAAAGAAATAAATAGCAAATAAAAAAAATAAATAGCAAATTATGAACACCTTACAGATTGGGTCTTTATCTCAATCTCTCACAGTGAGCAAAGATGTTGCATTGGTCACTGAGAGTTCCCAACAATTCACCTCACTAAGAGGTTTCCATTGAGAGAAAATCCTCAGATGTTTTAACCCAACCTCATTGAAAACAAAAGAAGACCATACATCTTCATTAAGAGTTCCCACTTACAGTCCAAGGCAGTTGTGGCCATAAGATAAGTAACAGGAGAAACAGCTATTGCTTCAATAGGTCCAGAATGGAAGGAGAAGAGGCATTCTGGATCCTGAGTCTGAGAACAGAAAAAGACCATACCAGATCTCAAAGATAGGGTAACAGATAATTTAGGTCAAGTTCAAAGAAATGCAAACAGAACTCTCTGACACATGTGCGATTTTGTTAGGATAGAAATAAGAAAACACATAATGGCTAGGAGAAAGCACTGAAATAAGAACAGACAGTCTTGGCTTTGTGCTTACTGACTATAATTTTGCTAAGTCCTATCAAATGACTATTTCCATTCTGTAAAATAAGATTGGCTCAACCAAATAGCTGTGATTATCATGTGAGATAATATACATGAACATTCCATATGTTTGTGAAGAGTGAATTGTGTAATGATAGATCATTTTTATTTAATGGCAAAAATTATCTAATATAACAAAACAAACTGTCTTTTAAATAACAACAGATTTTCCTATGAAAGTTACAGGGAAATAAGAAAAATATCCAACTTACAATATTTGAAAAACTAAGGTCAAGTTTCCATATGGCTCCATTGGCATCCTAAAAAATTAAACAGTTAACAGAATTTTCTTTTATCATATTAAGCATTCATCAAATTTAAATTTTTATCCAGTAATATAAAGAATAAAATTTAAGTCTTACATATATCATAGTGTGTAGTTGATATTTAATATAAATAATTTCTATATATTTTAGAATCCAACCAAAAGTAAGCAGTGCAGCCTTATACTTCTTACAGTAAAATGGACTTTCAGTCTAGACAGTCCATTACACTAGTCTATACTTTGTGTGCTCTGGCACTGGACAGCTTTGCATACTTGCTAAGCTTTTTCACTCACAGCTGGTACTCTATCACTTGAGCCACACCTCCAGCTTGGCATTTTTTTTGCTGCTTAATTAGAGACATTGTCTCATCTTTTCCACTCGGGCTGGCTTTGAACTTTGATCTTCAGATCTCAGCTTCCTTAGAAGTTAGGATTACAGGGATGACCCATCAATACCCATCTGTACTAGTATTCTAATACTATGTTCAGGTAACTTTAAAGAACTGAAAGAGAAGAATGCAACATACCTGAGCCAACCAAAAGTTACTTCCAATTTCATCCATTTTTATCATGGAGAAGAGTTTGACATTCTTGCCTACTACAAGTTCATTAATAGGTTCAATCTCCAACAATCCACTGTCATCTATAATGTCAGCAGTATCTATTGCCTCAAAGTCCCATATCTTGTAAAATTAATAGGAAAATACTTTAATTAGTAGTTTCACTTGCTTTCTTTTCTTTTCTGTCTTCCTTCCTTCCTTCTTCCCTTCCTTCCTTCCTTCCTTCCTTCCTTCCTTCCTTCCTTCCTTCCTTCCTTCCTTTCTTTCTTTCCTTCCTTCCTTCTTTCTTTCTTTCTTTTTTTGTTGTTGATTGTGGGGCTTGAACTCTGGGCCTGGGTGCTTTCCCTGAGCTCTTCAGCTCAAGGCAAGCACTCTACCATTTGAGCCACAGCACCATTTCTGTTTTTTTGGTGCTTAAATGGAGATAAGAGTCTCATGGACTTTCCTGCCTGGGCTGGTTTTGAACCGCGATCCTCAGATCTCAGCCTCCTGAGTAACTAGGATTATAGGTGTGAGCCACTGATACCCAGCTGTTTCACTTGTTTTCTAAGCCAGAAAAGGTCCTGGTGTTTTTCAAGAATCATTTCTTCTTATTTCATTTAAATTAGCAATGAGTAATTACAACACCAGCCAAAACTCAACCCCTGAGATCTTATTCTTAATTGAAATACAAGAAATTATTATAGTTTCCTTTGTATTTATAAAGAATACAATTTAGTGAGCAAGTACTGTCTTGTGTAAGAATTTTAACTTGCAAAACAAAGTTTATTTCAAGGTTTCCATTGGGGTTTTTTCTCACATAAACTGACGTAGAGACCAAATAGTTCAGCAAGATGTTTTAATGTAAGCTTCATTCTTATACATTCAAAGGCTTTTGGAAAGGGCAGTGTATCTTTTTCGCAATGATTCGTGTACTTTCTAATTACCAAAGGAAATTGATGAGGCTGGTGATACCATTAGAAAAATGCTTGTTATTAAATATCAATTTACAATATACTATCTCAGATAAGGGCTGCTGTTCCTTTGGAGAGGAATCCAGAACTTCCATGAAGTGTCAGAGCTTACCCTGGACATACCTGTCGACACACCTTCCATGTTATCCTACACTGAACGATTCAGATTTGGGGAAAGTGACCTTTGGGACGTTGTTATTACAGAGATTAAGCTGATAGGTAGGGGAGAAAGATCCAGATCTTAGAAGCAGACTAACCCCCAGAAACAGGTTATATTTTTCATACAAGATGAGGCTGGGGTTTACAATGTGAAGAATTGAAGAGATGGGGCCTTAAGGGGAAAAAAAAGTAAGTTTAGAAATTACTGATGTCCGTGAAGATCCTCTATGAAATGTTTAGCTTCCTTTCTCAAGGTTTTCTATGACTAGGTATTTGGACTTTTCAGGGTGATATGTATCTTAGAAAAATAGTAAATACATCACAAGACAAAAGAAGTACAATGTGTGAAGTCTAAGATTAAATTTAATATTATAGACGTAGAAACCTTTACATGGGTTGAAAGGCCAGTAATAAAATATATAACAAATTGAAAAGCCTCATTTAAAATGAATTGTTCTTGGTACAAAATGATCATTTATCCCCTCTATAAAGTGATGATTTTTGAGAATCAAAACTCTAGCAAAGCCATTTGAATGATCTCTGAGTCTTAGACAAAGTTGCAGTTGCACAAGTATCAAAAAAGTCTTTCGTGAGGAGGAGAAGAAGGAGGGAATGCAGTCAAGAATCGATGGTATATCCTATAAACTAAGAAACGTGAAGGAGCGGGTAGGTGGGGGGGCCTGGATGAGAATGTTGAAAGGGGTGACATTGATGAAGATGTGTCATATTCATAAATGGCAACTCCTTGTACAACTACTTAAAGATAATTTTTAAAAAATCTTACTCTAACACATCCATCTGACCCAGCCGTGATCACTTCACCCTCATCGAGTGTGATCTGGTTGATGGGACCGTTGTGACAATACTTCATGCCAGTTCGACAGAGCTCCACTTTGATGAGACTGGCTTCCCAAAGCAGCAGGTTGCCCCATTCAGACCCTGAGAGCACCTTGCAGGAATGGAGAAAGAAAGAAATGTGCATTAAAGCAGACACACGTATGTGTGTGTGCTTCAAATAGTAAGAGTTCTTTTTGTGTAAGAGTTATTTTAAAAGGTTATTTTTCTTGATTATGAAAGCAAAAAGCCTGAATATGGAAAAATAAAATGTAGACATGAAAACCTCTAGCTCCGATGTAACCACTAATCACATCTTGATACATTTCTTTCTAGCTTTATGCACATCTCTATACCATTGTGATTAGACTACATGTAATTTTTCATACATGTATAAACTAGAATTTGTCATATATCTCCTCTTTAGGATGTGACTGAAGCATGGAATTAGATCAAATGTTAAGAGTAGGCCAGTTGTGGTGGGTCACACCCATAATCACAACCACTCAGGAGGTAGAGAACAGCATGAATAGGCCAGTCTTTGCGAAAGGTTAGTCGGGCAGTTGGAAAGTTGGTCGGGCACTTATCTCAGTGTGGTGGTGCGTATCTGCAAGTCCAGCTATGTCACTGTGTCAGTTTACGAAACTGCTTATATCTTTTATGTGTGTAAACTATTTAGCAAAAAGAAAATGGTGCATACTTATGGATTTGGGCAACTTCAAGGAAGTTGGTAATCTAAAGAACATTCATTACCTCTTTAGTTCTAGTTTGTTAGTGTTCACCGGAGATGTTCAGAACATACAAAGTATTTCTCACAGAAGCATGCTTTCATAGGTGCACAAGCTGATCATTGCAGAACCACTGCTGAGCTCACCTTCCCATCTGGGAGTTCTATGTAGCCCTCTATATCGGTAGTGCTTGTTTTGCCAAATCGACCTAGTAACCCCTGCAGTTTGAGACCGGTGAAGGTAAAAGCCATTCCCCAGAACCTGCAAATAAACACGCAGAAGATTAAGTGTGCCTCAAATATCTTTTATTTATTTTTATTTAATAGGACCTACATATTTGTGTACTTCACAATCACATAGAGTTTTATTCACTCATCTAGCTAATAAGTAGTAAGTATGTGTGTGCTGCCTGTCAGGCAATATAAATTCAACAATGAGCAAAACAGACAAAAAATTAGCTGTGTTTCTGAATCTTGTATTTGGGGATGTGCTGCTTGATGCATTAGCTACCAGCCTCAAGTGACTATCTGAATGCAGATTTAAAGTGGTTAACATTGAATAAAATTAATAATTCAGTATTTCAGTCAGTTTAGCCAATTCCAAGTACACAATAACTACAGGTGGCTGATGGCTCCTGCCAGGGCCAGCAATAGAATGTTACCAGCTTGGCAGTTAGTTTTACTGAACAGTGTTGTTTTAAAGAGTATAGTAGTGTCCAAGCAATTCTAATTTAATAGCTGTGTACTTTGAGTGATTTTCATGCAACATGGTAACAACTACTTATGTATGCAACATGGTAACAGCTACTTATGTATTCAACATGACAACAACTACTTTACAAAGCTCTCGGTGCCTAGCAATGGGTAAATATTAGCTAACATTAACATTAAATCTAAACAAATGAATGGTCTAAATGATGAATACTATGTAGAAAAAAAACATTTGGCCTAACCAACTAGTTCAAAACTAAATAATGGGAAGTATCAGTAAGCAGTAATATAAAGCCAAAAGCCCAGAAAACCAACATTTTGTCCCACAGTATAGTAGGTTCCTTATCAAATCTTCCATGTATTCTATGTTTTTCTCATAGCACTAAACACATGAAATTAAGTATACCATATCTTTCCTTTCTCCATATATACACTTCATAGGAAATACACAATTTACTAAATGAGAGGAAAATTTTTACTAAACTTAGTTGAATTTCTTGAGCATTTCAATTATATTAACAATCTGATCAAATAGTCTGTATTTCTAACAATTGAAAAATAAAAAGACCAGGTTCAAATTGAGCAAGAGATAGACTAAAGTGTATTTCATTTAAATAGATATAGTAAACTGAGTTATGGGCAACCCTGCATTGGTGGGAGAAAAATGTTAACCAAGTCCATGGAACAGGTGGAACAAACATAGAGAAGGACAAAATCAATCCATCCTGGAAACAGAGCGTGACATTGTGAAAAGAGTGTGAACTTGGGATACTACAAACACTATGGGAAATAAAAGCACAGAGAGAACACAACAAATTAAAAGTGATTTCAATACCACTCACTCACAAATAGATTATCTGGAAAAAAATCAGCAAGGAAAAACATCATAGTTAAATGAAACATAGATAAAATTTAACAGATATCTACAGAATATTCCCCCCTCACAGTTAAATACTACATAATTATCTCAGAAGTTCTAGGTCGGTATCAATACAGACACCTGTATACCCACATTTGAAACTAGCCTAAGCACCCATCAGTCAATGAGTGAGTAAAGAAAATGCAGTATAAATACATGATGGAGCATTATACACAATCACAACAAAAGAGAAATTATGTTATTTGCAAGAAAAGAAGTGGAACTGAAGATCATCATGTGAGCAACAAAATAAGCCAGATACTGAAACTGTATTCTTTCTCTCATATGTGGGATCTAGACCTAAAAGAAAATGAATGATACTTGTGCAAAACAGGGAACCAGGATATGGGAACTAGGAGTAGGGAGGGTGCGATGGAAGGGTTATATACTGAATGAAAATAAAATAATGTGTACAGCATTTTTACAATAAAAATATATTAAGAAAAGAAAATGAAATAATTAAAACCATTCAAATGTTTTCTAAAGGAAGGAGGAGAGAAGGCGTAATAGATGATCAAATAATAATAATTTGATCAAAATGCATTAAATGCATGTATAGAAATATCCCACTGAAACTCCTTTGTGCAACTAATATATCCAATTATATGTTGTATGTATTAGTCATTATGTACATATATTAGAAATTCTTAGAAGGTGAAGTCTATGAGAAAGAAGCAGACCCAAATTTAAAGCCTTCCTTTATCAGTGATGTCTTCAGAAATAAAACTTTACAAGTCTACTTAGAAAAAAAGTGCATTGTTAGTTAATTCTAAAAACAATATTTGAATTTGTTCTCATTTTAACAACAAAAATGTCTCCAAGTTTAAGAGCCTCTTAGAAAATACCCTTGTAAAAGCTACACAAACCTGAATTGATCACCCAACTTACTTGATGTGGCCCAAACCTGATGTAGTAAGCTGCTCTTCATCTTCAGGATTGAAAGTAACCTTATAAACATCCTGAGAAAAGGCTTTTTTCCTCAGTATGGGTTTCTCCTCTTTCCAATTCCAGATGGTCAGTGTGTAGTCAGGGGAACTACCAACAGAGGCCAACAAAGTCCCGGTGTCATTAAAGTCTACGTAAGCATACGCATTATCAGTCCCATCTGGAAGAATGAATGGGAGTCTAATAAATAAAGGAAACACTTATTTCATAGTCAAAACCACATGGGGGAAGGAGAAGAATCGTTCCTCAGTGACATGTGTTAATGTAAAACCAGGAATTTCCCCCTAGAGGATTAATTCCAAAATTATTCACCACCTTTGAGACTTTAAAAGGGATTATATGATATTAAGCAGGAATGTGAAGACGTCATCATCATCTTTTGAATGAGAAAGTTCAGGAATATATTTCATCTTGTGAAAGAGGACAGACAGAAAATCATATTCGATAGCACAGAGAAATCAATATACAAATATAATCAACCAATATACAATTAGAAATTTGTCACTGAAAAACTCCAAAAAACACAAATTAAGTACTGATATTAATTGCATGAAAAACAGAACTGTAATATGATGGTGAATTGAATGTGCCAACTTGCCTACTCTGCAATACTCAGTTACTCAATTGAATAACTAGTTGTTGCTGTTAACGTATCTTATAGTTAGGGCTTTTATAATTTTATAATTATAATTATAATTTTACAATTCACTTTAAAAAATTTATCCTGTGTCTCACAACTGTAATCCTATCTATTGAGGGAGCTGAGATTGGAGGATTGTGGTTCAAAACAGGCCCAGGCAGAAAAGTCTAGGAAACTCCAGTTAAGCCACAAAACCTGAACTAGAGACATTGCTCAAGTGGTTGAGCACTAGCCATGAACAAGCAACCTAAGCAAGCCCAAAGCCCCAAGTTCAGGACATACACATGTACACACATACACACACACACACACACACACACACACAATTATTCTTGACAATCAGGTGGATCTCTTTCAATCAGATGTTAAGCTGAAAGTAAAACTGAGGATTCCCTGAGAAAGAAGGAATTCTGCCTGAAGTCTTCCCCATAAACTGCCCAAGAATTTCTAGCCTGAAGTTCTGACCTACATATTTCAGACTTATCAGTTCCACAATTACACAAGCCAATTCTATGAAATATATTTCTTTTCTATATCCTACCAGTTTTGTTTCTCAATAGTATCCTATCAGCCTCAGAATGTTGCTAACTTTGCACATGGAGTATTTAAAAGAGACTACTGGACTCACTTCGAAGGATTCTGTAGGGCCTCTGAGAAGGATATTCATAGATGATGATATTTGGAAAATGTCCTTTTTCAGCTACTGCAAAGTAAGTTTTATATGGATGAACCTACAAAAATGGAATCACACAAATATTAAAAGGAAAATTTTTACATAAGATAATCCTATACATACTACATGTAGCAAGGACCTTCCTATTGTACCATCCCATAGTAGAACTTGGACAAGTATGAGGTTCCAAAAAAGAAAAATGATTATAACTAATGTTTTCCTTAATCATAATTATTTCAGGCCTTAATCACTCCTTATTACTCCATCCTTCCAACATTGTTGTATTGGTGACTAAGTTTCTAACACATGAATTTTTATGGACTTGTTCAAACCTTACCAATATGGACTACATGATTCCAGAGCAGATTATATCCTGATTTAAAAAATAATGCCTCTGACAAATGTAATAAACTATAAGTGGAATATAAGTGAGAAAAACACAATGTGTCCAAGCCATGAATAAAGTATGTCCATGATGAACAACTTGTTGTCAGCTTTCAAATAATAACCTGTAAGTTGCATAGAATTATACCTTCATTCTTATTCATTGGTAAGCCAAATGTGCTGGAAGAATAAATAGCCATAAAAAAATAAAAAATAAAAGCAAGCTATTATAAAAATCAGCTCTTCAACACACATATTATACTTGCAAAATTCTGATTTGGTTGCTGTTTTGTAACTCCTTACTGTGTATCCAAAGACAAGAAATTTGGCTTTCATACAGAGAGAAATGCACAGGTCTTTGAACCCAACACAATTCGTAGTTCTTCTCTTCCCTACACTCTGAGGATCAGAATACCAATCATGGGCTAACTTCCTCCTTGTACTGCCTCTTCAGCTCAAGTAAATTCCCATCACTTCAACTTAAAACAGCCTGGAGTTTAAAGGATGAGCACAGTGAGACAATGGTGACCCTGAACTCAGCTAACATTTATTGAGCACATACTCTGTATCACACACACTCATCTTGGTTTTACATATATTAATTCCTTTAAATTTCACATCAACCTTGTAAGCACAAATCCTATTATCATTCCCATCATATTAAAGAGTATATAAACTAAGGCAAGGTGAGTAAAAATATAATGTCTACTGTCATACAGACTGCCTTGTGCTAAATGTGAAGGATAAGATTCAATTCGATTTTGGAGCCAAGAAGCAAATGAGACTAAGAAATAGTAGATCTCAAGATGTAAGGAAAATGGACACGATACCTATCTAGATCTTCATTTACAAAGAAATATTGCATAGAATCTGTGAGCACAGAGGTCTGAATGGATATTCAGGCAAACTCTTAATCTTTCTGAGTTTTGTTGATTGGAAATGGCTGTGGAGCTGAGTTGGGTGTTTTTCGTGGATATCTGACATTCGTAAGTTATTAACTTTACATTCAATGTCTTCTCCAGAAGACAGTGTCCATGCTTTAACCCTACTTTCTCACAGGCTCTCCTTGAGAAGAAATTTTCCTCTTCTCATGCTGAAGATGGAGAATTTAAGACATCTTGTCCTGTCTTGTTCCCATAGTTAGCCTCACATCATGGGTAGCCTCACATTTTCCTCACTTGCTTCCTTCTCATTTCCATATTTATGCATCAGTCCTCAGAGCAAGACTGGTAAAGCCCCCTCATCCACCTCCACTACTAATTTAATTATGAATAAACCCTACAATGGCTATGGGGAAGTCACTAAACTTCTAAGGCTCCAGTTTCCCTATCTGCAAAATGGGATAATAGTATTATTATCCTAGTATATGAAAGTAATGCCAATGATGGTAATGGTTGTAATAACTGGTTTGAAAATGCCCTAAAGATGGCTGTACCTGTCACGTGATCCCACAATACCAGGCATAGTATTAGCACCTACCAGCCACTACCGTGGGTTGGTCCATAATACTACCAAAGTTTGTTTTCTAAATTACTAAAGGCATACCGCAATGGCACCAATTCCTTCACCACTGCAACTTCGCAGATAAGTCTGTTCCTTAGTTTTAAAATTCAGAAATACCAGTTGGTTGCCAGCTATGTATATCACACTATTGCTATCAATACGTTGTAAGTTGGATCGCTTTCTACAGTCATAACCAAAAGAATGTCTGAGGGAAAGTTGTTAAGGAAAACAAGTGAAACCACCTTAGGATAGGAAAAATGATGACGCAGGTTTATTTTTAAATCCACACTCTTATTAAAGATTTGAGGTTGACATAGTTGAATTTTACTCAGAAACTCACAATTGTTCTATGCATTACCAAATTTTTTTTTTTTTTTTTTTGTCAGTCGTGGGGCCTGAACTCTGGGCCTGGGCACTATCCCTCAGTTCTTCAGCTCAAGGCTAGTGCTCTACCACTTGAGCCACAGTACCACTTCCGGCTTTTTTCTTTTTGTTTATGTGGTGCAGAGGAATCAAACCCAGGGCCTCATGCATGCAAGGCAAAGCACTCTACCACTGAGCCACCTCCCCAGCCCAACGTATTTTATTTTTAAATTAAGTAAAAATTCATATACACCGATTGTTACTATTTTAATTTTCCCAAGGAAATCCTGAAAGCAGCACGAGTGCTATTATATTAATAAATAATGTTAAACCTCCTACTTGGGTATCATTTCCTCGGCACCCACTAAAAGTAAACCACAATTTATAATTTGGGATTAAGCCTGGGTCTTCACTGTTTTACATACTTTGTCCTTGAAAGACAAGATACTTAAAATTTTGACATGTTGGGAAATTCTAACACAGCACTTGATAACATAACTGCTATAATAATTGAAGATATGCCAATTATGAAGGTTAGCTAAGTATATGCTATATAAATACAGATGTAACTCATTAACTAACATCTTCTGTCCAAGGTTTCTATAATGTAGACTTGTGTATAGGCAAGGATATGTATGTGTATGTTTATGTTGTAGAGTAAAATAATATTAACTCAAAATACAAACTTAAAAAAGTTGAGTTATATAAGTATGTTATAATATATATTGCTACAACAGTCATGTTCAAACTAATATAATTCAAGATATAACAAGTAAACTAAATGAGAAAGACCTATGGAAAAAAGGAATGTTGTATAAAGAAATATATTATTTAGAATATTATTCATTTATGTAGATTCTTCATTTACAAGAAAGATAAAGATCAATGAATAATATTTCTTGCACTCTTAGAAAACAAATCATGATTTGGGAGGGTTCTAACTTATCTATAAGAAACTAAAAAGTTTCAAAGACATTACTTTTAACTTTTTTGTCGGTCATGAGGCTTGAACTCAGGATCTGGGTGCTCTCCCTGAGCTCAAGGCTAGTGCTCTACCATTTTGAGCCCCAGCTTCTCTTTTGGTTTTTACATAGTTAATTGTAGATAAGAGTCTTATGGTCTTTCCTGACTGGGCTGGCTTTGAACCATGATCCTCAGATCTCAGCCTCCTGAATAGCTAGGATTATAAGCGTGAGCCACCTTGCTTGTTTGTCTTTGAGACTAGATTTTTACTATGTAACTTGGGCTGCAATGCCCCTTTGTCTTTCCACATTTTCTTTTCTGGCTTGTCTCTACTTAACTTTAGGTCATGGACTCAGAGCCTTCAGTATTTGCTCCTGGCCATCTAGGATCTCCTCTTTAAAACTACTCCAAACTATTTTAAATATTGTGTTAAATTCTCTTTGGGTGGGGGAGGTTTGGGAGGAATACAAAGTTGTTTTTTTTGGGGGGGGTTCCGGTCCTGGGGCCTAAACTCTGGGCCTGGGCGCTGTCCCTCAGCTCTTCAGCTCAAGGCTAGCACTCTACCACTTGAGCCACAGCACCAGTTCCGGCTTTTTTCTTTTTGCTTATGTGGTGCTGAGAAATCGAACCCAGGGTCTCAGGCATGCAAGGCAAGCGCTCTACCACTGAGCCACCTTCCCAGCCCCAGGAATACAAGGTTTTTTAAAAGATTTGCTTTGTGTGTGTGTTGCTCAAGGCTAGCACTCTATCATTTGAACCATAGCTCTATTTTATTTTTTGGTGGTTAAGTCTCATAGACTTTCTTGCCCAGATTGACTTTGAACCACAAGGGTCCTGAATAGCTAAGATCCTGTAAGCCACCAGGGGTCATCTCCCTTCATACTTTGTATAATGCAGTGCATGATATACTGTAGTACATATGTAACATCTGAACTTACAAGAGACATATATATATATATATATATATATATATATATATATATATATATATATATAGTTTTGTTTGCAGGGTGGTGGAGGAAAGAAAAACCCTATGCCTGAGATGTGTTAAGTTCAGTTTAATGCCTTTTATGAATTACATTGTGGTTGAGGTGTTACTATATAAATAGCATAGTTCATGTAAAATCAGTTGATCTAGATATGAGTTTTAAAGCTGAAGTCAATGAATTTGATTGCTCAAGGATTAAAAGAGTACTAAGGGGTTATGTGATGGGGGGATTCCTCCAATTTCTCATAGTATATGGAAGTAGCATTTGTTCTATCCTCAGAGAAAAGAACTAAGTCCAATGGGAAGCATTCTAAAGAGGCAGATTTTTGACTCAAGGTCTTAAGAGCTCTCATAATATTGGAAACTGTTCAAAATTGAGATACACTACTTGTGATTTCTCTGGTGCTGAAAGAGTCCAGTTACTCATCCATCTGATCAAAAGTGAAGACCCTCTCATTGCTGGGTAGGGGGTATTCTCTAGTACCCAGACCCTCCCATCTAGGATCAGCAAGTCACTAGTACTGGAGACAGAGAGGAGATTGTGAAAAACTATGATTGGAGCTTTTCTAGTGTATATAAGCTCAAATCTTTCTCCACAAAAAAAAATAAGACATTATGGCGAGGAAAGGATCAGTGTATTTCATAAAAAGCATGTAGGCTTATCTTAGACACTACCCCAATGCCATGAAAATTACATGCTAGGAGAAAGCCCAAGTTTTATCAGAAACTTGTCCAAAAACAAAAAAAAAATTCCATATACAAAATGTTACAGGTGAATTAGTCTAGTCACAACTAGGATTGAATCTAGAGTCAGAAATTATATTACCAATGTGTTTTATGCAAAATCAAAATGAACTCAGTAAGTATATTTCACATCATACCTTTTATAAGAGGCCATCAATAGCATAGGTCATGTGATGATAATTGCTATGCATGTGCAGGGAAACTGAGGACCATAATAGAAAATGTCTTCTAATTACACTCCTTCCAAACTAATATCATAAATGATGACAAACACTAAATCCTCTCGTCAGTCATCCTCACTTTTACCTATCTTCACAGAGTCTTGTTTTCCAAACCAATTAAAACTTGCTACATGTGTCCTATAGTTTCAGCATTTTCTGCTTTGTTAATGCAGTTGATAATGTGAAGGTACTAAAAAAAATTTGGCAATAGCCATATCAGTGTTTCAAGAAAAGAAATCATCTCTTTGGACAGGTATTGGCAAGGGAAAGCCAGGTTGATAGAGGAAGTAAATGGTAGCTAACAGCCTCCTTCACAGCAGGCCTCATAAACCATAGCTTTTTCCATCTGTGCAAAGAATATCCAAGACTGTCATTTCTTATACGGTTAACTGGCATATGATAAAATCTAAATTTAAGTTTAAGGTCATGCATGTCTATCTCAAATATTCTAATGGCCAAGATGTTTAGAATTAATTAATACAAAGGTTGGTAAACTTTTTCTATAAAACAAAAAAAGTAACTTGGAGAAAGCATGGGAAGAGATGACATTGTCCCCCCAAAAATGTAGTCATTACATGATATATGTAGCTGTATTCCTCTGTACTTCACCTTTATAATAATAATTTTTTAAATAGTAAATATTTTAGGCCCTGAAAGTCAGATGGTTACTATCACAACTACTTAACTCTGTCCTTGCAGTGTGATAACCATCACAGACAAAATGTAAATGAGTGAGCATAATTTACTATACTGAAACTTTATTTAACAGGATGGAGGCTGAATTTACCACATAAGCTCTAGTTTGCCCATCTCTAATCTAAGAAACAACCATTGCCAAAGTATACTTATATCGCTGCAGTGGATACTGAAGTAAGAGAATATCCAGTGGTATGGTCGAATCTGGAGTCACAAAAGGAACTGAAACAAGATCTGCGTAATCATAGAAAAAGCTTTCTGATATTTTCTTCTGAGTTTCCTCCTCTTCATCCACAGCTGCAGGAGGCTCCTGAGATGCTAAAACATTAAAATATTTTGACTAAGAACAGTGTTTGCTGATTCCTAAGTAGTTCCTAAAGACAGGAAGAATGTACATAGCCTGCCATGTACTAGCAGTAAATACTACTAGCTAGAGTATGAACATGAGCACAAGAAGAGTCAACATGCTTGGGTATATGTCAGAGGTAAATGTTGAGCTTGGGTCATAATTTCAACAGTGTAAAAAAGAAGAAAATAATGTCAATCAGACCCAAAGTAGAGTTGAAGAACTCTAACTAATCTGGGATGGAACCCTCCCTAGATCATCTCAGTCCCCAAAAGATCAAGTACAAGAGTAACATACATGGTTCTTAGAAATGGAATATACAAATTCAAGGCTACTAAACTACTCTCCCACAATATGTGCAACGTGTTCCCTTTCATCTGCACAAATACCTACATTCTGCAAAAGTTTCCTTCACTGTATAACTGGTAGATTTGTCTGGGTAATTTATATTTAAAGCAATTATATGTACAAAAAGAAAGACAACACTTACTTTTACCACTTCCCACATAATCCTCTTCATTTGAACTTGTACTTCCTTCCGTATCTTCTATATCTGACTCATCATCCTCCAAATATGATTCATCACCTTCAGTGAGGGTTAGGTCAGTGGCATCTTCTGAAACTTCTTTTGTATGAGCTATTAAAAGATAATTTATCTTTAGGTGTTTTAATTTCTAAATTTGCAATCAAATATTTTCCTATTTTCTAAGTAAATAAAATTCCCATTTCTACTCCAAATTTAAACTTTCCATACTTAAAAATTCCTTGAAGAATTACTTTTTTCACTTTTTTATTGTTATTATGAAGATGATATACAGAGAGGTTACAGTTACATAAGTCAGGTAAACAGCACATTTCCTTGGAAAGACTTTGAAAAACTTATACTAAGTGAAGTAAACCAGACCCAAAGAAACATAAGTTCCATGGTTTCCCTTATTTGCAATAACTAGTATACATCTAGGATAACCTTACCAGACTAGTAAGCCAAAAGGTATCCACATATGTCCATATAAAATGGTACTAAGTGAAATGAACCCCAAGATAGAGACACAAGAGGGTTTATCTTTGTTACTGTTGTTTTTAATGTACTTATAATGTATTCTGTGATTTTTTTTGTTTCTATTGTATGTTCTTCCCCCATGGTATAACCCCTGTTTTCACTGTGTTTGATTCTGGTGTCCTGCATCTTGTATATACATTTTTCTAATTTTGGGAGGGAAAGGAAATAACAACATGCTGAAATAAGGATACAGGTTAACCCATTGTAACAATGAGATGTACAAGATCTTATGTTGAAAATGAACTTTACAGCCTGGGAGCAGGGAGGAAGAAGTTGAGAAGGGAAGGATGATAGGGGAAAACAAAGGAGGGGATAACAATGCTCAAAGGGAAATGTACTCCTTACCTTATTCATGTAACTATAACCTCTCTATACAGTATCTTTACAATAAAAAAATGCAAATTACAAAAATAAATAACAATTTAAAAACAATTTTAAAAAAGAACAAAAGTACATTTCCTTAAGGAATTACTTTTTTTATATAATTTTTTATTGAGATTAAGTGATTACATAAATTCCACAAATTTCACAGTATTGTGACATAGTGATACTTAGTTAAAGTCACAAACACATTTTAAGGAATTACTTTTTTTGATCAGCCTTATAAGCTTACAAAATGAGAAAGTAAATTTGTTGTAAATTCCAGTCTATTTCCTACACTGCATACTGAGAAGAAGGCAAAACAGGAGAGACAGTCACCAGATATGGTGGTGGAGAAGGAGAGATTTTTGACTTGGGCAAGCTCAGAACTCCCGGGCCCTGCGTTCAAACCTCACAATTGACAAATAAATAAATAAGGCTAGAGGCATAACTTAGCAGTAGGGCATCTACCTAGCAAACATGAAGGCCCAGGTTCAAATCACAGTATCACAAAGAAAAAAAATTGAAAGAGGAATAACAAACCTTCCAGGCTAAACAAAAACTAAACTGACAACCACAAATTTAAGCACAGAAAAGGAACATGGATGAAACCAAGAAAATATCCAGGTAAGACTAAATTTCACTAGGTATGTCTAAAACAAATATGGATTAGGGGAAAAATTATAAAAGCAACAATATGACAGATAGTGCTATCTTTCAATAATAACTCTAAAAGCCAACAGTTGCAAGTCTCCAATCAAAATACACAAATTAAAAAACAAGACCCAATCATTTGTTGTAAAGTTCTCTGATATGAGTATTTCTCTCTGAAGTTATGCCTAGGAATAAGATATGCCTAGATAAAATAAAAATAGACAATAAGAAAAAAATAGATAAAATATTGACTTCAGGATAAGTTAAGAAGGAATAGATTTCAGGGATGCAAAGCTGGTTCAATATACATAAGTCAATTAATGTACTTCATCACATCAACAAGAACAAGGATAAGAACCATAGGATCATCTCAATAGATACAGAAAAAGCACTTGACAAGATCCAACAGCCCTTTATGATGAAAGCTCTGGAGAAACTAGGAATCTGTGGAACATTCCTCAATATAACAAAGGCTGTATATGACAAACCTACAGCTAGCATTATACTTAATGGCAAAAAGCTAAAGCCATTTCCTCTAAATTCAGGAATGAGAAAAGGATGTCTGTCCACCCTTTCTCTACTCTTCAAGTATTAAAATGCCTAGCTACAGCAATAAGACAAGAGGCAAACATAAAGGGGATCCAAATAGGGAAAGATGAAGTAAAACTCTCCTTCTTTGCAGATGACATCATCTTGTATTCAAAGAACCCCATGGACTCCATTCCTAAGTTACTTGAGCTGATCTGAAACTTTGGCAAAGTCACAGGGTATAAAATCAACCTTCAAAAATCAATGGCTTGGGGCTGGGAAGGTAGCTCAGCGATAGAGTGCATGCTTTGTAAACATGAGGCCCTGGGTTCAATTCCTCAGCACCACATAAGCAGAAAAAATCTGGAAGTGGTGCCGTGGCTCAAGTGGTAGAGCGCTCGCCTTGAGCTGAAGAGCTGAGGGACAGCAGCCAGGCCCAGAGTTCAGGCCCCATGACCGGCAAAAAAAAAAAAATCAATGGCTTTTCTGTATGCCAATAATGAGAAAAGTGTGGCTGAAATCAGGAAAGCAATTCCTTTTGTAATAGCCCCACAAAAAATAAAATACCTAGGAATTAACCAAAGAAGTGAAGGATCTCTATGATGAAAACTTTAAAAACCTGAAAAAGGACATTAAAGCAGAACTAAGAAAGTGGAAAAACTTCCCATGCTCATGGATTGGGAGGATTAACATCCTGAAAATGGCTATACTGCCAAAGGTTATCAACAAATTCAAGCAATAGCCATCAACATCACAGCCCTATTCTTCAATGATAGAAGAAGCAATCCAAAAATTCATATGGAACAATAAAAGACCCCCGAATAGCAAAAACAATCCTTAGCAGGAGGAATATCAACACTAAATTTCAAAGTCTATTACAAAGCTTTAGACAGTACCAGCTTGGTACTAGCACAAGAACAGACCTGAGGACCAATAGAATAGAACTGAAAGTCAGAATTAAACTGCAGGCCTATAGCTACCTAATCTCCGATAAGGGAGCCAAAAAAATAGGATGGAAGAAAGACAGTCTTTCAGTCTCTTCGGTAAATGGTGCTGGCAAAATTGGCTAAACACCTGTAGAAAACTGAAGTTAGATCCTTATATATATCACACTGCAACAGAACCAATTCCAAATGGATCAAGGACCTCAAAGTAAAAGCAGACACCCTGAAAACATTACAGGAAGGAATAGGAGAAACTCTAGGGCTCCTTGGCACAGGGCCAAATTTTCTTAATAAAGACTCAGAAACACAATAAATCAAACAAAGATTGAACAAATGGGATTGCAAGAAACTGCAGAGCTTCTGCATGGCAAAGAACATAGCTAGTAAGATTAATAGAAAGCCCACAGATTGGGAGAAGATCTTCACCAGTTATACAATGGATAAGGGCCTCATATCCAAAATGTACTTAGAAGCCTGGCACCGGTGGCTCACGCCTGTAATCCTAGCTACTCAGGAGGTTGAGATCTGAGGATTGCGGTTCAAAGCTAGCCCGGGCAGGAATGTCCGTGAGACTCTTATCTCCAATAAACCACTAAAGAAGTGGCGTGGTGGCTCAAGCGGTAGAGCGCTTGCCTTGAGCCGAAGAACGCATGGACAGCGCCCAAGCCCAGAGTTCAAGCCCTACGACTGACCAAAAAAAAAAAAAATCCACAAAATATACTTAGAATTCAAAAAATAAATCCTCAAAGAAACAACTGCCCATTAATAAGTGGGCTAAAACTTAAAGAGAGACTTCTCTGAAGAGGAAATAAGAATGGCCAATAGACACATGAAGAAATGCTCAACTTCTCTGGCCATAAAAGAAATGCAAATCAAAACAACATTGAGATTCCACCTCACCCCAGTTAGAATGGCTATAATCAAGAACTCTAATAACAACAGGTGCTGGGAGGAATGTGGCCAAAAGGGAACCCTACTGCACTGTTGGTGGGAGTATAAACTTGTTCAACCACTCTGGAAAGCAATATGGAGGTTCCTCAAAAATTACACATAGACCTCCCTTATGACCCAGCAATCCCACTTCTGGTCATTTACCCAAATGATCACAAACAAGGCCATAGTAAAGCTACCAGCACAACTATGTTTATCGCAGCATTATTCACCATAGCTAAGATATGGAACCAACCCAGATGCCCCTCAGTAGATGAATGGGTCAAGAAAATGTGATATATATAATATAATATATAATATACATAATATATAATATTATATATAATGGAATTTTATGCCTCCATCAGAAAGAATAACACCGCCCCATTTGTTAGGAAATGGAAAGGCTTGGAAAAAATTATATTAAGTGAAGTAATCCAGGCCCAAAGAAACATAGGTCTCATGGTTTCCCTTATTTGCAATTAGCTAGTATATGTCTAGGAAAAGCAGAAAAGGTCAAAAGCTATGTAAATATGACGATATAAGATGATGCTAAGTGAAATGAACCCCAAAGATAGGGACACAAGAGGTTTTATCTTTGTTGCTGTTGTTTTTAATGTACTTATAATGTCTATATGATTTTTTTGTTTCTTTTATATGTTCTTCCCCCATGGTATAACCCCTGTTTTCACTGTATTTGATTCTGGTGTCCTGTATCTTGTATATACATTTTTTCTAATTTGGAGAGGGGAAGAGAAATAAGAAAATGCTGAAACAAGGATACAGGTTGACCCATTGTAACAATGAAATGTACAGACACTATGTTGAAAATGAACCTTACAACTTTGGGGTGGGGATGGGGGAATGAGGGGGGGGAGGAGTTGGGGAGGTGGAGAGGGAATGGAAGGTAGGGGAAAACAAAGGAGGGAGTAACAATGCTCAATAGGAAATGTACTCCTTACCTTACTGATGTAACTGTAACCTCTCTGTACAGTATCTTTACAATAAAAATATATATTAAAAACGAAAATACGGTATATACAATGGAATTCTATGCTTCCATCAGAAAGAATGACACCACCCCATTTGTAAGGAAATAGAAAGACTTGGAAAAAATCATATTAAGTGAAGTAAGCCAGACCCAAAGAAATACAGGTCCCATAGTTTATCTTATTTGCAATAATTAGTAAACATCTAGGATAGTTTTATCAGATGAGCAGGATAGCTCCATGGCTCTGTACATATGACCAGATGAGATGATGCTAAGCGAAATGAACTCCAGGATATGGACACAGAGGTTTTTCTTTGTTGTTGTTTTTAATGCACTATGTGATGTTTTGTTTCTTTTGTATGTTCTTCACCCTATGATATATCCCCTGTTGTCACTGTATTTGATTTTGGTACACTGGTATTGTATATACACTTATCTGAATTAGGGAAGGGAAGGGAAACAACAGGATGGTGAGACAAAGGACAAGGGGTAGGGGACTAATGTAACATTGAAATTCACAAGACAATGCGTTGGAAATGATCTGTACAACTTGGGGGGTGAGATTGCGTGGGAGGGAAAGTAGGAGAAAAAATGAAGGAGGGGGTAAGAAGTTTGACAAGAAATGTACTTATTACCTTACTTATGTAACTGTAACCCCTCTGTACATCACCTTGACAATATAAAAATAAAAAGAAGGAATAGGGACTGGGGATGGGAATAGACGTGGGTGCAGCTATAAGCCAACATAGTCTGATTAAAATACACAAAGTCAAGCAGATAAAAGATGGAGAAAGCTGACAGGGATATGACAATGCAACACAATATTTTGAGGGAAAAAAAGGAAGAACTAGTGCGTATATCAGTTACCTAGTAGATGTGACATGAAGCTGAAAGATAGGTACAAGGCTGAAGACTAATGTGAAGAATGCAGAAGACTCAGTAAACCTCACAGAGAACTAGATGAGAAGTATGAATGGATCATTACTAACATACAGACAACTTCTGTGTGCCAGGAACTGGTGATGAATGATTCGAACACAAACTCCATTTACGGACCTTGAGGATTGTGTAAGAAAATTAAACAAGCAAACCATTTCTGTTCTATAAACAAGGATACATACTCTTGAAAACATTTCACCTAAATTTAATAATGTACAAAATGATCATCTTTACTTACACCGAGAAGACCTGTCCTCACTCTTTGAGCTTTTTGGTCTCCCCCCAACAGGATCTGGATCACTGGGTTCCTTCATGTTTCCTATCAATGCAACATTGAGATCGAGAAAGGGAAATTTTGGTAAAAATAGAAATTAACATGCCATCCCCTTAACAAATTCTAATAGCACCACGCATCACTTGTGTTGCTCATCTTGCGTTGCATGGTATCTAGGATGAGTCATCAGAAGAGTGCAGCCATCCTCAGGACCTCTGCAAAACAGCAAGTTGTAATCCCAGATTCCCTTTTTCCAGGGAAACTTAGTATCCTGGGTTTCCAGAAATCTACAACTGAAACACACTTTGCCATGCATCTTTTCCTAAAATGGACACCACTAAAACAAACCCTCTGTCTCTGCTAATGTTCATGACCAAATTGCCTTTGTTTTACTAACTTCAATTTAACCTTCTGTTGGGCATTAAACTACCAGACTGAGTCAGGGAAATATGGCCTCTAACTTTATGAAGCTTTTAAAAATATAGGTATTCAATAATGAAAAATTGTGATCGCTATATGAAATGAAATAGAAAGAAGAACTGTTGTGGGCACATGTAACAGAAAAGAGATATTTGAGACATGTTGGTACATAGGGGCTGGACAGGCTTGGAGGGGAAAAAGTATGTTAGACCTCAGCATCAAGAAGAGTTTAGTACAGCCAACTAACCTAGCAGGACAGTGACTACTATGAAGAGGAGGAAGGTAGATTATCAAACTGTCTCTAGGCTTCCCTATGAAGTTTATGTCTCCTTTCTATGACAACTGATTGTCATTGAAAAGTCCGACGTTTCCTACACATTCTTCCACGGAAGGACTGGCAAGCAGATTAGAATAAGTTCTTTTTTGGATCTGTTTGGTAGCTAAACTTAGGTATGAATTCCAGTGCTAGAACATAACTAATTAAACTTTACATCACCTCCTCGCCATAATTGGAATGAAGAGAGAACTACGGATAAAAGTAACATGAGACTTAATCAAACTTGTGTATGATTACACTTTCTGCTCTCTGAAGACAGATGAATGTATCCAAAGCAAACGTGATACAGGTCTGGCAATGAGTACAACAGGATTAACACTCTTCACTAGAGGGTCTATCTGCTTTCTTGTGGTGACATTACAATGACAACTTCCCTTGATTTCGGAGAGGGCAGTGCTTTGTCTAAATGTTTTTCCTAGAAACTATGAGAAATATTAAGAAATATATACTGCAACATGATATTCAAATTCAGGAAGTTTAACCTTTAAAGTTTGTGTGGTCTTTTTTCCTCTTTTCAGTCCTTCCGTCTATGGTGGAATTTGTGCTCTGTTGGTAAGAGTAGTAATCAAATCATAGAAAAACTTTAATAATTACTGAAAGCCCTAGCATGTTGCCTATATTCTATTCCTTTGGGTTTGCGACAAAGAAAAAAATTGTTCAAAGCAGTGGCAACTTTTGAAGAACTTAGTTACAAATTACCACATACAATGGATAAAATTGCCCTTCCCTTTCTAGTTAAACTGTCATCACTGTGGTTATTTCTCATTGTATCTCTTTACCACAACTTACGCTTCATATCTCTCTTTTCCAGTCCATTTTCTCTAGAGCCTCTGACATTTCTGAAACATAACTTTTAAAGTGTGCCACTCTTCTTTAATAAACGTTGGCGACTCTTTGTTGTCATCGCATAACTCAATGTCTCGAATTACTTGGCAGTGTATAAGCCCTTCATTATAGGGTCTGTAGGTCACTGTAGCTTATATTACCTACACACACTCCCCCCTCTATCTCTAATCCTCTTTTTAGCTCCCTTCCCCCCCTCTTCAAATATCTTAAGCAAGCACCCAAGACAACTCATGACTGACTAAACACACTAATTACATGTAAGAGGTACTTGCCTATTCATTCAACAAATACTTATTTTTCACCCAAATGTAAGCAACTGAGTGCATTATCCTACTGAAGTAGAACATCTTTTCCAGAGATGAGGAAATCCAAGAGAGGAGGGTCAGCTTGCCAGGTGTCACAGCTAAGTGTGGGGAGGGGTGGCTTTGCTTGACCCCAGAACATAAGCACTTTCCCACAACCCTCTCTTGCAATCCAGTTAGCCCCAATCAACCCCTGCTGGTCTTCAGCCCCAGCCCGACTACCAGCTCCATGCAGGCAAGCGCTAGTTTACACCCGTCTACACTAGCCTGCATTACTCCCCTCAAGGTTTGTTGAGCTTCCTTAGGGGGGATGGAGGAACGTGTGACAACAAAACCTGGAGACTTCTAGTGCAATTTCAGAGAAACTCAAAGGGGTTCCCGGCTCTCTGGATTGCCGTCGTCTTCTATGGGAAAGCGCTGGGCTGACTGAGCCTTACCTCTGCAGCTGGTGTCCACTCACAGCTTCGGCCCTAGGACTCCGTTTACTGTGGTTACCAGGGCGACGCCCGTCACCCCGCCTCCAGGGGCGGGGCTTCCATGCGGGTCGCCCAGCCCCGCTGGAATCTGAGATGCTCAAGTTGGAGGCCTTTCAGCCCTGGCCAGTTGAAGGCAAAACAGAAAGGCCGAGCCAGCATTCTACAGACACGCTGTGTTTATAGTTACAGGGCTTGGAAGATCCTTGAAATAGTCCAGGGTGGCCCCTAGGGGCTCTAAGCACACAGACAGTCCTCGGTTGAGAAACCAAGCAATTATTGTCAAAAAATAATAGAGCCCCTGCCGGTCTTGGTAAGGGAGGGCAGCCGCCCAGCAGCATTAGCAGCAAACTGAGATCCGATGGAAGCTGGGGAGGGTTTTGTGTGTTTGCATTTAAAAGCTCTATTGTCTCCGTTGGCTTTTAAAGTTTAAATGAAATTTGGGAATATGCTGTGTGTGAAGTTATGTTGTGCCCTCTGCAGATGAGTGCAAATGGCACCTAAGAGGTTACTGGAGTATTTGTAAGTGCTCCCGACTTGTGAGGTTTAAAAACATATGGAGGGAGGGGGAGCTGTAATACCCAGAGGGCCAGATAATCAGTGGGGCCCGGATAATCAGGGGGCCCTTGCCACCCCCCTCACCCCTCCAACACCCCCCTTCCCCACTCCCCACCCCCACCCCCTCCAACCCCCACCCCCAACGCTGGAGGGGGCGGGGCGTCAAGGGGAGAGCCTCACAGCTCCGCAGGTGGGGCCGCCGGAGGGGCGGGGCATGCCGCCGAAAGGGGCAGGGCATGCTGCTGAAGGGCGTGGGGCGTCGTGCCCCACATGGTGAGCTGTCCAGAAGTGATTGGACAGTGAGCAGCTTGGGGGCGGGGCATGAATGGCGGTTGGAAACCTTTGGCAGTAGTCCCGTTGGAGTAGGAGCCTATATATAATACAGGCTGTGCGTTCTGAGCAAAGGGGACTGGAGAGAGCCCGCAGGAGGGGAAATCCTGGAGGAGCTGAGCAGGGCGGGCCTGAGGAGGGTAGGGCAAGCCTCCTTGAGAGGCCATTTGGGACACCTCCAGAGGCCATTTGGGGCCTCCTCGAGAGGTCATTTGGGCCCACTCGAGGGGCCTTTTGGGACCTTCCTCTGGACAGGCCTGTGGAGATGCGCCTCCTGGAGAAGAGCAGGGCAGGGTGGAGAGGCCTGCAGAGAAGGAGGAAGGACACAAAAGGAAAAGCCTTCCCCTTGGGAGCTTGGGAGCTCTGGAGGCCTGAGGTTTGGAGGTTTGCATTCTAACTGGTGATTTGCAGACCAACTAATAAAGATCAGGGCTGACCATTGGAGGCTTGGAGGTTTGGTGGCTGGGGCTGCTTTTGGTTCTGGGTATCTAGCCCAGGACAAGATAGTCACAGTCCCCCTTTCTGGTGTAAATAGTGTAAATAAGTTGGTAGGGGGTAACCTTTAACCATGCCTCGATGGATTCTCTTGCTCTTTAGGGTTATAATTTTTGGAGGCCCCAGCAAGATAATGCATATGGACGGCATCTGGCCCTGCCCCCGGGAACACCCCCTCATAGTTGAGTGTCTCAGCCCTTAGGGGTGAGAGCCTCCCTCCAGTGTGTTTCCCGAGGACCAACATGGACAGGGGTCACTTGGAGCCTCCTCTGGAGGTCTTTGGGGCTTCCTTGAGAAGTCATCTGGGACCTCCTTGAGAAGACATCTGGGACTTCAAGAGGTCATCTGGGAAATGTGGGACAAGTGTCATGGCTATTTATCTGTTTTTATTATCTGTATCCTGTATACACCTCTGCTTATTCCTTTTTTTCCAGGATGGGAAAACAATGTCCTATAGTTCTTGTAAGTGAAAAATCTTCTCCCCCAGTGTTACAGGATCCCCTAGAGGAAGACCCACGGTGTACTCTTCCTCCTATTCTGTGCCATCAGCACCTACGATGTTAAGTCCCCCACCCCATACCAGAAGTGTTTCCTTGTACTAGGTGGTACAAGGTGGTACAGTCCCCTAATTACCCTTGAGACAGGCATATGGGGAGACTGTGGGCAAGCACCCTTTCTAGTGTATGTTCCCTTTACCACTAGTGACCTGTGTAACTGGAAACAGCAAAATCTATCCTTTTCTGGAAAACCCCAGGTGTTCATCTCCTTTTTAGAGACAGTATTTTTCACACACCAGCCCACCTGGGATGATTGTCAGCAATTTTTACAGGTGCTTTTCACCTGGGAGGAAAGGGAGTGAATGCAGCACAGGGCCTTGAAGGCGGTTCTTGGACCAGACGGTTCCCCACTGATGACCCAGTCAGTTTGGAGCGAGTCTTTCCCCAGACGCGCCCAAGCTGGGATTACAGCAGAGATGGAGGTAAGGAGGCGCTTACCAATTATCACCAGACTCTGTTAGCAGGGATACGGGCAGCGGCTAGGAAACCAACTAATTTATCTAAGGTGCGTGAGATT